TTTGCCACGACTAATGGCGGTGACAGTGCCTACCATCCAATATAGTGATTTGAATTTTGGGGTAATAATAAATGATATCTCATGCAGCTCTTGGGACTGACAAAAGCAAGAGAACTTTCTCAGAGATATAAAAACAGGTCTCAGATGCTAAGGCCAACACTATGTGTTATAAGTACTAATATATTTAATGCAGACGTCATGTTATATAATCATTGTAATTAATGTAGGTAGTATGTGATAGTATTAACGCAGACAGTATGTAGCTTTGGGGTTGGGAACACGGTTTGTAATCTTGAGAATACCTGGTAAGGTCCCCAGCTGCAGGTGATCTGGCAGCAGATTGCTCTGTGCTGATTTCACCAATGGTATGAAGGGCCGACCGTTGAGACAGCAATGGCAAACTACTGATCGTAAAATTGTTTCATTAAACCCACAAACAGCCTACAAATGCTGATTCTGGTTTATGGCATCCTATTAAGTATGCATTATAATAAATGTATATTAATGCAGGCAATATGTGAAACGGCGCATGTATATGATTAATGCAGCCTATTCTATAATGTTACATGCAATAACACAAATATCCTGTGCTATAATTACTAATCACATTTAATGCAGATATTATAAGACACAATAACTGTGTATAAGAAATACATACACATGGGATGTGTTAAGCGTGTGTAATTAACATGTATCATTATATAATAGAGTCAGCGTCTGTGGCTTAGGCATTGTGAATGCGCTTCATAATGCCGGGTATGACGGGTTTGATCCTAGCCAAGGACAGTGTTTCGACAGTCGTACCAAGCGATGACCGTTCAGAAAGCAATGACAAACTACTGAACATAAAACTTGCCTTGAAAACCACATTGGCCCCAAAATGCTGGGGTTGGTTCTGCAACGTCCTGTAAAGGATATGCAACTAACTAACAATTATATAATAGCAATGCCAAGCCCATGCTGTCCCTGTTCTGCAAACTTGATAACAATTATTATCTGATAAATATTATCAGCTGATTAATCAAAAATTACCACCTGATAGAGAAATCTTTCCATATGATAAACAAATCTTGTTATCATGTAAGTAAAAACTGTCAGATGATACACAAAAACTGTGCCATCTTCATGTGGAGGCTGGCTTCAGTAAATCAACTGATAACTATGAGAATATCAAGTGGTGGGGGCTCTAATCTTGTCCACTGTGTGACTCTCGTACAACTGTCTGAATGTCACCAGAACAATCTTTTCTTTTTTTTTTTCAAAACTGCCCGCCATGGGAATCAAACCCTGGTAGACGTAGAAGACTGCATTGTGAAACAATGTCACTAACCGCTTTCTACTTCTTCTTTGCATGCGTTCACCGGCTGTAAACTCCAGCAGAAAGTTCTGGTTGTTTGTCCGCTTCTGGACTCTTGTCCCAGAATCTGAGTGCTGTGTGCACATGCATTTTACAAATCTGACTTATCTGTGTGCAGACTGTTACTGGTTCTTTGCCTCTCAGAGGCAAACCAACTTCAAGGGAAGATTCCCCCCCCCCCCCCCCCAATTAGTCAAGTCCTAGAACATGCTTGTTGGGGAGGAAGTGGGTCTATTCTTGCTCTTCCCACAATGCAGCTCCACAACCCACACCGGGAAACTAACCTCTAAGCCACACAAATATTATATGATAACAAAAGTCATCTGATAAAACAAATATTATCATTTGATTATCGAATCTTATCATGTGCTTCCTCTAACAGATACATATAAGAGACCTTCCATGTTCTCCAACATAACCGCAATATTCTAGAGAGAGAAAAAAAAAAAAAACAGATGAACACAAAATATAACTGAAGATTAAGAAGCTTGGCAAAAAGAAAGACATTCACATTCCCAAGTGAAAGACTATCATCCACAGTCATAACAAGATAAAAAGAAGAATACTCAGCTAAAATTCAAAACATCACACTCACACAAATAAGCAATCAATAACATAAACAAAATCTCTACACTTTGTGATCATTCATGTTTCAGTAAGTAATGCTGACCTGTGTGTGTGGGATGCTGAACACATCACCCACCCAGTGCCAGTTGGTCTATCAATACATGACTCTGGCATCATAAGCCTGATGCCACAATAACATAATAAAGGCCCTGTTTAACTTTTTACAATTTTCGTGTACCAGCTTTAAAAGTAGTTGCCCCTATCTTCTAGAGATATTCTGAGCATTCTATTATCAGGGCCGGAAAGGCTAACCCGGTCAACAAGTGCCTGTAAAAGTCAGATGTGCCGACCGAAAGGTGCAAATATAGCAGCCGTGATGTAAATGGGAGCAATGCTATTACATCTTCGGATGAATGCAGAAGAAAAAGAAGAAAGTTTCAAGGCATATGCTTCAAAAATCTGTAGGTGTTTATAGGCAAGAGGATGGACTTTGGTACACTGGGTTGTATCCTAAATGGCTCGGTCTCTGTCTAGAGAATGGATGGTAGGTTGGCAAATGTGTAGAGTGGCTTGCATGGCTTAGTAAGACACAGAGCAGGCGTAGCATGGATTTTTTGTCCAGGATATTCAGGTGTGTGTGATAATGAGCAATCTGATAGACTGGCTGATGCAGTTCCTCCCCGTGAGCTACTCTATAATAAAATGGACGTGATAAAGGCTATATGGTATCAGGTGGACAGTGCAAACACTGTATGACTAATTTGGGGGAAAGGGGGCGGGCGTAGTCTGGAAGATTTTCAACACTAAGGGATAAACACACATTTAGTCAGGTTGCATCTGGTAGTATTATCACACTGATTTGATTAGCTACTGAGGAAGGAGCAGGTGTGGGAATGTCCCAACTGCTGGGATGTCAATTCTTGATTGATTCTTTCTTTTATACAAAAGCACCACAGAACACATGATTTCAGCTCCAGTGGCAACTCCCAGCGATCCCTGAAACATATGCACTCATCAGCTGAACTGCATTATCCGACACTGAACCCACAACATCCAGAACACAAGGCAAACATCTTAACAACTTCATCAGAGACCTTTGCATGTGCTTTATGAATCTTTATCCTCAACATCCTTGGCGGACATGTTTCAGGGTCATCTCACACACAGAATCACAGATCAGGTCAGTACCATTCATATAGCTAAGTCATCCAAGTATTCATCTCCTTTTCTCCTTGCTCTATCTTCCAACAGTCTTGTCAGTTGTTACCAAGGTATCAAGTACATTCCTTCTCATAAAATGCACAACAAATAGTCTATGTCTAATTTATCTCATCAGTTTACAGTTTTCATCAGTTTCCAAGGTCACTGTCTTATTTGTGTTTTCTATCATTTCATAACATTCTTTTTACTGTCTTCCAAAAATAAATTTAGTAAACATAGATTTTTTTCCCCAGCTAGTCTGATAAATGCCCTACAATAATCAGGCAAGTGGATATACATACATACAAAAACTCTTATGAAGGCATTTAATGAGAAGCTATATATTGCATTAACTGTGTTAATTATTTTTGGGGCTTCTACAGAATGAATTGGATTTGTGGTTCTCAAACTATGTGGTTATGCCCCCGTGTGAGTGGCCAATAGACTCTGAAGAGGCTATGTAATAGTGAGCACAGGTTTTTCATTTCCATCAGGATTACAATCAAGAAATAGTTGTATTTCTTTATGCTGTATGAGGTCTGTGGAAAACAGCTTAAGAAGCAAGGGAGTGGTTGCATAACAAATTCTAGGAACCAGTAATGTGTATTATGTGTCTGATTCCTCAAATCAAAAATAAAGCTTGTACAATTTACTGTCAGAAATCGGTTTATGTAGCTGTAGATTAGAAATGAACATTCATAAATGAACAATCTTGAAAAGACTTTATTTGCAAAAATGCTGAACAAATGTTACATATTTAACGAGTTTAGTGTTCCTTTAATTTAGACTTTGCAACTTTTTTGTTTGTTTGTTGCTGTGTGAAAAAGCAACTGTCTGATAGCAACAATAACTTCAGCATATGAAACAGGGTTTTACAGGACATACATCGTGTTCGTGTTTTGACAACAGAACTGCATGAACTACATACAGCTACTGTCAAACTTAGTGACTGAGTTCAGTGTTTCCTGAATTCAAACATTCTTCCCCATTTTTTGCTGTTGGGTGAAAATGCAAATGCCTGATATCAACAGTAACTTTAGAATATCTTCTTTTTAACATTCACTGGCTATAAGCTCTGGTGGAAAGTTCTGGTTGTTTGTCCACTTCGGCTGGACTTTTAGTCTTGTTCCAGATCTTGAGTTTGGCATGCACATTCATTTTACAGATCTGGCTTATTTATATGCAGATTGTTGGTTCCTCGCCCCTCAGGCAATGCATGCCGACTATAAAGTCGGCATTTCACATTTCAATAGCAGAAATGATTGAACTTCTGTTGCTGTCACATCTACTGAAAGATTAAAATGTTCCCTACATTCAAAAAATTTCTTATCTATTGTTGTTGATATTACGGCCTCGGCTGTTGCTGTTGTGTGAAAATGCATAACTGACTGATATCAACAATAAGTCTAATATAAAAACAAGATTTTACAGAAGATAATTATCATGTTAATAACAGATATGGCAGAAATATGGCTGCTATCAAATATAGTGAATGAGCTGACTGAATCTCAACCATTTTTGTTGTTGCGTAGAAATGCAAACTGACTGATATCAACAACACACATACAAAGCAATGTTTTCATTAACTCTTTCAGTATGAAACAAGTCATCATTTGTTTTTATTGCTTCCAATGATAGTATGTTTCTGCTGTATGTTTTTTGCTGTTTTCTATCTTCGAAGGGTTACATTAACCATTTGTACATAATTTTCACTACTTCCATCCTAAAGTGCTTCTATTGTACACCTTCAGTCCTAAGCGGGTTTTTTCTAAGCTCTCCTTGTTATAAAGAGTTATAAAGCAGGTGATTGGTGCTGAAAGAGCTAAAGAAGGCAATTCATGCTTCAAGAAGAGATATGACTGAGCTGCAGCTGTTGTCAGAGCTGTGTGTTAAATGCTTCGGCAACATTAGCAGGAGGCGAGCTCTCATCATCCTCTACCAGGCTTTGTCTGTTGGAGCTGGGCGGAGACAGGCTACTGCTGGCATTTGATGCCACTGAGCGCCTCCAATACCCAGCAGGCTCCATGCTATCCTGCAACAAAAAGAAAAGGAAATGAGATTTTTTTTTTTTAATGCAACAATTTTGTGTTAAAAAAAATAGAACACACTTGTTCCAAGGTTTTTGTTTGTTTTTTTCAAACTTTTAGTAATTTTGCAGCCAGAAAGATTTCAAACTCAAGACCTTGGGGTCAGCAGGCAATGGTCTAGTCCTTATGCTACCATGGCAAAAATTGCCAATTGGCCAATACACAAAACATATTCTAGGTACTGTCTATATAAAAAACAAAGTAAAAGATCCTTTCCATGCCATCTGGTGCAAACAGGGTTAAACCTATATTTTATAGACCAATCGGCATTCATGAAGCGATGTAATCAATATCACGCTACTCGTCTTTACTTTCCAGGACTTCACCTGGTACCCATTTAAGGCTGGGTTGACCAAGAGGCCAAGGTCATTTTTTTTTTAAAGTCCGGCTCTGCCAGGATATAAACCAACAAACTTCTAATCCACAAGTCAGCACCTAGTCGCTACATTATAGTGGCTCCCTATCGTCTATGAAAGAAAAGCAATGGAGGAACGGAACTTGCCACATCTCCTTGACCGGTGTGGCATAGAATATGTAGAGTTCTCACACTTCAAACGTAAGTGTCAATAACTGAAACATGGCTTCATATTTTGTGTATGATTGTAAAATAAATATAATGAGACTCTGCAGCTTAGAGATTAGTGAATGTGTTTAACAATTTCATGGTCCTCGAGTATTAGGGTTCAATTTCCACAGCAGGCAGTTTAACTTTTTGTTTTTAACGGCTTTTGTGGTTTTTCTTGCAGTGGTAGGAGAGTAGAAGTGATTCGGGCGTCACCACACAGCATGTCTCAAGACAGCAGTAGATAAGTACACTGCAGCCAAACAGCACTGTGGAAATGGTACAGTTTTTTATATATATATATATATATATATATATATATATTATATATATATATATATATATATATATATATATATATATATATATATATATATTATCTATATATATATTATATATATATATATATATATATATATATATATATATATATATATATATATATATATATATATATATATATATGATATATAGGAAATATCTAAAATTAACTTTCTTCTTCTTCTTAAAATCCATGCCGTGTGGCTTTAGAAGTAATGTTTATCCACAACCTGATGTTTCATGAACTTTCACTCTGATACAGATGATCCTCCCTGTCATGATTCAAACTGTCCAGCATCTTTTCTCACAGTCTCCCTTTGTTTATCTTCCCCTCCAACTTTCCTACAGACACGATGTACTCCAGTTTTCTCTTTCTCATGGCATGACCAAGGAATGTAGATTTTCTCTTTCTGATGTCAGCAATCAGTTCTCTTTGTGAGTCAGTTTCTTTCAAGATATCTTCATCACTCTTTTTATCTGCCCAGGGTATTCTCATCATTCATCTATAAAACTACATCTCTGCAGCTTCCTAAAAATTTGTCACTAATTTACCGACTGTCCATGATGGACTTCCGTATATCAAGATAGGATTTATTTATATAGCCTTTAAGGATTCTCTTTCTCGTCAACTGACAAAGAAAGACTGCATAAAATATTGTTCATTTAGTAAAATGCTGCCTTTGCCTGAACTGTTCTACATTTAACTTCTTTAATACATCTTCCATCTGATGCAGTCAGGGTACCCAAGTACTTAAACATATCAACTTGTTTGGGGTTTGTCTCATTTGCATTGTCATTGCGTTCTGGAGGGTCAGTTTTCTTTGCAATTACCAATTTTTTTTTATTTCTGCTATTCAAACTAAGACCCTTGTTTTCACTTTCTGTTACAATTATATCCATCATAATGAACTTTACATAAATCTATCTTTACACTGTGATTCATTAGTTACATCTGCTACAAATACTAAAGCCACATTTACACTATACTGAACAAAACCATTGCATTCGGGAGGGTAAGTTGTCTTTTTAATTACCATAACTTCTGTTTTTCTGCTATTCAAACTAAGACCCTTGTTTTAACTTTCTGTTACAGTTATATTTATCATAATTAACTTTACATAAATCTTATCTTTACACTGTAATTCAGTAGTTACGACTGCTATAAATACTAAAGCCACATTTACACTATACTATATTATACAAAACCACCTCTACAGTGCACAAGTTTAATAATACAAAACATTACCTTCCTTACATGCGTGCGCACGATAATTTGTATGATAAACATCAAACATATCCACTAAGTGAGACCCAAAAAATTTATTCACAAAACATACCATACAATATGTGAGTGTCAAGATAAGCCAGTTCAAGAAGTGGAGTGTGTGAATACACTCTCCAGTATGAGAGACACAGTTTCACTGTGTAACAATTTACTCTTTGAAAACCTTTACAAAAATGTTAACTCTGCTAGTGCAGTGGTTCTTAAACAGCTATGACCTGGAGACCCCCCCCCCCCCCCTTTCTTTTTAAGGTCTACTACAGCTCCATATTTTTAGCAGTCATACTGAAAACTTATAATTTAAAAAATATCAGAATCACCGACAGGATTGCATTCTAAAGCTGTTTTTTTTTTTTTATGTGATATCACAAATCATAAATGATTTCACAGACCCCTACAATTTGCACCATGCATGCACACGAGTCCACAGACAACCAAATGGGAAAGTCTGAGCTAATGAAACTGTATCATCTGATTTCAAGTGTAGTCAAAAATAAAAATGAGAAAGTACAATGAAGAAAATTCTTTCTCTGGTTTAACCATCTGTCCTCAAAAAAGAAGAGACTTCACACCAAGCTGTCTTATTAATATATTCAATCTTGTGCCCTCCAATCCCTCCTTAGATTACTCATCTCTATTTTCTTCTCCATTGTTTTCAGGGCTTAGTTGATCACTTCTGCTCTCTAAGTTCTATGGCCGGGACATTCTTAATTGATCACTTCTGCTCTCTAAGTTCTATGGCCGGGACATTCTTAATTGATCACTTCTGCTCTGTTCTATGGCCGGGACACTCTTAGTTGATCACTTCTGCTCTCTAAGTTCTATGGCCGGGACACTCTTAGTTGATCACTTCTGCTCTCTAAGTTCTATGGCTGAGACACTCTTAATTGATCACTTCTGCTCTCTAAGTTCTATGGCTGGGACACTCTTAGTTGATCACTTCTGCTATCTAAGTTCTATGACCGGGACACTCTTAGTTGATCACTTCTGCTCTCTAAGTTCTATGGCTGGGACATTCTTAGCTGATCACTTCTGTTCTCTAAGTTCTATGGCCGGGACACTCTTAATTGATCACTTCTGCTCTGTAAGTTCTATGGCCGGGACATTTTTAGCTGATCACTTCTGCTCTTCAAGTTCTATGGCTGAGACACTCTTAATTGATCACTTCTGCTCTCTAAGTTCTATGGCCGGGACACTCTTAGTTGATCACTTCTGCTCTCTAAGTTCTATGGCCGGGACACTCTTAGTTGATCACTTCTGCTCTCTAAGTTCTATGGCCAGGACATTCTTAGCTGATCACTTCTGCTCTCTAAGTTCTATGGCCGGGACACTCTTAGTTGATCACTTCTGCTCTCTAAGTTCTATGGCCAGGACATTCTTAGCTGATCACTTCTGCTCTCTAAGTTCTATGGCCGGGACACTCTTAGTTGATCACTTCTGCTCTCTAAGTTCTATGGCCAGGACATTCTTAGCTGATCACTTCTGCTCTCTAAGTTCTATGGCCAGGACATTCTTAGCTGATCACTTCTGCTCTCTAAGTTCTATGGCCGGGACACTCTTAGTTGATCACTTCTGCTCTCTAAGTTCTATGGGCGGGACACTCTTAGTTGATCACTTCTGCTCTCTAAGTTCTATGGCCAGGACATTCTTAGTTGATCACTTCTGCTCTCTAAGTTCTATGGCCGAGACACTCTTAATTGATCACTTCTGCTCTCTAAGTTCTATGGCCGGGACACTCTTAGTTGATCACTTCTGCTCTCTAAGTTCTATGGCCGAGACACTCTTAATTGATCACTTCTGCTCTCTAAGTTCTATGGCCAGGACATTCTTAGTTGATCACTTCTGCTCTCTAAGTTCTATGGCCGAGACACTCTTAATTGATCACTTCTGCTCTCTAAGTTCTATGGCCGAGACACTCTTAATTGATCACTTCTGCTCTCTAAGTTCTATGGCCGAGACACTCTTAATTGATCACTTCTGCTCTCTAAGTTCTATGGCCAGGACATTCTTAGTTGATCACTTCTGCTCTCTAAGTTCTATGGCCGAGACACTCTTAATTGATCACTTCTGCTCTCTAAGTTCTATGGCCGAGACACTCTTAATTGATCACTTCTGCTCTCTAAGTTCTATGGCCGGGACACTCTTAATTGATCACTTCTGCTCTCTAAGTTCTATGGCCGAGACACTCTTAATTGATCACTTCTGCTCTCTAAGTTCTATGGCCGAGACACTCTTAATTGATCACTTCTGCTCTCTAAGTTCTATGGCCGAGACACTCTTAATTGATCACTTCTGCTCTCTAAGTTCTATGGCCGGGACACTCTTAATTGATCACTTCTGCTCTCTAAGTTCTAGACCAGGACACTAGTGAAATTTATTATCAGGTTTTATATCAAGTGTCTGCATCTTTTCCTCGCCTTCTGATCCACTGGAATTTGCACAGTTTATATTTCAAGCCCCACATTTGTGATTTAGCCATACTATTGAATTATTTCTAGTCTTTCTATTCTACATAGGCATTGACAAAGAAATGATTTTAGTCGTAAGTGTTTAGTCTTTCTCCAGAGTTCTGCTACGTAAAGTGATACTAATTTGACAGGTGACTAAACTATTATGAGTTTGGTGACTGGCAAGCTTTGTAATTATAATAATCTGAAATTGGCAGAAAACACAGTAATTAATATTCATGAGCATGTTAGAAAATGAAGAAAACTTAATATACTGTGAAAAACTATAAATATGAAAGATTGCGTACACACACACATAAAAACACTAAACATATTGAGAAAACTATCAAAAATAATGAAAAGAATATGTCAAAGAACACTAAACATTTTAAGAAAACTATCACAAATAATGGAAAGATTATGTACACAGAACACTGAATACATAGTGAAGATATCAAGACTGGCGGAAATAAGTAAAACCTCATTAACACAAAATCTAAGGGACCAAAAAAATAAGGAGTCCATGTTAAAAACAGCCGTGCTAATTAGGGACTGCTACATACATATTAACATGAGGGGAAGTATTAAGTAAAGGCAACTGTATCCTAGTCTGCATGGAATAGTATGCAGAAGACAAACATATTACTGCAGAAAACAGAATGGCCCATTTGCAATACCCAAAGTACGTGTCATGACAATTTAGCAGTATGTGCATGCGTCTTTACTTTTTTAAAGCAGTGACTGCCATGAGATTATCTGTGTCTTACTGTATTGGGGAGCCGATGTGGTGTAACAGCTAGATGCCAGCCTGGGAATCTGAAGGTCGTGGATGCCAGGTCAAGTTTCCAGGTCTTTACGAAGCCTGGACTTTTTAAAAAAATGACCTTAGTTCCCAGGTGGATCCAGCTTTGAGTGGGTACCAGATTAAGTCGTGGAAAGGAAAGGTGACCAGCGAGATGTTGATCACATCACCCACCAAGTGCCATTTGGTTTACAAAACACATAGGTCTAGCTCTATATGCCTGAAGGTGTGGAAACAGGTCCTTTACTTTACTTTTACTTATTGTATTGGAATTCCTGAAAAGCAAATTAAGCTTTAACTAATAAAGCAATCTGGTCCTGAAGTTGCCGTCTGATATTACAGTGATATTCAACCTGTAGGGTGTGCCAAATATCTAAAGCAGTGTGAGGACAGTGAAAATCAAAGGAGCAACTTGAAAGCTATACACATAATAACTGTGAGGAGGAAAGGTGAGATACACCCTAAAAACTAATAAACATAGGGCACATATAAAAGTAGGTTGAGAAACACTGTCCTTTACTTTCTTTTCTTTTCTTCCTCCCTTCTTCCCCCACTTCTCTTTATCCCCCAAAAGAAGTATATTTAGTCCCTACATGAAGTCATCCTATGTTTTGCTATCATGTGCAGCTCACTCTTTCTTATAATTTTCACCTCATTCTTTAAGTCCATTTTTTTAAATTATGATCTGCCTTTATTTCTGTGATTATGTGGATCGGTTATACTGAATCATATTTTCTCAGCTTGTGTCCTTACCAAAGCCAGCATCTTTTCCTCACCTCTTGTGTCACTGGAATCTTTTTAGTTCTCACCCAAAGTCCCACATTAGTAATTCTATAATACCAACTAATTCCCTTTATCTTGCACAGGCATCAGTTAATGAATGTTTATAGTATAACAGTAATTATTTTTGTCATTCCACATTTCAGCTCAGTACAACAGCACTGATTTGACATCAGAGGTGTGTATTCTATGTTTGCCAAAGTATCAGGGGAAGTCAATAAGTACGTCACAAATGTTGTTGCTGTTTTTTTTTTTTTTTTGTAAGTTAAAAAAAAAACATTGAACAACTTAAAAACCATTTATTATTACACGTACACTATCCCTTTTTTTTTCAACATTTCCACCAACATGATGCACTTGTCCCATCGTTTTATCAGTCCTCCCAAACCTGATGTATAGAACTGTGTGCTCTGTTTTCTAAATCCCATTTTCACTTCCCATTCAACTTCTGCATCATTCCCGAAATATCTCCCACCGAGGCGGGTTTTCGGTGGACCAAAAAGTTGGAAATCGTTAGGGGCTTAGTTAGGGCTGTAGGTAGATGTTCCAGAAGTTCCCACCCTAGATGGTTAATTTTCTCCTGAGTTGACCGAGCCACAAGTGGTCTGGCATTGTCATTTTGTGTCTGGGTAACAACCTTAAGAATACTTTCCTAAATTTCAATCAATCATGCATTATGTTTTGTGCTGAACCATGTGAGCACCATATTGTAGCCGCTACAGAGTCAATTGTTACTAGGCTGTCACCTCTAATCATCTCCTCGACCCGCTGCACGGATGCATCTGTTGCAATCTCAACAGGACAACCAGATCAGACTTCATCAACAATTTTACAGCGTCCTTGAGAAAAAATGTTTACCCAGCAATGCACCACTTTAATAGATAAACATTTATCTCGTAAGCATCTCCTTATGAATGTTCTTTGCAGGCAGACCTTTTCCCACCCCCAAAAAAACCGCACAACAGCACTTTTTTCTTTGGGGGTACACTCTGTAAGTACAGTTGCTATTTTGCTTCTGTGCTGTGAATGCGCAAGCAACACCTAGCGCCACCTATTGAACGGAGACATAAAGTTCGATGTTGCTGTCCCCTAATGACACCTTTAGAAACCACAAACTACATTTTTCTGCCATCCCATAACCATTTGTGACTTACTTTAATGACTTTCCCTCGGATCAATTTTATTTCAATTCCATAAATCCCAGAAATGACATAAAAACTTGTGCCCTTTAAATTCTTAGAGAAACACTGTGATACTTATCAAATATTTGTCAATATGCCCTTTCTGAAAACAACTACTGATAAAAATGTGAGCTGCAAGATCAACAGCAAACACACATGCCCGGAAAACACATAATGCCAGGGAACTTGTTTCAGAAATGATCAACAAAACAGGAACACATAACTCTAAGTGAAATTCCAATAACAGGCACATAACTCTAAGTGAGAAATCACAAACCAACAAATGGGCAAGCAGCAAACAACAGGTTATTACTATGTACGTTTGGCTAGGCCCTAAACACAAATGTGCCTTTAGTTAGCTCTCAGACTTGTCAAATGTTGGCAAAGACCATGAGCTGCCAGCGGCAGTGAAAGCGGTCTCAGAAGAATTCATAATCTGTACAAGGAAAGAATAGCAAGTGATGTCACTGAATAAACTAAACAAATATTAATCTTCACATGTTGCAAGCTAAGCCATGGAAATATTAAAGTTTGTGACTGGAGAGGTGAAATGTTTAGTATGCTATTTACACATCTCATTAGAAATACAGTAATGTATGATTTACATATCTGACCCCAAAAAAAAAAAAAAAACACTGGTGGTTAGTTTACGATTTACATGTCTGACTTGAAAGATGATATTTTTAGTATATGATTTACATAGACAATTATAAAGACAAGGATCTTAACAGTATATGATTTACATATCAGCTTTTAAAAAAAAAGAGAGACTATATGATTTATGTGTGTACGTATTTTAAACAAAAAACAATTTTAAAAAAAAATCAGACTAAACGACAGTTAAATATGATATATAATCTACACATTTTATTAAAAACTGAATATGGACAACTGAATGTCAAAAGAAGCTGATTATAAAAATATTCATATTTAGTATACTATTTACACATTCAATGAAAAAATTATTATTATTAACGGAATGTCACGGTGTCTAACTAGAAAATCAATCATTTTTAGTAAATGTTTTACACATATGGGTGAAAAAAAAGCCAATAGGAACAATGGAATGCTAAAGTATTAAACTAGAAAGAGAGGTTTAGTAAATGATTTACACCCCTGATGAAAACTGATTATGATTAAGGGAATGTCACAGTGTCTGGATAGAAGGAAAGATAGGTTATAGTTAATGATTAATACGCACATGGTTAAAAGTGAATATGAACAATGGAATGTCAAAGTGTCTGTTTAAATGTTTAAAGACAGGTTAAGTAAATTGATTCATGCACTTGGTAAAAACTGAGTTTGAAAAATAGAACATCAAAGTATCTGAGAAAAGACAAAGGATCTACATACCTGCTGAAAAGTGAAAGTGAATAACAGAAGGTTAGCGAACTTAGCATCAATTATTCATTAACAAATGTAAACAAACCAAAGCAGGATAGTTTCATAAAATACACTATAACCTGTTTTTTAAAAGGTGGGAAAGGGTACTTTTGGTGCTTGTTTCACAAATTTTTTGTAATTCAACTATTTCAGATGCTTCTCTACCACTATATTTAAAGAAATAAAAAACATTGAAAATATAAACAAAACTGTGAATTAGGACAATTCAAACTTATCAGCAAGATTATGAAATGTTTATTTAAGGTATACCACTTTCAAAAGGTCTGATCTTTATAAGATGCAAACTGTGCATTGAAATAAAATGTGTGTTAAGTAACATTCATTATGGTTATACTGTGGCAGGGAATTAATCTTGGCCTGATAAATGAACTAGCTGTGGCACTGGCATACTTAAATATATTGTTGAAGATGGGGAGAAGTGGAGAATCTTCCCCACCAAGTACCATTCTGGCCAAATGACAACTGATAGGGGAAGCTATACGATGGAATAAGAATAAGAAAACATGCACAAGTTTCTACTTACTTCAAAAATCTGTGAAGACATTTCCTTTTCAAAGCTACTCTGCTCCTGCTGTGCATATGATTCGCCACCCCTCCCTGGTACCTGAGGAGGAAGAGATCGACCACTTCCTCTCCCACGTCTAGGCAAGTTATCACCCCCTCTGCCTCCTGTGGTACCTGTATAAATAACACAAGATTATCTTCAGAACAAACTACACAAGCAAGCATGCATGCACGCACGCGCACACTAGGCAAGTTATCACCCCCTCTGCTTCTTGTGGTACCTGTATAAATAACACAAGATTATTTCAGAAGAAACAACACAAACAAGCAAGCACACACGCAAGGTTTTAATTGTAATTTATAACTGTTGATCTCCACAGAGAAATTACTAAAACCAAAGTTGGGTCCACAATTTGACAAGTATGTTAGGAAACAGATACCTTATCATTTTAAACAGTTAAATGCTGTGTTTTCTTTACATTTTTATATATGTGGAGAGATGGGTAAAGAACACGCTGCTGGAAGAAATAATTATGCCATAATTGTAAATATCTAGAAAAATAAGGCACATTTATGGACAGATTAAATAACAATCAGAAAAGTTAAAAACAATCTAAGACTAAGAGCCACCACAAAAAAATCAACAAACAAGATTATCACTAAAAAAAAAAGATATTTTGGTTGCATAAAAAAGACATTAATTTGCAGAAAAACATGTTTGAGGGAAGGCAGACCTGCTAGACAAAGATCATGGTTTAAATTTTAAAGACGACATTGAATTGCAGTCCAGAAATGTTAAGGTGCATTGAAAAAGGCAGAGAATGCTCAACAGATATTACAGCTGATCTCCATAATAAAGAGGTCATATGATCTCATCTTTAAAATTGTTACTGGCAAATCTTCTCAAAGACCATGCTTTGGCACTGGTTACCTGCCTGTCCACAGCATTCTGTCTCATGTCGTGTCAATAATTCATGTTGCAGATGTCCTTCCATGCCAGGATGCCAATCATTCCATTCTCTTGCTCGGTCTCCCCCTGCCTCTCCTTCCCTCTGACTTTGCTCTTGTCATGACATACTCTTATTTTCTCCCCTTCTCACAGCATTCCCAAAGACTGTAAACTGACTATTTCTGAAGCAGGTAATTAATGTTGTGTGTGTGTGAGTTAATTAGCAACACTGATGAATTGAAAAACATAATGTTTACAGAACAATGTTTGTGTATGTGTGCTCACATAAGAAAAAGAGCTGAAATGTTATGCGGAAAACCAGTGTTGCTGTATAGCTGTGTATCTTGAATGTGAATGAACAAATTATAATAAGACACATTTTGGGAATACCATGAAAAGATAGTGCGTCCAACTACGACTGCCTGTAAATGGCAAATGAAATCAGAAAACTACATATAACAATAAGAAAGTGGCAGTCAATGTTCTTCAGTCATGTGAGGAGAACAGAGGCAATGGATAACACTGTGATGACTGGAAAGATCAATGGTAGCACAGGCAGAGCAAATGAAATCACAGTGCTCACTGTGGCTAAGTTAACAAAATCCCTTGTTTTTCATGCTAACTCACCAAAGAGCACAGTTATTCCATATATTATTATGGACGTGATATCACAACTGTTTTTTTTTTATGTGATTTATTTCAAAATTAATAATATTTCACACTTGGGGGGGGGGGGGGGGGGGGGGGGGGGGGATTTATACTCATATCATACCAATCATGTCCGGGCACTATTACAGCCAGTACCAAAGCTGTTATAGAGGCATAGTGGTTCCTACCCAGAGACTTTATTTCGCAAAAAGTAAGTAAGTGAAGTAGATGAAGTAAAGGACCCTTTTCCGCACCATTAGGTGTACTGGGCTTATAATGCTAGGCCTGTATTTTATAGACCAATTGGAACTTACAATAATGTGGTCAACATCATGCCAGTCACCTTTACTTCCCAGGACTTTACTTGGTCCCCACTTAAGGCTGAGTCGACCTGGGAGCCAAGGCCATTTCTAAACAAAGTTCAGCTGCACTTGGATTCAAACCTATGATCTTCAGTTCTGGAAGAGAGCAGCTAGCTGCTACACCAGCGGCTCCCCAAGGCAATAATGTTAAGTGTATATTTAGAAAATCTTAACACTGCCACATCTTGAAGGGATTAAATGAATAAACAAATTTTCTCTGTGTGGGTTCAAAGGACTTTACTTGGACCCCACTTCAGGCTTGAAGTTGTCTAAACAAAAGTTCCAGCTGCACCTTGGATTCAAAAAACCGATGATCTTCACTTCTGGTAGAGCAGCTACTGCTTAAACCCCCCCCCCCCCAAGGCAATAATGTTAACCCCCAGATTTGCCACACAAGTAACAAACCCTGTCTGGCTATGTGTTACCCACCATTATACTGAGTACTAGTAGGTCTGGCCCCTCGTCCTTGAGTTTCATGTATAGACTTCAACTGTGGCTGAAACATACTTTTCACTCTCTGCATTTCCTCGCTGCCCGCAGCTGCTCCAGTCTACCAATAGAAACAGGAAAATTATTGTTTTTGTGTTTATCACATGGATAGTTGGTGTCTGTGGCTTAGGCGTTACGAATGTGCTTCATAATTTGTGGTGTCAGGTTTGATCGCAGCTGCTGGCTATTTGGCAGCAGATAGCCTGGCTTTGGTTCTGATAGTGATATTGACAGCGAACTGTAAGCAAGCAATGGCATACCACTAAATGTAAAACTGCCTAGTGAAATTACAAACAGGCAACAACAAAAAAAGCTGGGATTGATACTGCAACATCCTGTAAAGGATATGCTACTAGTTTTGTTTTTTAAACTAATTTTCTGTTGGTTGTTTAACTTGTTTCCATAATAAAGTATATTTCTTAACTGTTTTGTTCCTCTGACCTCGTTTGGGACCTTGCTGCCCCTCCCCCCGCCCCCCAACATCTCATTCATACCAGAAATAACTTTCTTTTGACTAAGCACCCATCTCCACACAGAATCAAATGAATATTTAAAGGTATAATTTCCAATATGGAAAAAAAGTCAAAACCGTGAATACCACTGTCCACCCTTATTTCTATTTCACATTCATTTGTCCTTTGGTATTCCAATACATGCAGTCATCAGTCGATAAGAGACTCACTTTCAAATCCCACTGCGACTCGCTGCAGCCCACAGTTGATGTCTGGATTCACCCAGCCTCTAGGTAATGGGCACCAGAGTTAATACTCTGGGGTAAATTGAGGAACGACGCTGTAGCTTTGGAGTTGCGTGCGGACAGCGACATAGGCGGACAGTTTATTATCAGCTGTCCCTACTGGTGGTAGAGCACTTATGGTTTATAACCGTGTGCAATGACGTAGGTTCATATCTCCCGACCTTACCTTACCTTTTTTTATGCAGTCATCCAGCCTCATTTCGCAACTATGTTTTTACCACTATTACCTACTAATCAAATGATTTCAAAGAACATCAAAGAGTCAAATGGTTTGTTCATCTGGTCAGAATGGAACAAAATCAGCTAGCAGCCAGAGCATTTAACTCCAACGACGAACACCAGAGGTCTATGTAAAAACTGCATGCGTGAACCATATGGTACATCCATGAAGTTAAGCCACAATCTTCAGAGCATGAATGGTTTGACAACATCGCCAGGGAGACCTTCCGTATGAGACATAAACCTGTATACACACGTGATGATCAATACCACATAGCATAGGATTATACAGACTTTTTATCTTAGGAGACTTCAGTATATCTCAAACCCCCTGAGTGGGTTCCAGGGCCCTATTTGGAAAGCAGGGCAGAGAACAATTCCACTGCTCCTCAACAAGCTTGTTGTAAAAGGCGATTCATTAAGCGTCTGCTGAAACTTGATGGGCTGGGCTGAAAGTCACATACATCAAAGCCGAGCTGTAAACCGCAACAAAATGTGCCAAGCCTCCTTTTAAGAGTAACAGAGTAGAGGAAGAAGTGTATCTCAATGCTGACTCACTTTTGGTAAATCAATGAGTACTTGATATCCTTGGTCCAGTCCTATGTGGGCAATGTGACTAAAATTAGATGGTGGGGAAATAACTCTTGATCTTCTGTCAGTCCTGGAAATAGACAATTGATACTGAACATGGCAGCAATGATTTAGACAAACATGTCAATCAGAACATTTACAAACTGAAATGAAATATTCAAAAGCTAAGGATTAATATCTTGCTTGTGATAACTTTATATATTATACAAGTTTAAATTTGATTCAACTGAATGTTAAGCATATTAACTCTTTAAGTCCCAGAGGGTTTAGCATCACAGGCCCATGGGGTAGTCAAGAGAGACGTAAAATCAGCGCATCATGCGTTCATTGGGCTTCTATGCAGTAACCTATGACCGTATGATGCGTTCCTTGGGACTTTAAAAGTTAAAGAAGAAATAAACATGCAACTGATCAGAGGTGCAGGCACAAAGAAAACATGAGGGGACACTAAGCCTTCTTTAAAAATAAATATGTGAGGAGAGACAAGATTTTAGGGGCCTGAGCACCCAGGTCCTAGCATGTAAGTACTTGATACTGATCACTGTCTGTGCTATTTAGAGTTTTTATTAGCAAAAGTAAAGGACCCGTTTCCTCATCTTCAGGTGTATTGGGCATAGAGGGTTAGACCTATTTTTTATTTTAACAGATCTGAGCACATAATCGCCAGACCAGCAGAAAAGCCAGCAATCAACTGCACAACTGCAGTTGCTGCTAAATAATAGTATACACTTTGTTTTAAAATATTGAGAAGGTTTATCAAGATTTCTTTAGTATGTGCTGCTAAACCTGAGAAATACGACCACATTCATTGCGATGCCAAAGTCACCAAACTGCTAAGTATTTGGTTTGAGAAAGTTGTCTTTGAACATTGAGTGGCAACTGAAATTGTAATACTTCATTTTAACCTATATGGAGTATAAGTTCAAATGTGTGCTTTCAGCATATTGTAAAGTGAAAAATAACAGCCCTCAAAATCTATGCAGGTAAAAAAATCGCCAAGAATGACTAGTCAATCATATGGTTTTATACATATTAATTAGTGAAATATACTGTCAAAATAGTACAGCAGTGGTGGGAGTTATTTCTGATAAGTTACATTACAGATGTAAGAAATGTTTTTCATGCACAAGAACAGAAACAAACAACAAGGGGTAGAAACTGGGTTAATGAAGAGCAAGCAATTACTTCCTGTGGCATGTAACAACTGAGCAGTTCATGCACTCTAAATTAAAAAAAACACATTCACACTTGTGTACCTCTCTCTCTCTATCTATGTATAAGAGTAAGTGTGTGTGCACGCATGTGCATGAGAGCGTGGGCGTGCATCCATTTTTCCTCTTTTTGTTTTATTTATCAACATATCCTCTCTTTTTTCATTTCCATTTTGAACTCATTGCTAGATTTTCCATTTTGTGAATTATGTTCCATTGGATCTGTTTTAATTTATTTTTACAGCAAAGTGTTCTTGTTACTTTGTTTGTTGATCAAGACTTGGGTCGAAGTGTTAGCTTGACTCTCGGTAAATCATCTGTTTCCTTTCATTGAGCATTTCAGTCATGTTTTGAGTTAATCCAGTTTTTGCTTTTAGCTCGACTGAGCTGTAGTAGTGTAGTGATGAGATGCTCACCTGTTGACTCAAACATTTGGATGTTTAAATCTGCATCAAGACAGGCTTGTTTGGTTTTTTTTTTTTTTTTTTTTTTTTTTTTTAAATTTACAAACTGACCTTGGCTCTCAAGTCGAGTGAACCTAAAACATGTACCAGATAATTTCCTGGGAAGTAAAAGCAGCCAGTGTGATGTTGAGCATACAATCAGCAAAGTGTCGATTGGTCTATAAAAATATAGGTCTAGCACTGTATGCCCGTTGGGCCAAAGACAGGAAAAGGGTCCTTTACTTTTTTTTTAAAGCCTGACTGCAGTAGTAACTCTTATTTTCAACACCATTTTGGACCTTGAGAAGAATGGCACCAGACAACTAATAGTAGAAAGTAACTTGTTTTCTTATTAAGCAGGCTATACTAATCAACAATTAGGTAAGTAGGTAGCGATAAGAGAATACAGCCTTACTGAGCTGGCGGAGCAATCTGCGAGGCAGCCATCAGCTGCCCTGGTCCCACATGAGCGATGTGGCTGAAGTTCAAAGGACCTGAAATCTCTCGGCTACGTCTTTCAGGCCTGTGCATCACACAATATAAACATGCAATAAACTCACTTCTGTCAGATTAATATACCAGACTGCAAAGTTTTTCTACAGGCTTTAGATGTACTTTGATATTTAAAGAGAAGAAGAAAACTTCAAACAAAATGAAGAAAGAGCAGAAAGCGTATCTATATTAAAGTTGAAGAAATGTCTCTCTTAACTCAGAAGTCAGTGTTAATCATCTGGCCACAGTGTTTAAAACAAGATTTCATGCATAAACCAGCCATGAGTCCAGCTTTTACAAAAATAGCAGATTAAGAAAAAAGAATTCATCTATCTGAAAATCAAGAGTCAAGATTTGTATTTATGTACATTAAGCTTCAAGGTTTTATGTGGTACACCCACGGTCAATGAATAAAAATAAAAAAAAGTGAAAGTGATCAATCAAAGTCAAGATTTAAAACAACAGGTAGAGAGCCTTAGACTTCATTCATGAGAAAGTTAACCAGTCACAATTTTATACAATTCAAACAAAGAGCAAAATTCCATGCCTCAACAGGGTCTACAATCAAGATACCATACATGAGATTAGGTTTACTGTTTTATCTATAAGCTGAACATATATAGGTGTTAAATTTATCAACGTGCAACAATTTTAAAAAAAGTAATTACTTCACTTGTAGAAATTAGTATTTAGAACAGGCATAAAGACAATGAAATGGGCTTTTTAATATTTCAGAATCAAAAGTCAGACTTCAACACTAGTTCTTGTATGTCAGTAATCATTCATATGCTTTAACATGCTTTAATAATAAACTGTCAAACTGCTGTCACTACTATCTGTTTGACCACTTTTTTTAGGGTGGTGTAGACAGGGGGTCATTAGCCTAAGGATTTGGGGCCTTATGGCTAGTGCAGATTAGAAAGTTTAATTTTGCCCCCAACAGAAAAACCCCATCACCTTACCGGGGGTCGAACCCAGGTCTCCTAACATGCTTTAATAATGTGAAGTCTAAATGCTACTTGTTTCAGATATCTCAGGCTCAGTGTATATCAGATTTTCAACTCTTTTCTGAATGTTATTACAGACCGTTAAAAGAACTGCTCATCATGTAGCAAGTTCTTTTCAGAATACTGGTCGCTCTCCAGCCACATGCATGTCCCTGCCCAAGGTGTCTCTTATATCCGGTGCTCATCTGTGAGCTGGCTGGCTCCTGCTCCTCCACCTGGTACCATACCCTCAGCTACTGTTCCTTCTAATCCCCTATAATGTTTGATATGGCTGAAGTATTTCAGTTTCCAAGACAAGATGATGTTTATAAGCCAATTTTCATTAATGTTCAGATCTCAAAAGGAACTGTTATTAAATCTAAATAAGATTCCTAAACAGAGTTACAATCCCAAAGATGGTCATGAAATCATTTCTGAGGTATTTGTTGTTTTTAGCTGCAATTTCAGTTATAACAGATGTCAGGTTACATATTAGGAACTTGCTAAGATCATTTGTATTAAACATCTTATATTTTTTACGAGCTTTAATATTTCTGTTTTCTTCAAACACAGTATTATTATTTTTTTTTTAAATTGCCTTTACGACATATAGTGCCCTAATAGATAAATATTCACAATAAAATACAAATTGCAATATTAAAGGGAATCTTTACCCTGTTGAACACTATTTTATGCAAATCTGGCAGGAAATGTCAAGTTTGGAGATTATGACAGGAGGTTATGGTATGCCCAACTATTACAAAAGGCCATGTGGCTCTCTGTGTTTTACCCACATAGGGTGACACCTGGATGGTGTATACATTATGGGCACATTAATTAAACCTTCTTTAGAGGTTGGACGGGGTATCTAGGATCTGTCTTGTTGGTCTACCATCCTGACCGATATTCTTTAATTTCAGGATGGTATGGGAAAACCTTTAGGTAGCAATCCAGAGGGAGGAACTGACTGAACGATCAAACGTGGCTATCGTAAAAGAGATCATATTTAAGAACTAAAAAAAAAAAAAATCATCAGATTATTTGCATTATAAAAAAAAGAGATATGCAGGTCACTTGGCTGTTTTAAAATGGATCTGCAATGGGAATCACAGATTTTTTTTACTATTATAAAATTCTGGCTGAGCGTTGCTCAACTATTACAAAAGTGAGTTGTGGATTGCTTATGAAAGTGGGTCATAGCTAAATTACCATCATCAATAAAAAAAGTAAACTTTTTTTTTTGTCATCAACATAATCATAATCATCATCATCATTGTCATCATTGTCTTTTTGTGCAAGTATGTCAAAAAGGCCTCACAATCTATTCCTCCATTATGTTTTATCTTCTACAATCCCTTAGATATCACGAATAGGGTCAAGTCCAGCAGCTTTGGCCTCTCTCATTCGTGTTCTTTTAGCTTTTCTTTTGGACATCTTCGCTTCCTCAATCCCTTTATTTCCCATTTTTAATCCCATGGGTTGCATGTAAAGGAGAGTTGCCGCTTGGCTATTATAAAAGTGGGTCATGAAATACTTGGCGCGTGTAAGAGTGGGTCACAGATGGTTTGACTATTATTATTACTGTAAAATGGAGCAGTATCTAAGAAAAATGAAAAATTGAGAAAAACTATGCTAACTATTCAATTTGTGTGTGCGTGTGTAGATTTGTTTGTAAAGTTTAACAAAGATTGTTGTTTGACAGATCAACTGTAAAGTACACTATATACAATAAACAAACAGGCAATGTACTGATTGGCACTCATAGAAAGAAGTAGAAAGATAAAAAAAAGCTTTAGAGTTTTTTTTTTTATGTTATCTTGTGAGTTCTATATTTTTACTTCTTTCTATGAGTGCCAATCAACACACTGTCTGTTTATTACATATAATGTTTCTTCTATGGCCTCAAGGGTTGCACCAATGTTTATTCACCTGTAAAGAAGCAGCACAATGAACCAAACTGTGCAGTCCATACTTACACTTTGCTGGCTTTCTCCTCCTGCAATGTTTTGAAAGAAAACCTACGTTTGTTCCTGCTGCTCTTCTGTTTGAAGATGTCCATTACAGGTAATCTCTCTTCTTCTGCAGAAAATAGAATCACTAATGTAGAGCTTTGGGAGAGAACTAAACAAGCTCTAGTGGACCAAGAGGTGAAGAAAAGATGCTAGAGTTGGATAGGACACACACTAAGAAAACCGGAGAACAATATAACTAGAATGTCTTTGCATTTGAAACCACAGGGGCATAGGAATAAAGAAAGGCCAAAAAACACATGGAGAAGGGAGCTGGAGAATAAAGTTAGAAAGATGGGGAGGACATGGGAGAGCTGCATGTGATAGCAAAAGATTGAACGACCTGACGTGAGTTGGTTGAGGGCTTTCAATGCTGAAACAATGACATTTGGTTAGTAAAGTAAAGGACCTTTTTCCCTGCAACATGTGCAATGGGCAATTGGTGTTTGACCCTTCCATTTTTAAGGCCAGCGGCACTTGATGGGTGATGATGTCAACATTATGCTTGCTGCCTTTACTTCCCCCTTTTCGGGACATATCCTAGTACCTGTTTTAGGCTTGGCAGGTCTGGGAAACCTAGGTCCCTTAAAATGTTCCACCTTGATGTGGATTCTGCTTCTTCTGGTTATTCTGGGTATTCAGTTTCATATGCTCAGGTCATACCATCAGGTAGGCCGCCTCTATAAAGTCACATGTCGGTTGCAGGTCATCCACTGTTCACTATAGCTTGCTCTTCACACTCTGCTCTTAAGGCCAAGTTTCTCTTGACGGTTGTAAATAGAGTGGGCAGACCTGCAGAATCTGCTGAGGTGTTTATGGTCCCGATATGCACTCTGTGGGGACTGCACAATCTTTATTTTTGCATAAGATGTGGATTCAAACCCAAGACTACCAGCAAGCAAGCGCCAAGCTGCCATCTGTTAAGCAATTCTTGTTTAATAATTTAAACATCAACACAAGTGGGCTGCTAAGTGATGCCATGTTTTCCTTCTTTCTTTTCTAATTTGTACCTTTCAGTTGAGCAATGTCCACATCACCCACCAAGTGCTGACTGATCTATAAAGCTACAGCTTTAGCCGTATTTGCCTAATGCGCCTGAAGATGTGGAAAAGGGTCCTTTATTTTACTTTTTATGCAGAAAGGTTCTCTACCAACTCATGCTGTCCTTTGTAAATTTGGTGCTGACTGCTTGGATTTTGGAGCTAAAGCTTTCTACGTGTAGGTTATTGTTGCCGTTCTTTGAATCCATTATGGATCCTGGGGACACCTGGGCATGTCCTGACTTTGCTTAGCCCCAATACTTTCCCACTTACAGCCAAAATTTAATCATCTTAACTGCAGTGGTTCACTATCTGCAGAGTTACCTCCATCTCTGTCCAAGGGAATGTGGGTGTTGTTGCTGATGAAAGAGCTGACAGATTAGCTGTCTCTGTCATAGTTGCAGATGCCCAGCCTAGGGATCACGCTGACACTGTGAATGCCTTTAGAGCAGTGGTTCTCAACCTTCCTAATGCTGCAACACTTTTATACAGTTCCTCATGTTGTGGTGACCCTTTAATACAGTTCCTCATGTTGTTGCGACCCCCAACCATACAATTATTTTCGTCGCTACTTCATAACTTCAATGAATATTTGTTTTGCCATGGTCTTTGGCGACCCCTATGAAAGAGTCCATTTGACCCAGACAAGGGTCACAACCCATAGATTGAGAATCACTGCCTTAGAGAATAGACAGGACTTCTTAGCTATCACCAGCTATAAACTCTGGTGGAATGTTCTGGTTGTTTGTACACTTCCAGATTTTGTCTTGTTCCAGAACTTGAGTTTTGTCTGCACATCCGTTTTAAAGATCTGGCTTATCTGTATGCAGACTGTTGGTTCCTCACCTCTCAGGCAGAAGCATGCCAACTTTGAAGAAAACATCCCTAATTAGCTGCCTTTTTGCAACATGCTTGTTAGGGGGCAGTGGATGTATCCCTTCCCTGCCTAACTGGGGACCCTGGAACATACACAAGGAAGAAAGAGAACAATCTGAGAAATTTGGGGCATAAGTGCCAGGCATAAGAGGCATACAGAGGTAAGAGAAGTCTTGTCAACCAGCATAGGACAGGCACAGATAACCGCGGGATGCTGATATGACCGACATGTATGGATTGTCATGAAGATATCAAAACTTATATGGAAACATGTACAGAAACCCAAATCAGTGTTATCTCCATGTGAGCAACAGTCAGCACTCCTCATCATTACATATTTCTAGGCTCAGATACATCAAACAGCCACCTGAGAACCCCTTCTGCAACTTAGAGGTGATGACATAGCCCTCCTCATCATCACATATTTCTAGGCTCAGATACATCAAACAACCTGAGAACTTATTCTGCAACTCAGAGGTGATGACATAGCATCAGTGAAGTGCCATCTCCACAATGGAAATTGGCTGCAGTGTATATCCATCCCCTGTCTGACACTCAGACAAACTACTGTTCATCCATCTCTGGATATCTGTTTGCATGTATCGCTGTCTACTTCTTGCTCATCTGCTTGTAACTGATCCCTTCTGGGCAGTTTTTATAAGAGTTAAATCTTTGAATGTGACTCAAACATTTCACATACTTCCTATTTTTTTTTTTTTTTCTGACATCAACTCTATTTTTATTCCCAGTCTCACCAAAGTCTCTATATTTTATTTTATTCTTTTTTGCTTGCGTGAAATACAACCTGCTTTTCTGATTTTCTGTGTATCCCCTTCAGGGCCTCAATTCAATTTGTAAAATTGTTTTCTCGTTATGCAAGCTTCTGCGATATACACTGATACTGAATATGAAACACATTGTATTTTTAAGTGATGTTTACCTCCATACAGGATTAATATTCTTTCAGGTGTGTAAAGATGAGAATGCGTCTCAGTTTGAAACCATAATATGATTCGTGCAGCCTGCATAAACTTATTTTTCTTGATAGAACAAAGCAATGAAAAAAAAAAGTTTTTAAAAAAAAAGAGCTTTATAAAAAAAATGTGAAAAAAAAGAGCTATATCTAACCTTTCTTGATATCTTTGAAGTAGACAATATGCTGTGAGTCAAAGTTGTTGATAAAATTCAGAGAGCCATCTTTACAAAGAGGTTTTGTCTGCAAAGCATAAATGTTTCAATACAACAATATACTCAACAACAAAGTGTGATAATGTGAACTATGGCTGATGTAAAAAAAGACATAAAGATAACTAGAAGTGAGCAGATAACTGTGACAAGTGACAGTGACAGAGTTAAAGGAAATAGCAAACTACTGTGACAAGTTGCTGGGAATCATCATCATTGTCCTCCTGTGCTTTTATAGGTTAAATAGAGTTCAGTCTATTCCTCCATTCTGTTCTACACTATGTAACCAATTCAACCTGCTACCTGCTACATGATGATGATGACTTCTAAAGCTGAGGTACCTGGTTTGAGCTGTGCGGGATAGACAGAAGATCATCATCATAAACCACTTCTGTTGTTAAGCGTCGTGGGGAGGAATAATTTGTGATCCAGTGCACGTTGGCTGCCACTGGCTATTGTCATACCGTGAAGGCGTAGAGTGTCTTTAATGTTATCTATCCATATTTCCGCGGCCGTCCTCTTGCTCTTGTAGCTGATCTTCTGAGATGTAGTGCCTGTGATGGTATTTGATCTTGCTGCATTTTAACGAGATGGCCAATCCACTTGATCTGCTGTTTCTCAATTCAATATTGTGCATGAAATCCAGTCCTGCCCCTGTGGCCTCTCTCATCAATGTTTGTTTTATAGGTTGGTTTTTTTTTTGGGGGGGGGGGGGGGGGGGCGGTGGGATCTTTGCCTTCTTAATCTTTTCATTTCCCGTGTTAGCACCTGTTTGATGATTCTCCACTCATTTCTTCTCGGAATGTGGTCCATTATAACCCTATCCTCTCTGTCTTATAACGGTTGACCTAGTTTTCTAGCTGTTGCCCGGATATGTTTATTATTTATTCACGTCTCTTGAATTCATCCCATTTTTTGTTCAACATTTTCCTCAGCATTTGTTTTTAAATGCATTTAACTTTCGTTCAATGTCTTTAATGGTTCTCAAACTTTCACTCGCATATCTTCAAACTGAAACAACACTGCAGATGAAAATACGTAACTTGGTTTTAAAACGAATTAATTTAGAGTTCTGGGAATGCAACAGTTAAAATTACAAAAAGACATGAGTGGATTTATTTCTTCTTTTTCTTCTGCATTTATCCGAAGATGTAATTGCGTTGTGCCCGTTTATAGCATGGCTGCGATATTTGCACCTTTTGGCCAACACATCCGACTTCTGCTAGCATATGTTGACCGGGTTAGCCTTCCCAGGAAGTGGATTTATTTAATACTTAACTGAGACAGCAGGAGTAATTTTTTAACTAAAAGTGAGTGAACTAATGTGATAACTAATTGGCAGCAGGAGTTAGTTAGTTGATAAATTATCCTCAGTGCACACTGAACCATTCAGTCCATAAGTACTCAGATCCCTTCCTTAGTAAATCCTGCAGCGTGTAGGGGCTGACGACACCAACAAGTTCTATGCTGGTTTCTTATTCTTCACTGGCTTCCTGCATAGTGCTCTTCTCTAGCCACACCCCTTTTAACAGTTTGTTCTTGCAGCCTGGTCATGGCTGCAGATTCAGTCATCACTTGGTTCTCACACACAGCAGCAGGAGTTACAATTTTTAACTAACCATGAATGAATTAATGAAATAACCTATTAGACAGCAGTATGTACAGTTATATTTAGAGGTGAGTGAATTAATGTAATGTTTAGTTAAGACATCAGGAGTTAACCGTCACAAGCAGTGAGTGAATTGATGTAAAGTCTGCTTAAAACATCAGGAGTTACAGTTATAAAAACAACAGGTAAAGAACTCTTTTCCACACCCTTAGGTGTATTGGTTATTTAGTGCTAGACACATATTGTACAAACTAATCAGTAGTCTGAGAGTGATGTCGTCAACATCACATTGGCCAATATTACTTCCCAGGAGGTTATGAGAAGAAGTGAGTCTTCTGCGTGTTCATCAACTGTTCTGGTTGTCGTCCATTTGTTTACTTTAGTCTTGCTCCAGTATTTAAGTTTTTCCTGCGCGTATGTTTACCTATCTGTCTTATTTGTAAGGAGACTGCCGAATTCCTTGCTTCTCAAGCAGATGCACTCCAACTTTGAAAAGAAAAAAATTTTATAGTCGATGCTTACAATGTGCTTGGTAGGGAGAAAGTGGGTCTATTATTCTTGTCCCCAATAATGAGACCCTGGAATTGATACAGGGAGGAAGAAATGAGTGAATTTATTAAATAAATGACAGTAGGAATTACAGTTATAAAAAGAAATAAGTGAATTATTGTGATAATTTGCCGAGCAACTCTGTGGATAATGACAACACATACAATCTTTTGCAATTAAACTGATCCTTCCACCAAATGAATGAATCATGAACTGTCATACTGGGACATTCCCACATCTGCACCGTCCCCTTCTTTAGTAACCAACAAAGAGATGTCATGCTAATTGTACCAGTCACAACCTGATTAAAAGTCTGGCTCTGTTTCCTCTTCAATAATGAATATCTCCCAGAACCTCTCACTATAAACACCTTAACAATTACATTATGTGTTAAAGTGTATGTTAAAAGAATATATGTAATCAGAGAACATATTTTACAGAGAAGTGTAATCTCTTTTAGTCCTAGGTAGCTATACATTCAGCGGTGTCTGTGATTCAGTTTATGTATCTTAGAGCAACATTATTTTAGTCTCACAGAGCTGAAAAATACAACTTTCGGACAGAGGTCATTATAGTAGCAACTGAAATGTTCAGGGTCAACATAACAGAAGAATAGGATCGGAAAAATAAATAAAAGTAAAGAGTAACCAATGAACCTACAGTAAGTTCCCTGGTACTAAAAGCATTAAATATTAGGCTTTATCTTTTCTAAAAGCAATTTTCCTAAACTAACTTCTTACCCTTTTGAGGCACAGTGTCTGTAACCATTCAGAAGTGTTAACGTCAAAAATGTAGACAGAGTTTTCTGAGTAACATGCCAGGTAGGGTGCTGTATAGCCTGAAAAATACACACAGGTAAATTACTTCATTGACAATATGAATGAAAGATATTCTTGAAAGTGGCAACAACTGTTCAAACTCACTGAAAGAAATGTAACTTTCATGGGGGGGGGGGGGGGGGGGGGGGGGGGGGGGGGAGTCATGTATCATACCTGTTCCATTCCTGTGCCAGTGGAAATCACACACAATGTCCTTCACTGTCCCATTTAAAAACCAGTGGGGAAAAAAGCCAGTCTCAGTAAAATCTTGAAGTTTGCACAAGCAATGTAAATGGACAAGGCAGCTTTCAGATGTGCCAAGACAGTCTCACACCAGAATTAGAGCCCAATGTTTATGCAAGCAGTCAATTATAAAAGTCGGCATGATACATGCATTGTTCATTGTTCATTTTAGAGATCATCTTCATCGCACATCAGACATTGTCATAAGTGCTCCTATCTCCTCCTAAGTGTGTCTGCAATTGTTTTTAGGCTAACAACTCCCATTATGTTCTGGCTGATGTAATGGCGGGTGGGTCCCGCATGGTTTTCCTGTCTCACATATTTGCAATACTGCATAAGTACATGCCATTCCAGATGTCATCCGCCAGCTGTCATTTTTAGTGCAGTTCACAACACGAAACTACTGCAGGCACAACAGAAGAAAGAAAACACATTACACATTAAATCCACAGCTCATAGTGTTAGTTAGTTAGTTAGTTAGTTAGTTAGTTAGTCGACAGATTATCCTCACTGCACGTCAAACTATTCAGTCCATAAGTGCTCAGATCCCCTCCTCAGTAAATCCAGCAGTGTTTGGCAGCTAACGACACCAGTTCTGTGTTGGTTTATTATTTACTCTTTGGCAACCCGAGTAGTGTTCTTGTTTGGCGACACCCCGTTTAACATGTTGTTCTTGCAGTCTGACCTTGGTTGCAGATTCACAGTTCTCAGTTCAAACAAACGTCCTAACTCTCTTAGAGCATTCAGTATATCAGCATTGTCCATGGCTTGTCCCATCAAGCACTAAACTCAGTAGCTGGGTGATGGAACCTTTGTACTCCAAGTCCAGATATGGGTAATTTGCATCAGCAAACCTCGGCTAGAAACAAATAACTTGTGCTGGTAATCTGTCATATTGAACCGCGTCCCATGGTTAATCAAAGGGGATAATAATTCTTCTTTTTCTTCTTCATTTGCTTGATTATTATTTTGGATCTAACTGTCTTCTGCCTGCTCCCAGCTCAGATGCATTATTTGTACCATTCAGCCTACACATCTGATTTCTTCAGGTATTTATTGTCCGTAATACCCTTCCAGGTTAAAAGTAATTTTAAAACAAATGTTCTTACAAAAGTAAATATTTTTGCAGAAGAAAACTTAATATCAGGCATTTTGGGAATATAGGGCTAGACCTATATTTTATAGACAAATCAGCAACCTGTCTGTGCTGGGGTCAACATTACGCCAGCCCCCTTTGCTTCCCAGGTCAACCTAGGAATCAAGGTCATTTTTGACAGCTGCCTTGTGTATTTATTTTGCATGTGCAAGATTTGACTGGGACTGACATGTTTGTCACTAGTAGACCTTAACCCATGACCTTCAAATGTGCAGGTGAGCATTTAGCCGCTACACCATCGTGGCTCCCTCTGGCCATATTATGATAAAATAAATCCTGTAACATGATATTACTTGAAATACTTATGGCAAAAGAGACAGAACAAGACAACGAAAGAATATTTCTGACAGCTTTTTATCAAAGTATATAAAGGTGCCAGCAAATGAACTGATACATGCTTTTAGAGACTGCAAATTGGAGAAGTATTATCACCCACACCTGTCAGCAAGGCACTTGATGATGATGAAAGCAAATGTGAAAGTGATCGTGTGAAATACTAAAAATTTAGATATGTTAACCAAACAAACAAAAAATTGGAAAGACAGCAATTATATATCAATCATCTTCACAATAGACGACAAAGGGCGGTGCATTAACAAGCCTTCAACGACAAACAATGAGGGGAACCAAAAACACACACACACACAAATGAGATGATGCTTAAGTAACTACAATAGAGTATTTATATTTTTAAAGATGGAAGATGATAGCAAGGGGGTTGGGGGTAGGGGGGGGGGGGGGGGTGGTGTAGATAAAGTGTGTGAGAGGAAGAGTAATAAGCAGGTGGAAGTGAAGGAGGCAGGGAAAAAGACAGAAATGAGAGGTGGGGGTGTCTCTTATAATTAGCTTATAATGAAACTAAACACATATTCCTTGTATACCATTCATGACAGACTTCACAGATATCTTCACACAGAACTGCTACTTACTAACAGCTACAGGTGTTGCAGGCCAGAGAATCTCTTGCTGCCTGCTACGATTTCCACTGTTGTTGACATAGACCCCTACAACTGGAAGATGGATAGAAAACATTCAGTCAGTCTGTCAGTCTCTCTCCCCCCCCCCCCTCTCTCTCTTCCTCCTTCTTCTTCCCCCCCTTCCTCCTCTCTCTCTCTCTCCTCTCTCTCTCCTCCCTCCCTTCCTCCCTCCCTCCTCCCTCTCTCTCTCTCTCTCTCTCTCTCTCTCTCTCTCTCTCTCTCTCTCTCTCTCTCTCTCTCTCTCTCTCTCTCTCTCTCTCTCTCTCTCTCTCTCTCTCTCTCTCTCTCTCTCTCTCTCTCTCTCTCTCTCTCTCTCTCTCTCTCTCTCTCTCTCTCTCGCTGACATAAAGTTGTGGATACAATTCATACATCAGACAACATTTTCAAGTCTTTTATTATAATTCTACTACTTCTTTAATACTTTCAGTTTTAAAAAAAAAAAGAGATTTAAAAAAAAAACATAATCACATTTCCATGCCAGTTTGGCAAAACATAAATGAGGTGCTAGGCTTCATTATCAGACTCTAGACCAGTGGTACCCAATACGGGGGTTCGTGGAACCTATTTTAATAATCTGTGATATCATTTACTTTTTTTTTAAACCTCAACCCTTTTTTTTCGATTACGACTATAAAATATGGTGACCATAACTCGTTTTCACCGGGACAGTATTGTGTTTTTAGGTAGGCTCAGGCGGCCCCTTCGATACTAAACTTTGATTGAAACATAGGCATTCTGTTGTTGTTGAGTCCTGATGAGATAATCTGGGCCTATCTTTAAAAAAAAATAAAAAAAGACAACCTCCCGACGATATGGTTACCATGTTATTAAAAAATATGAGGCAGTGGCAGACTTGTGCAAATAAGATGGGTCAGTGAGCCTTACCTAATTTGGAACCACTGTTCTAAAGCATGGTATAATGAGGTGAGTTGGCCAATTCCCTTCCTCAATACCTTTCACTTGCAGACAACTGTCATACATTCTGAACCATCCAGTGCAAATTATTTTAGCCTTTCTGCCCCTTTTTAAAAAAATTTGGGAATTTTATCACTGCTGGGAAATGAACTCAGGTCTTCTAGAGCAAGGAAACTAACTGCTATGCCAGCATGATTCCAATTAATTATTACTGGAATTTACAATGTAAAAATGTCACTAATACAACATGCAGGACATCCTGTGTCTACCTCCAGGTCTGTATGTATTTTTCGTCTTCTTCTGCGAAGTATTCCCCGACTGTAACACAGGCGTCAACCAACTAATTAGGTTGGTCTCTTTAGACATGTTTTTGGTTAGCAGTCACAAGAGGGAGTAGCAAAACCTAGGGCTGCCAATGGATTTTTTTTTTTTTTAACCCAGCAAAGCTGAACAAAAATCAAAGCAATACATAGGCAAAGAACAAAAAACAAAAAAACCCAGATTGTTACAAAAGTATACATTTTATAATTACAAAATGAAACATTTACCCACTTTTATTTAAGGATATTTTTTTTTTTAAACCCAGATTTCAAAATCTGAACCCAAGACTTCAAATAAAACCAAGATCTTGGGGTAAAAACCCATCATTGGGCACAAACCCAAGGCTAATTCTACCCTTAGCCACCTCTTACAATTAGCTTTAGAGGATGCAGTGTTACCATTATTTCCTTCTTCTAAGATCCCTCTAACACAACAGGCAGCATGGTCTACATTCAGTCACACTAACAAACCAAGATCCCTCTAACACAACAGGCAGCATGGTCTACATTCAGTCACACTAACAAACCCAACTTACTGTTGAAGACCAAGAGATACTCCTTTTGTGACAATTCAACTGCAAACATGGCATCAATGGGATTCTTCACCAGGAAACTCAGGGTGTTGTCCTCAGTGCTGACTAAGGCTGGTTTCAAAGGAAAATAAACATACAGTATAAAGTGTATGATGAGAAACAGCAACAATCTTTTTCGTCTTCTAACTAAATTCACCCATAAAAAGGTGGTTTTGGTGGTTTATGGCTACTTTTTCTGCAACTTTTGGCCCAAAACATCAAATTTCAGAAAACCTCTAATTATTCACCTTTTACGACATGCTTGTTAGGGTCCATTTGGGAGGTTCTCTGCGGCGAAGTGGTCAAGCCGTTTGCCTCGTGCTCTGAAGGTCAGAGTTTGTTTCCAAGGTGCAATGTTAGGTTCACAAGTGCAATTTAAAAAGATCCTTGGAGACTGTTGGTGGAGCTGCAGAGTTCTTATTTTGTGTGACATTCGTGGTGGGTGGCTAGCCGTTCTGCAGAGAGAGACCAAGTCATATGGACTAGAATCTGGTGCAATGAGAACGATCCCCTCAACTTTAGGATCCAGAACCAACGATGTTGAGAGCAAAAATATTATACACAGCACTGAAATATTAACTCATTTAGTTATAAACAACTCACTATGTGTTTGTTGGCTTCAACTGACAAGATATACTTGTCTGTATTCCTTCTTACTGGAGCCACTGTGGTGGAGTGGCTAGATGCTCGCCTATGGATCGGAAAGTCATGCGTTCAGGTCCTGACGGCACCAGAATCATTTTTCAAATAGGACCTTGGCTCACAGGTCGACCCAGCCTTGAAGAGCTTTGAGCTTGAGGATAAGGGCCACATGGCTAGTGCTGTCGCCACAACTGTGCAGGTGAGGATTTTACCCTATACAAATGATCACTTTCCGAAATTCAAAACAGTGTTTTGAATTTTAAATAACGAGACACAAACAATATATTGCATTATATTTTTTATGGCATATTTTGTTCTGTGTATTACTACATGAACATATAATGAAGCATACAATTAATCATTTTAACTAAAATACAAACATCACATAGCTTCTTGTTAGACTGTATATATTATCACATAACTCAAAATATTTACCAGGAGGAGGAAAAAACTTATGTGGAAACAACCAGCAGATCCGAGACTTCAATGACCACACAGACAGGCAAAATCTTCCTCAGCATGTTAAAGACCTACAATGTAGTTGCATCAGGACATTTAGCAAGACAGTCCAGAAAATGCATGCATCAGTCGTGGCTCCCCCTTATGGTCCTGACACCCCCATGTGTGGAGCCAATCTTAGAGGGCGTTTGAACCTTTCTGTCACCCAGTAGGACAACTGACCATCGGTCATCTGAACCTTTTCCGTCACATGGTAAGACATTTGATGGTCAGACTTCTGAACCTTGTTTTTCATACAGTAGGACATCTGATGGTCAGACATTTGAAACTTTGCTGTAAGAAACTGTCTCATATTATACATAATTTTCACTCAGAATGCTTTTTATAATTAACAATAGCTCCCAGGTCAATCCAGTATAAAATAAGTATGAAAAAAATGTTCCAGGAAGTCTGACCATATCAACCATCAAGTGTTGACTGATCTATAAAAATATGCATTAAGTACCATCTGCCCAAATACACCAACAGCAAGAAAAGAACATGTCACCTTTTTTAGTGAAAGCAGAGCCACTGAAACAACTGAAAAATAGTTGATAACTATCGGTTATGGTACAATTCAAGCTATCCCCCCCTCCCCCCCCCCCCACCATGACAGAAGGTTAGACAGATATACTATATCACCGACATCAACACTGCTAGACACAAGTCTTACTCATGGGAGCTGCATCCCCCTGGACACAATAGATGGCGAAACATGAAGGGTAGCCGACACAGAGTCGATCACTCATCATCTCTATACACTGAACCTGACCAGCCACCTGAACAAAATAGGAACACCATATGATATACAGTAACAAAGTAGAATATAGACGATGCAGTACTTTCATATACAGTAAAACATATTGGTGAGCACAGAGTATATATATATATATATATATATATCTATATAATATATATATATATATATATATATATATATATAATATATTATATATATATATATATATATATATATATATATATATCACACACACATCATCATCATCATTATCGTGTGCCTTGCCAGTTGGCATAGGCACTTATGATCTCCACAAATCACGATCACTGGTTGCCTGGAACGGCTCTTCTGATATCCCTGCCGAACAGCATCCTCTTGATATATCCCTTTTATGCCGTTTTATTTCTTTCAGCGCATCCAGCATCATTTCTCTTGGTCTTATATATACATACACATACAAAAAAGGTTAAAAGTTAAAGTCGAGAGGATCACTTCATTTTATCCCATATGGCCCTGTCTCTCTTCCCAGAACGGCTAGCTGCCTGCCAAGAGCGCCACGCTCAGCATGAAATCCGTAGCTCCGGAACGATCTCCAGGGATCACAGAGACATATGTGTCTATGTGTAGCATGCACACGTGAGCAAGCATGTATTATACACACATCACAACCCACCCACCAATAAACCCACCCACACACAAACACACACACCCAAAATCTGTAAACAGGTTAATACTTTGAGTAATATGTGCACATTCTGAGATGAAGAGGACTAAAATCACAAAACAGACTGAGGAAGTGAGAACTTATGGGAGACACTATGGGTTCCCCAAAATAAAACCTACCCCAAAAGTAAGCACTAGCCAAATTTTTCAGGATGCTTTTAACATTTACACTACACCCTATTTTTTTTTTTAAAAAGCACTACTTAAGACTGTCAGCTAGAATGAGAGATATGCTGCTGGACAAGAGAGACAGGGGCCAATGGTTCTGTCGGAAATGGAGTTGCAGGAAATTGGAGTTGCAAGAAAGTCAGGCCAGAATTCAGGATTTATCTGGGTCACTTGTTCCCTTGCTGGGTGTCTCCGTGGCAAAATGGTCAAGCCGTTTGCCTCGCGCTCTGAAGGTTGTGTGTTCGCCTCACGGCTGTCCCATTCAGTTCACGAGTGCAGTTTTTATGGTGATCTCTGGGGATCGATGCCGGAGCTATGGAGTTTGTACTTAGTGCGATGCTCTCGGCAGGCGGCTCACCCTTCTGTGGAGAGAGACCAAGCCATATGGGATAAAACCGAATGCAATGAAATCAATCCTCTTACTTTAAATTTGTAACTTTGTTCCCTTGCTAGTATCATATATCCAGTATAATTTTTATAAGAGTATTATATCTTTTAAAAACGCCAAATTTCACTTTCTTATTCGTTCAACAATGTTATTTCCATTCTTCAAAACCTCTTCGCTTTATTACTTTTGTTTCTTGAAATACAACCTTCTCTTCTGTACATTCATATCATCAGTGCCTCAGTTCAGCCTTCTGCTTGTTCAATTTCCAGATTTCTGCAGCAAGAAATTAGTTTGCTTCAGTATTTTATATCCTCCCCCCTCCCTCCTTTCCTTTTTCAAACCTGAAGAAGGTATACATACCTGAATATCTTTCATCTTGCGGTATTTCTGGCGTGTCTTGTTGATCTCATAAACCTGAACTGTGCGTTTGATAGCCACACACAGGCAACAAGAGTTGCCACCATGAGGCTGTCGAATTTCCCCATGGCAAAATATCTGGCATCCTTTAGTTTCGTTGATCTTCAACGGTTCGCAGTCATTGTTTTCTAAGGCTGACTGGTGCAGAAGCTTTATATGTCTTTGCTTGCCTATAGATTTAGAGATAGGAAATGAATCAAGGGTTGGCTGGTTGGGCAGCTGATTGGTTTTGTTTGGTTGGTGTGCGTGTGTGCACTATTTGGGGTAATAGATCACTGGTCATTCACTTTGTATTGTCTTTACTTTTTAGCACTTTGGATAAGTTAAGATACACTGCATTTGTGTGTGTGTATGTGTAGGTGCTCGTGTGCGTGTGTGTGAGCATGTGTGTGTGAGTGTATATGGGTGTGTGTGCATGTGTGTGTGTGCTCACAGGCACACAGTGATGCATGTGTATATACTAATAGCTCATGGAAGTCATTCACCGTCTCCAATCCCACAAACAACAAGCATAAACAAATACGTTGACCATCAACTCTGTTCCACCAAAGAGATGGTGGTTGACAGATATGCAAAACTTTAAAGCATTTACAGAATGAGCTGACATCCTTTTAAAAGATAAATCTCAAAAGTCAGAAAACCCAGTAGATGCCTTTGTTGACATAAATATTATTACTGCAAAAATGTATGTTAAAACACCACTTAAATAAATAAAGCATCCCAATAAACACATGTAAAACAGTTATCATCAAATAACCATTCACACAATCATTAACTTACTACAAACACTAAAATAAATATTAACATACCACTTAAATAAACAAGGTAGCCCAGTTGCTGCTCCTGCAACAAATCAACCTGGAACACTTGCTTCCTCTCACTTCTGTCTCCAATGCGCACAAACTCTGTTAAAAACATAAAATATCTCCCATGTTAAGGACATCACTGGGCTGCACAAAATATACTCAAAGTAATAAGAGACTGGAGAGAACTGATTGTCTATATCAGAAAGAGACAATCTACATTCTTTGGTGATATGATGAGAAGGGTAAAAGTGGAGTACACCATTACAGTAGGAAAGCTGGAGGGGAGGAGAGGCATAGGGAGATCGAGAGAAAAGATGCTGGACAGTTTGATATCATGGCACGGACGATCATCTGTATCAGGGTTGATTGAAAGTACACGAGACAGAAGGCTGTGGATAGACATGACTACCAACGCCAGATGGCATGGACTTTAAGAAGAAGAAGAAAAATGAGAGAACTACAATAAAACCATCCCTTTGAGTCCGCGACCTATACTGGTCCTTGCCCTGATACTCTCGATATGTCTACAGGAGTGTCAGACCATGGGGGCTTAGAAACCTTGAGTTCTTCTAGCTCCCAGGGCTACCCTCCACCTCCCCAAAAATTTTAGAAGCTGTTGAGCGCCACCTCCACCCTCTTAGAAAATTTCTAACGGGGCTAAGTTGATCTACGACATTGTATATAAGTTCTCTCTTCAAGTATTTGTTCATACACGTCATATTAAAGTTCAAGTTTGTTGCAGAACATTGCAGAATCAACCCCAACAAATTTGTTTTGGGCTGTTGTGGTTTTTCTAGGCAAACTAACATTCATTAGTTTACCACTGCTCCATATGTATTATGAGTATATATTTATATATATATAAGTGTGTGTGTGTGTGTGTGTGCATGTGTGCGTGCGTAGGTGATAAATTAGGCCACTGGTCTCCTTTTTATTACTCTCGATAACACTGTCAAAACTAAAACAAGACGGAATGCTGCGAAATCGCATGCAGCTGGGATTGAGCCTGGTACCCCAGCCTTATGAAGCATGTTCGTAATGCGTAAGCCATACAGACCGACATGCTATTCTATTTTAGATAATGTATTTTATAAAGATGAGAAATACTGACATCTTCAAAGATCTGAACATTAAGGAAAATTGGCTAATAAACAGCATCCTTTGTCGAAAGCTGAAATATTTTGGTCATATCAAGCGCCACGACGAATTGGAAAAAATTATAGCTGAAGGCATGGTACCAGGAAGGAGGGGCAGGGGCCGACCGACATGAAGATGGTTTCTTACAGGCAGACTGTGATGAGAGCAACGTTCTGCAAAGGACCTGCTACATGATGATGATGTATTATATAAATAATTATACTTTGAAAGTGCAACAAGAAAACAATCAAGACTACTATACAATACAGGTTACAATAATACATAAACAGGGGAAAAATGAAAGGGTAAGACTTACGATCCTTGGTCAAATCAACTATATACAATCCATCATCTGTTCCTAAAATGAGTCTTGATGAATCTGAAATTTAAAAAAAAATTATTTTAAACAACTGAGAATACATTAATAATCAGAACAGATAGATAATTTTACCAAACTAATCTTTCAAAGCCATTTACTATTTGAAAAAAAGGCCAGGGGAAGATAGTGTAACTACAAATACCACATTTGTCCGATAAACTTTTAAATCTTCCAGTCCCATCAATGTTTTTGTGTTATTTGCTCTTTTCATGAATCCTAACCATCGCATAAGGAGTTCCCTTATACTTTACGTTTTGTAAGTACATACTAGAGAAATCGGGTATGCCCAGTGGTAACTTCTCATGTTTTTTACCCCTTCTGAAAGAAATGCATTTAGGATGTTCTATAATGGTTATGTAATCTCTTAGCATCTCCTGTAATGCATTCTAGAACTGAAAGTTGACCTCTGCAGCATTTATCACTAAAACTGCAGATACATACATAAATATCATACAGGATTGTTTAGGCTACATTTTTTTAACCAATCAGAACTCAATGGGTGACATAATCAATATTATATCAGCAAACTTTACTTCGCAGGACACTTCCCAGTACCTAATTGTTTTGGCTGGGTTGACCTAATCAATTATTCATTTAAAAATGTGTCACAATGTAGACACAAACCTAAGACCTATGTACCTGCAGAAAGCGTAAAAATTATGGTGTTTTTTTTCGTCAAAATTACCTATTAAACAGGACAAAAGTTATTACGTTAGTTAATGAAATGCTCACCTAAAATGACAGCACAGTATGTACTTTTCACTAGAGGAAGTGAGTTATCACATACTTCTTGAGCACTATATACCTGAAACACATAAACAGAAATACTTATTACCTGAAACACATAAACATAAATACTTATTAATCTCCTGCATTTGCCAAAATAAAAACATGACAGCTATTCAAGAAGCAGTGTTAGATATGTATTGTCATTATCATCAGTGACATAAGATGGTATTTTTTTTTTCTCTTCATAAATATCTTTCTTTTGTGCTACTGATAAATTAGGCCACTGGTCACCTTCCATGCCACTCTGTCAAATGAACTCATTTTATCCCTCTGATGTCCCCTCTTGAACACCCTTAACCTTTCTGGATGTCAGTCTTTTCCAGGCCCTCACATGTCAAAGCATAAGTGAATAATGATGTCTGACTTGTTGTGACAAGGTTTAATACATGTGTTTGTAAATCTTGTCTTTTCCAGTAGTTGAACTCAGGTCTTATACCAACACAGGAGGTTGTGAGTGAGAACTCTAAATTATTTTGATTTAGATATGAACACTAAAAAAGAAGAAGGTGTATAAAGTGACATGGTAAGCCTCTTCACTCTGGAAATGATTTGCAACAATGGTGATCATTCATAAATGCGGCAACAATGACAGAAGAAGTATATAAAACAGACAATACATTCTAGGTCCAATCACAGCACCTCGATAATATAAGGTTGCTGGCAACAAATAAAATGATCTCAACAAACACAATGGTGCTGATAGGTCAAGGTAACTGATTCTGAACTAAGAGTGTTCAATGCTGAAACAAGAATCGATATCACAGCCCTTGGAACATACCCATAAACACTCCATCCCCATCATCAGCAGCAAGCACAGAGTTTCAATTCTGATGGTAACAGTAACAATCTGACTGTATATCCATCTCGTCTTTCTCTTGAGTGTTTAGGGCAGGCCATTTTCCTTGGTCACTCCTCGCAACACCATTTTTCTCAGACCATAATGATCTTTTTGTGCCTCTGCACTATTCACTTGCTCCCAAAGCACCCTTATAACATCTAGTTGTCATGCATCAGTTCACCACCAAGTGGCGCAGAACCAGCCAGTCTATCTGCCTGTTGATTTCCTAACACACCAGAATTACATAGGGAAAATATCCTAACAACCTGGGACCTCTAAAGCAATGCTTGCCACTCTGCATGAAGCACACCTGTCTCCCATTTTCACAACATGCTCTGCGAGTCAGTTAAAACTACAACATTGTGCACAGCTGGTTCTTAAACCAGCAGAAGGCTGCAGTGACCACCTCCACCTCCATTCTCAAAATAAGAGTGAAAACAAATTGATATAAAATTTTAACTAGACTTCTTGATAAGGACAAGCACTTACATTCTTGTTGGGGAGATTCCTGCTGCGCAGTATTATATGGAGCTGGGACAGGATTTTCAACCAGTTGTCCTTCTCCTTCTCATTATCAGCCATTAAAAGTATCTGATGCTGTGTTCCTGGTGGGTTCATCTCTGAAGTTGTAACCTAGAACAAGATAAACTAGACTAGACTAACAGGCACTGAAATGGAAATGCTGAGAAACCCTAAAATGAACGTTGATGTTGTTTGTTTTAGTATCCAGAAGCCATGAGTTGTTAACCCTTAGGCTCGGTATTATGGATATCGCAACCTTTCGGCCTTGATTCCATTGTAAATACCGTCAATCTGGGAGAAAATGTGGCTTTCCTGCCTACCCCCGGGATTGAACCCGGACCACAAGGAGTACGTCACCCGGTCTCTGCGAAATCCGGTTTAGCCAATTTCGCTAGAGAGCCGGGCAAATGAACGTTGATGAGAGAAGCCAAAGATGCTGGAATGGATTCCATCCCTGATATCAAAGTGATTGAAGAGGACAGAAGGGAATAGAGAAATAGACTGCGAGTCATGTATGACATATACTGGCAAAACAGAACAATGAATGAATGTATCCACGAGCCTCTGAGCTTTAGTAGCATTTCAGCTGCTTAAGGAGCTTCCTGTCAGCTTTAAATATTATATTAAAAGCGGTTAAAGTATTAAAAGCTAAAAGCAACATTTCATAGTTAAGTAGGTATTTTTCCTTCATAATCTAGTCTCTTTAAAGCTTTCAATCTATCTTTTCTTATCTCTCTCTCTCTCTCTTTCCTCTCTGTCTCTCTCCTGCATTGCTCTGTCTCTGTTACTTCCTTCTCTCACTTCTCTCTCTTATTTCTGTCTCTCACTTCTCTCTTACCTCTTTCTTTCTTTCTCACCTCTTGCAGGCAGCCTTTTGGCCACACACAAAAACGCACACTCCGTAACTACAGTCACTATTTTGTTTCTGTGTTGCAAGTGTGCATGCATCACCCAGCGTCACCCAACGAGACATAAAGTTTGATCTTGCTGTCACTTAATGACATCTTTAAAAACCACCAACCAGATTTTCCTGTCATCCCATAACCATCTGTGACCGACTTACTGACTTTCCCTTGTATTAAGTTACATTCTTACATTCTGACAGACCAATTGACACACAGTGTGATTTATTCAATATGGAGTTGGCTATCTTTACTTGACACATTTCCCAATACCGTTTTAAGACTATCCACCAGTGTCTCCCAGTGTACCACTGGGAAAATGGGGGGGGGGGGCGATACAGCTACTGGCTCTAACAAACGTGATAAAAGTCAACTAATTAGGGATGTTTCCTTCACAGTTGTGGTGCATCTGTCTGACAGTGAGGAAATAACAGTCTGCATTCAAATAAGCCAGTTCTGTAAAATGGATGTGCATGTAAAACTCAAGTTCAGGAAAGACCAGAAGTGGATGAACAACCAGAACTTTCTGTCAGCATTGGGTCAGCAGCCTAGGATCTGAGGTTAATTTTAAAAATATATCTCAGTGAGGATTGGAATCTAAGACAACCAGATATTTTGAAACAAAGAATTTATTCTACTAAATGTGGTGAACTTTAAGATCTTACTCTGAAAATGCAAGGAACATCCCTTTTATTTGCATGAATCACATCACTTGGTGACACAGCTGATACAGAAAACTCTTCATCTCTGCAAATGTAAAGGAAATATTTCTAGCAAGCATTAAACAAGTACATCTTAACTTATGATCCATCTGCACAAGAAGACTTATATGAAAAACAAAAACAAAAAAAGTGTAATGTTGAGACAAGTCACATGATTATGATAAATAGTAAAGTGGAAAAAATGAGAGAGAGAAATGACCATTAAAAAAAATCAATATGGGTATAATTTTTCACCACATTACACTGTCATCCACAAAGCCTATGTGTGCAAAATGTCAGCATGATAGCTTATCGAGAAACAGTATAAAAACTTAACACTAAATCTGTTCACAATTAACAAACAAACAAATATAATCGAACTTAATAAAAATGTATAATAAGGAGGCTTAAAAAATGTACTGAAGAGCAACAGTCAACTTGAGGGCAGTCAACTTATATACCAGGTGTAGGCAAGGGGGTCTTTGAGCCTGAGGCTTTAGGGCCCCATGGCTAGTGCTGTCTCAGCAACTGTACAGGTGAGGATTTTATTTGGTGAGACAATAATGTACCTACATTTTTTTTCTAAGTCTTTGCTGTTTGCAACACCATTTGTTTAGGTGGTGCAGGTTGGAGAAGTCTTGAGTTTGAAGATTAGGGAGTGCACGGCTATGCAGTCACCACAAACTGTGATTGATCGATCGATCCTTTTAGCCCCTCTGAGCTGCCACCTAAAAGTGTACCATACCATCCTGAGACTTAAAAATTTCAATCTGGACAAAAAGCTTCCAAAACCTTACCAAGGAATCAAATGCAGGTCTCCCACACTGAGCAGGAGCCCATCACTTTCACCTCCTACAACCGCCCACATTCTAACCCTTGAATGACGTGTATTGTTAGGGCTTTCAGATAGAGTGAAATTACAATAAATTACACCACACCAATGTAGCTTATCAGTTAGTGCTCTTGCGTGCCAAGCCAGTAGCCTGAGTTCAATCCCCAATAGAGATAGGATACTATTTTCTGGCTAGTATGGCTCTTCATGGTGGCCTGTAGAGAATGGTGATGGAGGGTACAGATTCCAGAAAATGAGGCAGAAACAGACCTCCAAGAAGGTGGATACAAGACGCTGAAGATGAAATGGATATGAAAGCACACAGGGTCAAAGAACTGGCTAAAGAAAGAGTGACTTTCAGGCATGCTGTGACAAGAGTGCACACACTTGGACTGTAGGTTAGGACCTGCTGATGAGGGTTCGTTGGTGCATGAGCCGGAAACCAAGTCTTACCATCCTCTAAAATATTGCATGTGTGAGTTTGTGCACGCAGGCAGATATACCCATTTGTATATGAAGAATAGACTTATACTTGACAAGGTTAGCTGGAAAAACGCTTGAATATGATTCAATGGAAGTTAACAAACAAACAAAAAACAATTACGGCTTATAGAATAAAATGGGAGACGAAGAAAAACAATACTGACATTCTAAAAGATGTGAACATCAAGGAAGTTTGGCCAGTAAACAGCATCTTTTTCAGAAAATCAAATATTTGTCCATATCAAGCACCATTGCAGATGGAAACAACAGTAACAGAAGGCACTGTGCCAGGAAAGGGACAGGGGTTGACTAGGACGAAGAGGGGGAACAGGATATCAGTGACACTTGGGTAAGACAAGACTGACAACAGACCAGGTTTCTTACAGGCAGGCTGTGATGACAGCAACATTCTGCAAAAGACCTACTATATGATGAGAACTGAAATGTTCGAAGTCAACAAAATAAATGTTTATATTGTTACTGCAAACAGACCACTATGCTTAATCATATTCACAGATGCTTTCTTCAAACGATTGCAATGCATGCTGCATGCATGCAGGTACATTTAAATATAACTGGCTCACCTCATGTCAACCACTTGTTGGACCTCCTGATTGGGCCATGTCTTGTCAGCAGGAATTTCATACAGAAACAGTTTAAAATCACAGACCACCATATATTCTCTCGCCCAGCCTTTCTTAATGCCACCTAACCTTGGGATCTGTAAAGATAGAGCAACAACTGTAACTGTCCACTGAAATCTTACACATATGAGTATATATATTATACTCTATCTATCTACTATCTATATCTATCTCTCTATATATATATATCTCTATCTCTCTCTATCTCTCTATATCTCTCTCTCTCTCTCTCTCTCTCTCTCTCTCATTCTCTCTCTCTTTCTCTCTCTCTCTCTGTCTCTCACTCATTCTCTCTCTCTCTCTCTCTCTCTCTCTCTCTCTCTCTCTCTCTCTCTCTCTCTCTCTCTCTCTCTCTCTCTCTCTCTCTCTCTCTGTCACAGACACTTCTCCACAGCATTTATTCAGAAAAAAAAATGATGTAATACTGTCAATGGGCACTACAGACAACTAGTATAAGTGCTAGTCTACTACTATGTCATAAATTCTCTTCAGTGTATTTAATACTGACATAAAACAAGAGTTAATAATAAGTGGCATGGGTGGAACACTGTCCTATGCTGATGATATTCTTGTATAAAGACAAGGGAAGATAGAGATTTATTCTTCATATTGTTCTTCTTCACTGGTTGTTAACTCTGGCAGAAAGTTTTGGTTGTGTATCCAATTCAGTCTTGTTCCAGAATTTGAGTTCTGTGCGCCTATCCGTTTTACAGATCTGGTCTATTATTTTTTTTTGCAGACTGTTGGTTCCTTGCCTCTCAGACAGATGCACTCTGCCTTCGAAGGAAAAGGTTCTCCATCAGTCAACTCTTAAAGACTATACAGTTGAATATTGTGATACTTTTGGTGAACTGATCAACCCAGATAAAACAGCTTTATATGATTTTCTCTAAATAGCTTATACACATACTCCAACATATCACTCATTGAGTGGCAATATTATTAAAGCAATACTGACAATGCAGTACTTAGGTTTCACAGAGCACTATCAAGACTAAAGCCCGTTTTTTAAAAACCTGCCATAAATATCATACAGCAGCAAGCTATGGGCGCTAACTCCTTTCTATGTTATACCAGGATATAATAATTAAAAAACAAAAAAAACAATGTATTGATCGGCATTCACAGAATAAAGTTTATTTATTTGATTGTTATTTATGCTATACCAGGGACTAGCTCTCACTAAATAAGCATGACCAGTTATGCTCAGCAACAAACAGAAAGCTGGAAGAGGTACAAAAAGACTTTTTTATTTTTATTTTTATTCAACGGGTCAGAATCATGGTACATGGGTGTAACCCATAACTGCTCTGTTTTACTTCTAACTCAGGCCTGAGTCTGAAGAATCTCAGCGCAGTGCACGAACTCCATTGCACCGGGAGAATCCTGAAATACTTTGGGTAGATTTTTAACTCCAAATTTTTCCCAGGCAGCGTGGTCAGGCTACTCTTTTCCGATTTTCAACTGCCAAGGTAATTTTTACCTGCACAATACACACTGGTGTCTGGTCTTACTACCCAGATACCAGGGAAATTACTAGAAGTACACGTGAAAAAATCCCAGCAGATGCCATATCTGGAGACCGCTCATACCCCCCCCCCCCCCCCCCCCCCCCCCCCCCCCCTCCCAGAATGACTAATATTTGTGGGAGTACCTGACAGTTTTACTTAACACTGCCCACCCCTCCACAAACTACTAGTGAGTGATAGGTAAATAAGCCCAAGCAAGGAAAAGCTTGACTCGGGAAGGTCGAGCTGAGGTTCTCCAGAAAGCGTCTTGAAAACATTGCCTCCAAGGCCCCATTTTGGGGAAAACAAGAACAGACCCACTGCCTACCCAAAAAAGCATGTCGTAATTTGCAGCTTCCTTTGAAGTTGGAGTCTGCCCAAGCGGCAAGGAACAAACAACTGCACACAAATAAGCAAGTAAAATGAATGCACATGCAAAACTCAGCCCTGAAACAAAGCCAAAGTCAAAGCTGCTGTTCATCATTTCTAAAAACAGCAGTCACGACAAACCAGCAGGTATACACACATTACTGCAGAAGGCATATTGCCAGTTCTGTGGCCACCAGCCACCCCCTATTTTCTGAGTATGCAGTCCATAAAATAGTATAAAGTACTAGCTATGTTAAACAACACACAAAACAGAGTAGAGCTCAAATACGATTTACTTACTCTAACAAAACCCTCATATGCTGTGCCCTGTCCTTTATTTATATCAATTCCATAAGGACGCTTGTCTGTGGAGAACAATTTAACAAATTTACTCACTGTAGGAAGTGTAACAGGTACAAGAAATCCCTCAGTATACAGAAAAGATATAAAACCGAACGAAACGTATATAAGCAAGCTTCACAATATAACAAATACAAACAAAACATGAACATTGCGGCTATTGAGCCTTCATCAGCACAAACAAATGAAACAATACTACACAGAAATGCAAAATTACTTAGCTGGTATCTCAAAGAAGCCAAGAGAGAGAGAGAGAGAGAGAGAGAGAGAGAGAGAGAGAGACAGACAGACAGACAGACAGACACAGACAGACAGACAAACAGACAGACAGACACACAGACAGACACACAGAGACAGAGACACATCAGACGGACGGACACGGAAAGAGAGAGAGAGAGAGAGAGAGAGAGAGAGAGAGAGACAGAGAGGGGGAGACACACACACGTGCGCATGCACGCACGCACACATGCACATGTGTGCACACACACACACACACAAAATATTACAATACAACCAGAAGAATACAACTTTAATAAAATGAAATATGCTAAATTCCAAATATCACAACATACAAGAATTACATATGTCGCTTTACATAAAAACTTACAAAGTTCAGGGGGAACCGGACACTGGTCAGGACATTTGTCCATGCACCACACATGACAGGTGTACGAACAAGCTGGGGGAGGAAAAAGAAAATATGTCCATTCAAATTGCATAAAAGATGTGTGTGTTCCGTTATCACTAAAATTATAAAATATATCTATCAAAACTATACAAAAGATTTCTGTTTCATTTTGTTTGTAGCATACATATTTGAAATGAAATGATGTCAAGGAAAACTGGAACTTACTGTCTTGAAAGACTTAACTCTCTCAGTCCTAAACAGTGCATCAGCTACTGCCCATTTGTCCCAAACAACACATTATGTGAACCGATTTTTAGAATTACCTATTAAGTTAAAATTCAACAAAGTATGTTTTATGTTGTAAGTTATATGTTGTGCCCATGAGAGTAATGCATGCATGCTTCTTTCCTTGCGGCTAAGTATTCGTTAGCGATCTCCAATGAGATCTTCTATGGCTGAGAGCTTTAACGAATAAAAGAAAAAAAAGAAGACAAGAGAAGATATTTGACATTCTTTTTGATGTCATACACAAAAATGTTAGTATGCAATTCAAAACGTCACCCAACAAGTGACGACTAGTCTATAAAAATATGCCTAGCAAAACATGCCCAACTCATTACTGGTATACAAATAGTTCTTTCCTGTAATTATTTACTCACACAAATCAACACATATGTGCAAATTGATGAATGTGTAGGGAAAAAACAGAAATTGTGCAGTCTACTCTTTTGTGTGCTCTTTGTTTACACACCCAGACAGACAGACAGACAGACAGACAGACAGACAGACAGACAGACAGACAGACAGACAGACAGACAGACAGACAGACAGACAGACAGACAGACAGACAGACAGACAGACAGACAGACAGACAGACAGACAGACAGACAGACAGACAGACAGACAGACAGACAGACAGACAGACAGACAGACAGACAGACAGACAGACAGGCAGGCAGGCAGGCAGGCAGACAGGCAGACAGGCAGGCAGGCAGGCAGGCAGGCAGGCAGGCAGACAGACAGACAGACATATATATGTATATATATATATATATATATATATATATATATATATATATATATATATATAGAGATAGAGGAGAGAGAGAGAGAGAGAGAGAGAGAGAGAGAGAGAGAGAGAGAGAGAGAGAGAGAGAGAGAGAGAGAGAGAGAGAGAGAGAGAGAGAGAGAGAGAGTAAAATCTCACTAACATAAGCTCACTTATGATTAATGCTCTGTTAACATGAATAAAATGGTGGTCCTGGCAGAGATTCATGTGTATTATTTCAGTGTATTTGTCCCGTTTACAAGCATTTTTTTTTTAAGCACATTCTTGATTTTTCCGTCTGTTGGAATTTGTGATAACAAGGTTTACTCTCTCGTTCTCTCTCTTTCTCTGTGGGTGTATGCACATGAAATTAATACTATTGTTTACTTTTTTCCTTCTGTGGGTAATGTCTCACCTAAACATCTGTAACAACTCATGAGAAAAAAAAAATTGGGAAAAAAAATTTATCAAAACAATACTTTCCCAAATTCTCATGTAGTTATACCGGTACCTTTCCTCTTTCTTCCACTTGTACTGTTTACTTCTGAACTATTACATTCTTTGGTCATGTCATAAGAAGAAGTAAATTGGAGTACATCATGACAGTAGGAAGGTTGGAGGAGAGGAGAGGAGAGGCAGACAGAAAGAACAAATGCTGGACAGTTTGACATCATGGCATGAAGGATCATCTGTATCAGAGTTGACTGAAAGTACACGAGACACAAGGTTGTGGATAGACATGTCTACCAATGCCGCATGGCATGAACTTTAAGAAGAAGTTGCATGAAGTTAACAGCATTTAATTCTGTCTTGACATTATTTCATACGATATGGAAGCTCTTCTAGATGACTGAATTTGAGATTTACAAACATAGGTGAACACTGAAAAAAGAGGGAACAGAGTGAGCTGTAGCTGGCAAAAGGTATGATGATTTGGCATGAGTTGGTTGAGAATTATGCTAAAATGTAGGGGGATAAGATCAAAGAAAAAGAGAAGAAGCAGCAGGAGGGACAAACGGCAGAAGAAGAAGCAAAAGGAGAAAAGAAGAAAAACTGGGTGGGAAAAGGGACAGAAGAAGGAGCAAAACAAGAAGAAAAGAAGAAGTGGGAGAGTAGGAAGGAGGCAAAGGTCAGGAAATGAACTACAGTACAAACCTTCACACGTGATACCCTGGCGCTGGAGCCCCACAAGTAGGCTGGTGCAGAAGTTACATTTGTAAGGGGACTGGAAAGACTTGACAATAAATCTGAAGAAGTAACATAAACATGTGAGAATGTAGATAGCAAATATGGCTGTTTAAAAAATGGTAAACAACCCTTTTCATGCAATCGATGCATCAGACACATGCTAGTCTCATATTTTTTATAAACCAATCAGCACTTGATGGTTGATACCATCAACATCATGCCAACCCCCCATCTGTGAGTAAACATTTTAGGCCAGATCGACCTGGGAGCCAAGATAAACAATTAAATAAATCTGCCTCAATGCAACTTCGAATCCAAGGTCTTTCAACCTGCAAACATGTGGGCTGATGCAATTAAATAAGCCTCTTATCTCCCTCTCTCTCTACCGCACTTCCTTTTCTGCCCAGTTTTTTTCTTTGCATCCTGCGATAATAACACATTTCAAAACATTCCATTAATGAAAGAATAACATGAGGTTAGATAAAATAATGTGTAAGAATGTGTGAATGAGGTATCAGATATGGATCAGGCAAGGACAGGGGTATGAGAGGAAGAGAACAACAAGTTTATAAACAGTGTGCTATGGTAACAGTGAGCATCTACACCTTAAGACCATTTGCTGCGGGAGACAGAGCACCTATGGGTATGCCCGGTGTGCTATGATGTGGATTCTTAAACCAGAAAATTAAAAGCTCGCATGAGCTTTTCATCTCTGTTGTTTACACAGCCTGTTTCAGAGACTTATATTACTACCAACCAGATATATGTAGTGATAATATTTACTTCTAACTTGAGTTAGGAACATTTACTGCTCAGGAAATGTCTATTTCTCTACAAATATCCTAAATCTCAGTACAGTTTTACACTGAATATCCTCTGTAATCATTTGGCCCAGATATGGGCGACGGCGAATCCTTCAATATTGACATTAAAGTTCCAGTAACCGCATCCAGTCACAAAAAACAAAATTTTCAGAATGCAACCATCATGTGCCACACATATATATAAATATATAAAGAACTTTCATTCATTTTATATGACTAAAAAACTGAAGCGCAAACAACCTTAACAATGAGCTTTATACCTGTGCTGTCTGCCATGAGGAGACTTTGGAGAACGAGGTGTATCCGTGCTTCCTTGAGAACCTAACCGCTGTTGAATGGGGCTACCTGTTGTGCTCACACCCCACGATCTTACTGGCTCATAAGGCTGAGTATAAGGTATTTCTCTAGGCACTGATGGTTCAGAATCACTACCTAGCCTCAAATCTGTACGAGAGTCTGTTCGTGAGTCTGTCCTTGAGGTATTGTCAGCTTCACTGTCTTCTTCTCTCTCACTTTCAATAGAGATTTGCTGAATGAGACAATACAATTAAAATTAATTCAAAAACTCTATATAAAACAAAATGATTTAGTTGTAATTTATGTGTAATTGACTCACTGAGCATGATTATGAAAATAGAAACTAAAAAAGATAGCATAACAGTGGAGTATACTGTGGATTTTTCCCCAAGACATCCAGTTGTGCTGTGCAAAGAGCTGACTGACTTGATTCTGTTGCTACTATGAGCAGGAAGTAACTTTATAACAAAACAGATATTGTGCAGGTTTCCTAGGATCAAATGCATGGAGCAGTAGAAGAGACCTGGCAAAATAGCAGAGAGTGAGCAGAAGGTTTGGACAAATGCAAAGGGTGTTGAGTGCTGGAGGTACCGCGTTAAATCCCCGGTAAGGGCTGGGATTTTTTCACGTGGACTTGGACTTCTAGCAATTCCCGCTGGTCTCTCGGTAGTGAGATGGGACACCTGTGTGCATTGTTACGCACTTAAACAAATTCCTTGGCAGTTGGAAATTGAAAAGAGTAGCCAAAGGGCACTGCCCAGGCAAAATTTGCAGTTAAAAATCTATCCAAAGTATTTCAGGATCCTCGCCGGTGCTACAGAGCCTGTGCAATGTGCTGAGCTTCTTCAAACTCAGACTTGAGTTAGAAGATGAACAGAGCACTTATAGGTTACTACCCGTGTGCCATGTTGGTCCGTTGTTCAAACTTCAAATTTCAAATTTCAAACTTCAAATTTCAAACTTCATCTCCTAGTGGAAGAAGCCCTCAGTGAACTAACATCAGGTCCTCTGAAGGCTTATTCAGGATTGATTGGATATTGCTTCAAAACTTTCTACAAGATCAGGTTGCCAGTCTCACAAATATTATTCTGATTCCCTTTTGGGCACATGGTAATACACAGGAAACAGTAATGCTTCAAAACCTCAGTTTAAAGCTAACAGCAAAGAAAAAGACAAAAGTAATTCTGTACTAGTGTTTATTCTGGCTGTAGCACTGCCACACTTGTGTTTTGCCGAAGCTAAGGAATAGCTGGACACTCTGATTACAAATACATCTGCAGAAAAAGACCGAGCCATGTGAGATCAAACCTGCCACAATGATGTTGAAACTCGTGCCCTTTATCCAAGTGTGGGTACCAGGGACCCATTTTGTGGGGGGGGGGGGGGAATAGACCCGCTGCCCCTTAAACAAGCATGTTGTACAAGACAGTTAAATAGGAATGTTTGTTTCAAACTCAGAGTGCATCTGCTCGAGAGGCAAGGAGCCAACAGTCTGCATACAAATAAGCCAGAACTGTGGAATAGATGTGCATGCAAAACTCAGGTTCTGGAAAGGGGAAAAGTGAAGTGACAAACAACTAGAACTCTCTACAGGAGTTTACAGCCGGTGAACGTGAAGAAGAAGATACATCTTATAAAAATCTATTGTGGCAATCCTATAAACACAGGCATCTCTGTAATGAATATGTGTGAGTGGGTGATTGCATACTTATACGCGTATAAGCATGTTCTGTATGTATATATATATATGAGCATGTTACATATGAGTGTGCTTGTGAAGTACAGTGTTTGTATAGATGTATAAGTGTGCATATGTTTTTAATGAGTGTATAAGTGCATGTTCGAGTGGGTGTGTATGTGTGTGTGGGTTCTATACGTAGGAATGTGTGGGTGTGATAAGTATGCAAATGTGATCTGTCTGTCTGTCTGTCTGTCCTGGTCTGGTCTGGTCTGATCTGGTCTCTCTCTCTGGTCTGGTCTGCTCTCTCTCTCCCTCTCTCTCTCTCTGTGTGTGTGTGTGTATGTGTGTGTGTATGTGCATGAGTATGTGTGTGTTTGCATGCAAAGTGTATGTAAAAGAGTGGGTGTATGTATGAATGTGTGTGTTTGTATGAGTGTACATGTGTATGTGTGGTATATGAACTCAATTGTGTGTGTGTATAAGTGTGTATGCTTGTATCTGTATGACCGACTGTGTATGTACAGGTGTGAGCAAGCATACTGTGTGTATGTATAAGTGAGCCAGTGTGAATGTATGAATGTGCTTGTATCTTCTTCTTCTTTTGTTCGTCCAAGTGATGTAATTGTGTTGTGCCTGTCGACAGCAAAACTGCCATATCTGTGCCTTTCAGCAGTTACATCTGACTTTGCTGAGCATTTATTGACCAGTTCAACTTGCTGAGAATGTGCTTCATTTAATTAATAGGTATGTAGCAGTGAGTCTACATGTATGCATGAATGCACTTGTATTAATTAGTGCGCGCGTGCGTGGGCAGGTGGGGTTGCATATGTGCGTGTGTGTGAGTATAAGTGTATGAATACACATATGTATATCTGAATGTATACATTTACCATCCATGCAGTGTTTTACGGTATACTCATATTAAGCAATTTTGCTATATGAACACATTACACTCTGTACATAAAAATACAACTGGTGTGTGAAAGATTGGTATTAGGAAGGGTGGAGTATAAGATGGGCCTGTAAGCCCAATTTGGCACTCGTTCAAAATAAAATTTATTCATTCGTTCATTGCGTCGATTTTTATCATGGTATGGGGCGTCACATGTTGACCCAGCCTAAAATGGATACCAGAATGGATGGCCTGGAAAGGTTAATATGGCCAGCATTGTGCTGACCACATTACCCACCTAGTGCCGATGGTCTGTAAAAATTTGGGTGCTCTTCCCATATGCCCGATGCGCAAAAGGTTAAAAAGGGATCTTTACTTTACTTTCGTTCATTTGTGGCATCTTCGTAATCTCAGGCTTCTCATTAAAAACAGGCTTCTCTGTAACCATAAGTATTTCTGTAATCACAAATAGGGATATGTGATAGAAGAAACAGAAAGTGAAACTAATCCAGTATTTAATCAAATACTTACATCAGGCAACAATGCATATTTATCATTCAAGTACTCAAAGATTGAAGTGTTATCTCCCCTTCTCGACTCCCCTGAAAATAAAATGTAATACAGACAGTATATTACATGATGAAATAATAATAATAATAATGGTGTCATCCCCACGATGGAGGTTGGCTATAATATATTCACTGCTATGGTAATATTATGTGTTGGGGTCCTAATTTCCTCCAAGATGTGACTCTCGTACCACTGTATGAAAATAATGAAAACTTTTGTGTTTTTCCTAAACCGTCCACTGTGAGAATGTTACACCAGTAAACCTTGAGGGTTTAAATGATACGCTGTTGAATTACTTACTCAATTTAACAGCATATCATTTCATCCCTTAACATTTAAGATCTTCTGTCTGATCAGGATACATATTGCTGCAGTAACATTTCGACTGACTTTGGAACTAAACAGGTTCATATTTCTGAACATATCACCTTCTTCCCTTCCAACTAGCTTGGTAATCATGTGTCTCCACATCTAACGATCTCCAACGGTAAATATCAATTTGTGCCTGGTCCATTTAATGATGTGACTTGACAAAATTATGTTATGAATCTCTCAATGAGTCGGGTTGGGTTAAGAAATCAACATAAGAGAACTCAGGAAATTCCCATAAGTTCTCTGCCCTCATTTTCAGCAGGCAGTGTAGAATTATAATTCTGACCTGTTGGGACCAGCAGCAGTCTGTATATTTGTCTAGCCTTTCCTCTGAGGGAATGAACAGGCAGACAGATTTGCTGGATCTGCACCTCTGGGTGGTGCATTGATGCATGACAAGGCAGATGTGGTCAGGACCCTTTGGGAACAAACAACAGAGTCAGAAGTGAAACAACATTATTATAGCCTGGAGTGAATGAGGCACCTGGGTGTAACCAGGGGGTCTGGCTGGCTCACTAAACTCAGGGAAAAGGCAAGACGAACATATAAAAAAAGAAAAAAAAAAGAAACAACTAAATGGCTAAATTACTTACAATTATCATTAGCTTTGTTCAATTTTGTCTCCAGGTCTTCAACTTTGGCTTTTAACTCATTCACCAGTTTTGTACTTTCTTGTAATTTACTGCAAAGTAATCAAGAGATTTTAGATGAGTCAAAACTATGTATGGTAACTATAGCTTTCAATTTTTATGTTTCCTAGTGTGTCCTGTCTTTCTACTTCCTTTTATGAGTGCCAATCAATTCACTGTATGTTTGTTAATTATTTATATTTATTATATTTCTACGGCTTCAAGGGTTCCCCCTCTATTTATTTATGTGAATGACGCATAACACAATGGAACCTACCAATCAAATGTCTTTCTTAAATGTTTGTGTATTCTAGACAAAGGAGAGATAGAAATGGAGAGGGAGAGAAACAGAACGCTGAACACCAAACAGAGAATTAGGAAATCTAACTTTGGGATGTAACTTTTTCCAGCTCCCACGTTCTCCCAAAAATACAACTGCAGTGTGAAAGATGGGTGTCTGGAAAGGCTAAATGTAAGACGGGCCTGCGTGCCCAATTTGTGACCCTTTGAAAATAAAGCAGGTTCGTGCGTTCCCAGTGTCAACATGGTCGTGGTCCAGAAATAACAGCACTGGCCCGCTCCCATCCCAGGCTTGGCTGTCTGCATGTGGCTGCAATTGTTTGTTCCATTTCTTACACTCAAGGCTGGGTTGACGTGGGAGTGATGGTCGTTTTTGAAAAAAGTCCAGCTCGATCAGGACCAGAACCCCCGTCCTTCCGATCAGCAGTTGAGCATCTAGCCCTACACAACCGTGGCTCCCATCACCACATCGGTGGTGACCAAATTAGAGAATACAGGAGACGAAAGGGGGAGGGGGACCCAGATCAGCAAACAGGTTATAACAGCAAAAAGCAAATTAATGTAATCGCAAAAAAGCCAATTGCTGAAAATCACATGAAAGAATAATCTGTGTCCTGGTTACGGTATGCAAAGTTCAAGGGCTGGTGGGTAGAGAATTGAAGGATTTTCATTCAAGACAGACATTGATGTACCCACTATGCGATGTTACAGGCAGTAAGAGAATGTTATATTAACCAGACAAGAAACATACTTTTCTGTAGTGGTAAGCTCATCTTTGGTCCTGGACAGCTCAGCGCTAATCTGCTGCTTTGCTTGAAGCTCAGACTGTAACTGTGACTGGAGGTTTAACAGTTCCATCTTCTCCATTTTAGCGGAACGACGGTTCCTCCATCTGTGGCGATTCTGAAACACATGAAGGTCATGCTTCAAATGGTGGGTCTGACTTACATAACGATGTCAACACATTCCAGTTTTACTCTTTTAGGTACATAAAAAAAACCTGGAAAATGTTAGCAGAATTTATTAAGTTCAAATTCTGACTGCAAACAGTAAGCTTGTTATAATAATCTTTTCATCCAGATTTAAATGTTTCGTAATAAATGGTTCATAAAAGGACAGATTTCCACAGCTTTAGATGTATGACATATATGGTGCTGTTAACATACAATTATTCAGACTACTGGTTCGGCTTGGTGTAATACTGTTTCACTTGTCAGCTGTTTTAGACATTAAAATTCAACTGTTCTTTACTCTTTTACACGTTAATATCTTTTGTGCTTTTTTCATTGCTATTTGTACTGTTTTTGCTTGACATTATCATGATAGTACTAACTTGCTATTATTTTGCATTGCTAGATTTGTACTTTACGGCTTAGAATGTCTAGCCAACTTGAAAGCAGGCTCAGCAGAGCTGGTCTTAGATTAGGCCATCTTAATATTTGTCATCTATCGCTTATCCTTAGTCAAAATTTTCAAATATTTGGCATTACCGAAAGTTGATTAAATGAATACCTTTCAGATGATGAAATATTGATAAAAGATAATAGTTATTAGAAGAGACCCCATAGGAAATAAGAGACCCATGTATAACGGTCTACATATGTTGTCAGCGTCTGTGGCTTAGGTGCTGTGAACATGCTTCGTAATGTCGAGGTGCCAGGTTCGATCCCAGCTGCAGACGATTTGTCTTGCATTGGTTTTGACTGTGGTACCAAGAGCTGACCACTGAGAAAGCAACGGCAAACTAATGAACGAAAAATTTTCCTAGAAAAACCACAACAGCCAAAAAATGCTGGGGTAAACTTTTCTGTAACGTCCTGCAAACTAACTTTTTTTTTTTTTAAACAAACTATATGCTACCTTAAAAGATAGAAGTATGATTTATTTCGCCTGAGTACAGTTTTTCCCTGAAAGTTTTTATTGTCTTAGAATAAAGGTGCCAGTCGAGTGCATTCAAGCATTTGTAACTAATTTTAAATTTTGTTGATGATGTTAGTCTATCAGACTGATAACCTTATTGGATTAGGTTTATTACTATATTTTTTTAAAAGTTCAGTAATATAAGTATAATAACAGCCCATTCCAGTGTTTGTGTTTAAGACTTAGATGTTGTAAACATTTTCTTATTAATAACTATGAAATAATATATAAATGAATAACTGAATGCAAGGAGTGGAATGGAAGGGCAGAATTTATACAGGCTTGCGTGCCTAATTTTTAACCCTTTGAAAATACAAGTTTGTTCATTCATTTGTTCATCTGTACAGACATATCAGCAATCATTGTATGATATCATGTAAAGAGCTTTTACTTCCAAGATCCCATAAGGATGTGATGACCTGGAAATTCAGATCAATATTTGATATCTGCCTCAATGAGGATTTGAACATATGACCACTGCCCTGTAGGCAAGTCCGCCTGACACTATGTCACCAAGGCTTCCACTACAAATAGTAACAACTGATTTTTGTGTCTGCTGGTTTTGAGTCAAGGTCACAGACCGTAACTTTTAACTCAGTGTTAAAACTAACTTCTCCATGCACCTACACAACCACTGGTATCAACAGTTATGAGATGGAGAAGACTGTGCTATAATGAACATTCTGAGAAAAAACGAACAGCAAGTCAACAAATAGGCAGTGAAATGGGAAACAGATGGACTAAGAAAATGAGGACATCCAAGAGAAACCCTATGGCGAAAAATGATGAACGAACAAACACACTTTATTTTCAAACGGTTAAGAATTAGGCACACAGGCCCGTCTAACATTCTGCCCTTTCACTCCGCTCCTTGCATAAAATTATTTATTTGTACCTCATTTCATTGAAAATAATAAAAATAAGAAGAAGAAGAATTAATTTAAAAAAAAAAAAAAAAAAAGTTTACATCTAAGTCTTAATTATGAATGCTTAAATTTGCTCTGAGAAGCCAAGGGCACTGGACTGGATTCCATCCATGATATTGAAGTGACTGCACAGGACAGAAGGGAATGGAGAAACTACAAGCCCTACGTGACATATAATAATACACCAGGACAATGAATGAATGCATCTACATCAGTGTTGCCCAAACTTTTTTTAGTCGCTGCACCTTTTTTCAATTAAAAAAATTTCCACGGTGCCCTAATCTAAGTAAAAGTATGACTATTCGTATGTAAGAGATCAAAACAAACAAAACTTGTGCATCTTCAAATATTTCGCTGTGAAGAAGTCGCCGCTCCTCTGGGCGCCGCAGCGCAGTTTAGAAATCACTGATCAACATCATTCTTTAAAGGCCACTTTGACGTGGAGAAACAGTGGTAATGAATCACTTGAACTTCTCACGCTGTTTTGAAAATAAAAGAAGTATCCAACTGAATAAGCGACACAACACAAATACACAGTAACGTACCGATTCATCCGACACACCCATAACTTTAAGCGTTTCCAGCTCTTCTGTCATTTTTGTGGCCAAAGCTTGCAAGTAGCCACGGGCATCCTTTTCATCACTCACCCTGTATTAGAATAGCATTTTATATATATATATATATATATATATATATATATATATATATATATATATATATATATATATATATATATATATATATATATATATATATATATATATATATATATATATATATATACATATATACATATATACATATATATATATACATATATATATATATACATATATATATATATATATATATATATATATACACACATATACACACACACACACACACACACACACACACACAAACACAGAGGCACGCACGCACACACATAAAATAAACACAACAGTGGTATATCGGACATATGATGCTAGGCTCATATATTTATAGATCAATCGGTACTAGGTGATGTTGTAAACATATCACGCTGGTTGCACTAAGTTCCCTAGACTTATCTGGTACCCATTTTAAGCTGGGTCAGCCTGAGAGCCAAGGTAATTTCTAAAAGAACTCTGACTTAATGCAGATTTGAAAAAATCCTAACTTTAGCTAACAGACAATTTGAGGAATGCAAGAAAATTACAGATCAAGGAAAACTGAGACGTAATTTTGAGCTGAAATGTAAACAATGAAAAAGGGGACAGACTGATTAGGCAATGTCTAAAAAAAATGATGCAATTATCCTGCATAAGTAAACCACACAGGTACAGTAAACAAAACATGATACAAAACAACCAAGCCAACACATTTACCCTGGAATGCAAGCAAAGGTTCTGTATGCCTATGCTGTATAGCAAGTGTAGATTCTTTATTTTCTCTAGATCCTGTTCTGCTTTTCAATGCCAGCTTTTGAAGAGGCATCTGGTGCTAGCCTTGGTTTGTAGTTCATAGATGCTGGCATTCAGGGTCATGCGTATTCCATATATCCATCACTTACATAGTCGACCTCTGGTTCTGCTTCCCTTGTATCTGACAGGGCTCTCTATGCTACACTGCCCTGTGTCAGTATTGACACAACTGTGAATTATTTTATCTGCTGTCACACCAGTTCCATCCCTACTTGTTTTCTGACATCGTCATTGTCGCTGCTTGCTACATTTAGGATTCATCGTAGACATTTCATTCTCTGGTGTTTCAATTCCAGAAGTGCAGACATGGAAAAGGTACTGTTCACGGTAACCGTGGCATTGACCTTTCATCCATAACTTCTTGGACTCTTCTGGGTCACAGGGGTGTGAGTCCGGGACATCTCACGGAACGGCGCAGCGAGCAGCGACACGCAACATTGGTCAATGTGTTGCTCACAGAACGGCACAATGAACAGCGACATGCCGCAACATCGCATATCGTCGGTGTCCCCAAAATAATCTCGAATTAGGTCACACCCCTACGCCCCCAAGCAGCCCAATGATTATAAAAGAAACAGCGTGCAGTGCGCAAACCTAATTTAAATATCACAGTTATCATGAACAGCACCGGAAAGAAAAATATTGACTCAAAGGGCTGACTATCTAGAACTACGTTTTCCCATATGGTATGGTCTCTCTCTGTACAGAGCATCAGGACACCTTCTGAGAGCATCACATAAAGCAGAAGGTCTAGCAATGATCCCTAGGGTTCTCTGAAAAACTGCACTGCTGAACAGAACAACAACGAGCCAATGTCCTTCAGAGCAAAGATAATTGCTTAATCATTTTGCCCAGGAGTAGGAAAAGGGACACCATCCACCTAAGGCCACACAAGAGGCAACAGAAAGTATCTGTTACTGATCAGAACCCAATTAACAGTATCAGAATGATTAAAACACAAACATACTTTACAGCTAACAATTACTTTATGTGAATCATAAACTAATATCTGCATTTTAGAATTAAGACATACGACATTCACCAACTGTCAAGAGAACTGCCTTTTTCAGTCCATGCCTAAGTCACAAGTGATGGGCTCTTCCTCGTAAATCCCAGGAATTACACTGCGTTTTCAATCGACTACTTACATTTTTACAGAATACATGAAAAGAATATGGCTTCCTCAGTCGTCACTTTCCTCGTACTTCCAGCCTTTTTAAAAGTAATAATAATCATCATCATAACGTTGTGCCATTTATATGTTCCATAGAGCTCACAATCTATTCCCCTATTCCACTCTATTCTGTGCAATCTTTCTGATATCGCTGAAGGAATCCTGTCCAGCATATTTGGCCTCTCACCTAATTAAAGTCATACCAATATGTGACACAATTTTTCGTTATTTTAAAGCTCCACTTTGGCTGATTTCGGGGGCCCTAATATATCCCAATATAAGGGTTGAACAGGGTTTCTGGGACCTGTCCCCCAAATGATCCTCATCCGAATGGTGGCACTCTGTATTTATTGCTCGCTGTGATGTCCTGATGGAGTTGAACGTCAGCATCTTCAAATTTGGCCTCTCCTATCAACCTCTGTCTAAAAGGTTTTTCTTGGATGCCCATTTCAGTGCCCGTTTGGAGATTCTCTGTATGCTTCTCCCCAGGATGTGCCAAAATATTGCCATCTTCTCAGTCTTAGAACTTTCAATGCCAGCATGTGCTCAAACATTTGTCTTATTTCTTCACCAAAGTGAAACAACTGGTTGTTTTTTTCTTTCTCCATAGGGCTAATTTCCTCTTCTGGCATATACAGCATATAATAGTAACAAATGCTGAAGTCGAGAGGATTGACTTCAATGCACCGGGTTATCCCATATGGCTCGGTCTCTTGGTAGAATGGCCCATCATCAGCCAAGAGCGCCACATACAGCACAAACTCCATAGCTCCAGTGAGATTCACAAGGACCTGCGTAAAATAATTACACCCGTGAATTGAGCTTCCTGTCCTTGAAATGAAAGGATGATCTTCGTAAATTGCTTGATCACTTTGTCATGGAGATACACCACCGACCGTGTCAACAACAAAATTAACTAATGCAGATATGGCCCAGTGAATAAGTGCCCCCACTGCAGTTGCCCTGTGTATTCACATCGAAACAGTTTCTCACAATATTTGAGAACAGGACTGCCCCCTCCTCTGGGTGATGAGCTACTTTATGATAAAGCGGATCGGCTACCATACACTGAATCCATACACTGACAGAATAATTCAGCTGGGGTAAGTAGAGGTTCTGGACGATATTCAATACCGAGAGGGAAACATTGTCAGATATTTAATCCGGATGCAACTGGTACTATTAGGATGTCGGCTCTTCGTTGGCTGCTGAGGTCAGAGATGGAGCACATGTGGGAATGTCCCAAGTGCAGTGATGTCAATTCTTGGTTCATTCATTCATTTATTTACTGAGAATAGGTTGAGACTTACCATTTAATTATTTCAGAGATCTGAGCTTCCCACTGAGCAACAGACTCCCGTTTGTCATAAATTTCTCGGATCTCCTCCTCCATTTGACTTCTTTCTCTCATCAAGCTGTCGATGCGGTTGGATTGCTGATAAAACACATACAAAATAATTATGTAAAAATAAGCTATTATTGGTAATGAATAAACCATTTTGCCTCACAAAATGGGACCTGATATATGTATAATGGTAGGCCTAGAAATATTACCACACCAAAACAACAACAAAGTAAAGGACCCTTGTCCACGCCTTCAGGCATATTGGGCATATAGGTTAGACCAGTGTTTCCCAAACACGGCAGCGCCTTTTTTCCATTAACATTTTTCCGCGGCGCCCTAACCTAAGTAAAAGTATGACTATTTGTATGTAAGAGAGAAAAAATAAAACTCGTGCATCTTCGAATACTTCGCTGCACCCCAGTGAAGAGCTCGCGGCTCCCCAGGGCAACGCGGTGCACAGTTTGGGAATCACTGGGTTAGACCAATATTTTATAGACCAATCGGCACAAACACAAAACAAAATTCCAAAGTAATCAAATAGCAATCTATGGGGTAGGAGTGTTAAATAGCAAGATGCAGATATTTAGTATTTGTCTTCCTCTACACATAGCCTTTAATACAAACATACACCCACACTGGGCAACAAACACAAGCCCTTACTTTCACATCTTCAGCAGCCAGCAATGAGTTCTATTACCACTGAGGTCAATTATGATTATACATCCATGTTGTCTTTCCTCTGAGTATTGTGTGCTGCCTAGAACTTCTGGTCACTCTTTATTGTATATCCTCTCCAGACTGTCATGATCTATCTATAAGCTCTTACCCGCTGCTTATATGCATTCAATGAATTAGGGGTGTTAAACAGCAAAACAGCTGGTATTATGAAATATAGTGACCTGCTTCCCTCCTCCATACAAAGCCTGTAATATCAACCATTTACCAAAACCAGAGAACAGAGAAACACTTGTAGACTGCTCTTGTAATCTCTCATCAACTAGGGCTTTGACTTCTGGATTGTGATGATCTATTTGCTCTTCCACACTGCTTATATGCATTCAATGAAGTAGGTTAAGCAGCAAGATATCTGGTATTATGAGACAAAGTGATCTGCTTCCCTTCTCTGTACAAAGCCTGTACATCAAATATTTACTTAAACTAGAGAACAGAGAAATACTAAAGATATAGACTGCTCTTGTAATCTCTCATCAACTAGGACTTTGACTTTTGGATTGTGATGATCTATTTGCTCTTCCACACTGCTTATATGCATTCAACGAAGTAGGAGTGTTAAGCAGCAAGATATCTTGTATTATGAGACAAAGTGATCTGCTTCCCTTCTCTGTACAAAGCCTGTGCATCAACCACACACCCACACCAAACAGACAGTTCAGTTCAGTTCAGCTGACCTTTAAACAACAGACAAGAACTTACAGATACAGATTCCTCTTGCAACCTCTCATTCTCTTCAGTGAGAGCCTTGACTTTGTGATCTGCATTGTCAGCCTGAGAGCGTAAGACAGTGATCCTCTCCTGAAGCTCTTTACTGTGCAGCTGTTCAGTCAGTTTGGCTTGAAGTTTAGCCACTTCCCTCTCCAGCTCAGATTTTTTGTTGTCACTGTCCTGAAGCTGGTATTTGATTTCATTTATTTCTGAGCTGTGCTTGGAAGTTAAACGGGACATCTTCTCTTCGTACTCCAGTTTCTTTTCTTCAATTTCTGCCTTTAATCTGCATTGAAAAAATAAAAGTGTTGTTACTAAAAAAAAATGTGGAAAGTGAGATAATGGTGCAAGGCTAATTTCTGTTTTGACCAAATAGCACTCAGTGGGTGGTTTGGTCAGTATTAGGTCAGCCATCTTACCTCCATGAAAACTTCTGATACTTCTTTTCTGAGGCTCAGCCAACTCCAGAGCCATAAGGTCATGAAAAAATATGTCTCAAAGAAACTTCAATAGACAACCATCAAAGCAGCAAACCAGTTAATGTATAATGGGTACATAATTAAATTGATAAGACAACAATTGGCAGCTGAACATTCAACTCCACTGCAAACAGGCCACCCTAAAATTGCTCTGCTCCTATGCCAATTAAAATCACGCAAAAGCCCTTTCCTGCCCCATTTGAAAATCACAGTACAAACAATTAGTACCAACAAAATCCAGAAATGTGAACATGTAGTAAATGCATAAGGTAATCAATAGAGGTGCCAAAAGTCACACAAACACACACCCCCCCCCACCCCTCCCCCCCCCCCCCCCCTTTCTCCTCATCAGAATTGCAATTTGCAAAAATTTTTTTTTCCCCCTCACCAGAATTGCAATTTGCAAGAATTTTTTTTTTAATGTGCTTTGAAAGTTTATACAAAGACAATTAATCTAAACACAAACAGATTTTATTTAAGGAAAGTTGATCTAAACAAGTAGAAAACCACACTGTATCCTCATGTGTCATGAACCACACTGTATCCTCATGTGTCATGTTAGTAAGAACTGATGAACATGGTCCACTGTCTCACACAACCAACAGTTTCAGATAAGATCAGCTGTCTATTCTTGATTAAGTCACTTAAGACTTCTTCTTCTTTGTTCACCAGCTGTAAGCTCTGGTGGAAAGTCCTGGTTGTTCATCCATTTGAACGGGCTTTGTGCCAGGGTCTTGAGTTTTGCGTGTACATCCATTTTACTGGTTTATTTGTGTGCAGCTGGTTGTTCCTTTCCTCTCAGGCTGGTGCACTTCGACTTCAAAGGAAGCTCCCAATTAGTCGACTCCTACGACATACTTGTTGGGTAGTGGATCTTTTTTTGTTTTTCCCATAATTTGGCCCCAGAACCCATATAGGGAGTCACTTAGACAAATCATCTAGATCAGGGATTCCAAAACTAGGTGCCGTAGCGCCCTGGGGTGCCAAAGCGCCCTGGGGCGCCGTGACCTCTTCACAGGGGTGCAGTGAAATATTTGAAGATACATGAGTTCTATTTTTTTTTCACACTTACATATGAATAGTCATACTTTTACTTAGGTTAGGGCACCGAGGACAAATTCTAGTTGAAGAAAGGTGCCGCAACTAAGAAAAGTTTGGGAAACACTGATCTAGATATGTATCTTCAGAATATGTAAAATAAGGCACAGAAAAAGTAATATTCTAGTAAATCTAACAACTTACCTTGAGATTTCTTGGGTCATCTCCACAACACTGGTGGTTGCTAAGCGTCCCATCTGCCTCCTTTTCAAACTCTCCATCTCAGCCTCCAAGTCTTGAGCATATAATTCTGCCCTCTCCCGAAGACGGTGTTCCTTACTTGTTTCTGATCTTGCTTCATCAAACTGGTTTTGCAGCTTCAAGATTATACAAATGTTATTTTTAATTTTATCAGTATAAGATAATCATACGTCTACATACACAGTTCTAAATATAATACTGAATTAGCTCACCATCATGCAACAGATTATTTGCAGAATGTCGCTCTCATCAGGACATGCCGAAAAGCTGCTCGCCAACTTTCCCACCTTGTAAACTTTCTTGCCCTGGGTGTGTTTCACATTCTGCGTCCACCATCGCAGTCAACCAACTGCCTTTTCTTTTTCGCATTTAACGTGACCAAGGCATTTCAGTTTCTGAGAAACTATACTGTCTCTGAGCCAGTCTTCTCCCATGTTCAGATCATGAAGAATGTCAGTGTTTCTCCCACATGTTCAGATCATGAAGAATGTCAGTGTTTCTCCCACATGTTCAGATCATGAAGAATGTCAGTGTTTCTCCCACATGTTCAGATCATGAAGAATGTCAGTGTTTCTCCCACATCTTGGGCCATGATACTCTTAAGACCTTCTTATAACATTCAAGTTCAGAAGCCAATTTTTTTTTTTTTTAAGTGATAATGATCTACTGAAAATTAATTATAATCAAAAGTAACCCTATTTTTAACATTCTTATGAACAGAGCAAAAATGACATATTCTATAGTAATTGCTGATATTAATTTTTTAAGTAATTGAATGTTTCACAGCTGATGCTTCAGGGTGGAGCAAAACCACAGTGAAATATTCAAGTCCATTATTTCAACAGAGGAAAAATACAAAGTGGAAGTGGTCACTGAAAAAGCCAGATTTTTTTTTTAAGACAGCCACAATGTTTTTTTTAAAAAGGAAGACAAGTTACGCGATGGCTATGATTCAGAAGGAACGGTGACACAGGCGTTGCTTGACACTCTAAGAGCTAATAAAAGAAATATTAGAAGGCAGTAAGAAAACGTTAAAAGTCACTTATTATGCCACAGAAAGATCAAATATGAATTTTGTTATTTTACTAGAGCATGGGAGCTGCGGACAAGTATGACTACCCATGTCAGTTTTTAAGACAGATGATAATGATATATATATTCACCTCATTAATAGCCTTCTCTCCTCTCCTCTTATCCTGTCTCAAGTGTCAATAATTTTTCTCTGGTCTTCCATCTCTTCTTCCTTGTTGCGTAGCTCTCTTGTCAACTCTTTCACTCTGGACATTTGTTTCAACAACCTGTGAACCGAACAGCAAAACCTCATGCAGCAATTTTCTGTGCATATTTGTATCACATCAAACTGAAGAATAATAATGGTCACAAAACATAAACAAATTCAATTTCTGATCATTTCAATTTAGCTTTCAAACAGGTGCCTTGAGTTTTATCTCAAATGGTTCAGCCTCTCCCTGCAGAGCTTCAGAAAGTGTCGCATGAAGTGATGCCTCCTGGGATCTTTGAAAAACCTGGATTTGCGAATCAAAGGAAGGAAGGCGACTGAAATCAAAACTCTGCTACAGCTGAGACCCACGGCCTTTAGGGTGTGAGGAAAATGGCTCAACAATTTGGTCATAGGGACCCTGCACAGATACCAAGAATTTCCCTTCAGCAAAGATTGTCATTAGTGTACTTCTAGCGTGTCCATTTGGCATCTAATCACTTCTGTAATAATCTATTCTCAGGGAAGTGACTAATTTGGCCAGTTTGGTGTAGACAAGTCTTGTCCATACTATTATTAGCACAAAAGCCTGGGACCAGAGTTACAAAAACTGGAGAGAAAAAAACTGCATTATATAACATATACTGTAAACATCTTATGCAATAAATCCTTATTACTGGAGGTTACAAAAATAATTGTATAAGCTGCATAAAACCATTTTTCACATTTGGCTATGAATAATGGACAATTAGTAAACAAGCCAAAACATTATTTCAACCTCAGATATATGGTTTCTGAAAAAAGAAAAAAAAAGGTTTAAAATTCCTTGGACAATCTGAGTAATCTAGATGTTTTGAAATAGGCTAAGACCCATAAACAACTTATTACAAATATCAGAACGGGGAAGTTATAATTGTATATATACCACATAATAAGAAGAAAAAACTGGAATATACTGAAAAATCTAGAAAGATTTATACGAGAGAGATAAAGGAAGTCAATGAGAGAAGATTCTTGATAACCTGTATCATGGCATTGAAGGGTCTCAGCACATGAACTGCTTGCTACATGCACGCACACACACACATACATACATACACACACGCACATACACACAAAAGACAAAATTTGCATTATTACTTAACCATCCTTGTGTTTGTTCCGGGCTCCATTTTATGCGTTTAAAAAAAAATCTAGAATACACCAAATGATCCTTAACAGCATGTTGCAAAAGGCGATTAATTATGAATTTGCTAAAATCTCACATTTGGTCCTAAGGCGCAGATATCGCATCCTAGTTTTAGACCACAATACAACATGCAACTACTCTTTTATGGGCGAAAGGAAAAAGTGTAACTAAATACAACTCACTGATCATTAATGTCTGTGTACTCATCCATTGCAAGCTTCTGTTTGTTCAAGGCCTCTTTAAGCTCTCTTGACTGAGTTTTATATTTATCTCGAGCTTCCTGCAGCTCCTATAGGAAGTTTTACACACACAAAATTAGTTAACATTTTTTTTTTAACTCCTGAAGTTAATATTTCATTTTAAACAACATGCAAATTCTTATGATTATTTACAAACATAATTATGCTGTTTACAAAAATAAGTCTCACAAAGAAAATACCACTATGGTCCAATTCAAATTTATCCCCAAGCCAGTCATTGTATGGTCTGGTTTGTTAACTCTTTGAGCCCCAGGAGGTTTAGCATCCCAGGCCCAAGGGGTAGTCATCAGAGACGTAAAATCGGCGCATCATGCGTTCATTGGGCCTCTAGATAGGAATCTATGAATGTATGATGGGTTTCTTGGGACTCAAAGAGTTAAACAAACTATCTCTGTAAGTGCTCCAGCTAAGAAAGCTAAGAAGAGCAACCCAGATGTTTCAAGAGAAGTGAGTGCACGAAGACAATTTACCACAAAAATCAGAAAGAGATGGTCATAATTTTTTGGTCATGCTATGAGAAGAGGGAAAATGGAACCACTGGAAAGATCGGTAAAAAGAGAGACACCAGCGAGAAAAGATTCTTGATAGTCTTTTGTCATGGCAAGGAGAGGTGTAAGCACACAAACTGATACATGCAGCTGGGAATAGCAGATTGTGGAGAGGCATGATCGCCCCTGCCATTCAGCAAGGCACTTAATGATGATGAAGTACTCCAGTCCAGATTACAAAAGGATAAAGTCACTACAGCAAACAAGTTATAAAGCATCAACAAGAGTCCATAATAAGGTAATTAATGTGTTGGAGGTGTGTAAGCATGGTGTGAAATGTATGGTATGGAGGCATGGTGTGAAAAGTATGGTGTGGAGGCATGGTGTAAAAAGTATGGTGTGGAGGCATGGTGTGAAAAGTATGGTGTGGAGGCATGGTGTGAAAATTATGGTGTGGAGGTATGGTGTGAAAATTATGGTGTGGAGGTATGGTGTGAAAATTATGGTGTGGAGGTATGGTGTGAAAAGTATGGTGTGGAGGCATGGTGTGAAAAGTATGGTGTGGAGGCATGGTGTGAAAATTATGGTGTGGAGGCATGGGGTAAAAATTATGGTGTGGAGGCATGGTGTGAAAAGTATGGTGTGGAGGTATGGTGTGAAAATTATGGTGTGGAGGCATGGTGTGAAAATTATGGTATGGAGGTATGGTGTGAAAATTATGGTGTGGAGGTATGGTGTGAAAATTATGGTATGGAGGCATGGTGTGAAAATTATGGTGTGGAGGTATGGTGTGAAAATTATGGTATGGAAACATGGTGTGATAATTATGGTGTGGAGGCATGGTGTGAAAATTATGGTGTGGAGGCATGGTGTGAAAATTATGGTGTGGAGGTATGGTGTGAAAAGAATGGTGCGGCAGGGACTGACCAGGTAAGCTAGCTGACACTTAACACACATGGGAAAGGAGAGACAGACAAACAATCAGATTGCTGCTGATGTCATTGGAAATGGAAGTCTAAGCTGGCTGCTAATATGGGGTCGGAGCTCTTATGGGAATGTCCTAAGTGCTCATTCATCATTGTTATTACCATAAACTACTCCTGTCATTAAGTATCATAGGGAGGAATAATTTGTGATCCAGTCCATGCTGGCTGGTACTGGCTTTTGTCATGCAGTTAAGGCATAAAGTGCCTTTAATTTTGTCAATCCATTTTTTGTGGCCACCTCTTGCTCTTGTAGCTGATCTTCTGAGATGTTGTGCCTGTGATGGTATATGATGTTGCTGCATTCTAACAAGATGGTCAAATCAGTTGATCAGCTCTTTCTGGCTGAATATAGACAAAGGTGTACTTCCCACAATCTGTCTGATTATTATCAAGATTAGTGTACTATAATGTTTTTTTTTTTTCAACTCAACTGAGCTATGCTGGTATCAGACAAGAAACACACCATTCCAGGTGGTTTACACCAACAACCACACTATGTGTTTAAAAAAAAAAAAAAAAAATTAACAAAACCTTTAAACAATACTGAAAAAATTACTCATTTTTATATTCACAACAGAGCAAAAAACAAGTCACATATAAATTGTTTAAAGGCAGTGTGGCACACCAACATAACCAACGATGCCATCCCCAGCAAAAAGTTATAAGATGTGAGAAAGAGCAGAGGTATTTGCCTGGACATGACTGAGGATTGTATTTACAATGTTACAACACATGAACAAAAAATAAATGTTTGGAATTACCTTTTCAAAAGCAGTTTTCTCATCTTCACTTAGCCTAAGCTTCCTCTCCAAGTCCAGGACAAGTTCACTTGATCTTTTCAGTTCTTGTTCTAAACTACCAATCTCTGTTTGAGATTCTGTAGAAGAAACAGTTACTACATTGTTTTCCTCTACAGCATATACTCAACAATTCTGAGGTTGTATTCAAATTCCGAGTAGACAGAAAGAACATGATTTTTCTTATTACAGAAATATCAGGACAAGTATAAAAATGGAAAAGAACACTTTCCCAAAGAGAGGCAACTTAAAACCGTAAACCATGAGAATACCTGTTAGCCTTTCTGATTTATTTATGGTACTTAGGTTTGAGGTTTTGAACAACGAATCAACATCATGGCACACGGGCAGTAACCAATAAGTGCTCCGTTCTTCTTCTAACTCAAGTCTGAGTCCGAAGAAGCTCAGCACAGTGCATAGGCTCTGTAGCACCAGTGAGGATCCCAAAATATTTTGGGTAGATTTTTAGTTCCAAATTTTGCCCGGGCAGAGCCGTTAGGCTACTCTTTTAGTTTTCCAACTGCCAAGGGATTTTTTATGTACACAAAAATGACATGGGCGTACAATCTTACTACCCAGATACCAGGAGGAATTACCAGAAGTTCAAGTCCATGTGACAAAAATCCCAGCCCTTACCGGGAATTGAGCCCGGAACCACTAGCACTCGAGGCGGACACCATGCCTCAAGACCATGCAGTCCCCTTATGGTACTTAGAAGCTGCATAGTTATGGCTCTGTTGTTTTTCCCTAATGGATTTTTAGACCTAAAGTTGATATGAAGAAACTAATTCATGAACAGAACCAGCTATTTATATCAGCAGTAGACAACCAACATTCTTCTAACATGTCATAAGAAAAGGTAAAACTGATTCAGATGAAAGACAAATGAAGAAGAAGAAAAGTCAGCCAAAGGCCTACAGTAAATGCTATATACCCAGAAACTGTTTGTACATGAAGCAGAAGAAGAGTCTAGGAAAGGCCTACAAAAAATGCTATATACCCAGAAACTGTCTGTACATGAAGCAGAAGAAAAGTCTAGGAAAGGTCTAGAGAAAATGCTAAGACACCCAGAAATTATTGTCTGTATTTGAAACAGGTGACTGCTGCCATGCATGACATGATGACTAATGCCATGGACTATAAGAAGAAAACGGGAATGATAAAGTGTGGTCCGTTAATAGTATATTCTTCTTCTTCTTTGTTCACCCTTAAAAAAAAGGTACATGCACCTATAGATGTGGTTTACAGCTAGGCTGCAATATCTGTGCTTTATTAGCCGAACTCATCTGATTCCAGCAAACCCTAATTCCTGCAAACCCCTGATTCCTGCAAACCCTTAATAAGCAGTCTTTTACAGCATGCTTGTAAAGTTGTTAAGGAGAGGTGAACTTCCCCCCCCCCTCCTCCCCCCCAACCAGGATGAAATCTTACTACAGTAATTTCTTGACAAGCCCCCACCAAGGAAGCAAGACTAAAAGCTAAAATATTTCCCCTGCCAACTTAAGAAAGTGAGTCGTGGACTCTTGCTCAATCACAGAAGAAAAAGATTTGAGCTTCGGAACTAAAATGCTAAAAATTCTTAGAATACCATGGACCAAGAAGAAGAAAACCCATTAACATCCTACATGATCTGAGCATCAAGGAGAACTGGTTCATAAACAGCATCCTGTCCTTCTTCTTCTTCTTCGTTCACCGCCTGTGAATTCCAGCGGAAGGTCCCTGTTAATCGTCCGCTTGGACTTTTGGCTTTTACCTGGACCTGAGTTTTGCGTGTACAACCGTTTTTCTGTTCCCTGCCTTACAGGCAGATGTACTTCGACTTCGAGGGAAGAATTCAGGCCTATTTCTAGGATGACTGTGGCCATTGTTTTGTGTGGGTCGAGACGTTGCCTGATTTGTGTGGTCTCCTCTTTGTCGCCTTCTCCGCAGGTGTTGCCCCCGGAGTACCCCTTTAGGGCAGCCCCTTGTGGAACGGTTAGCCCTCAAGGGAAGGCAGGGGCAGATCATGGGCATTCCCCGCCATCCAAGGAGGCTTCCATGTATGCAGAGCCGGTACATGGCGCTCTGGTTCTGGGCTCTCCCAAGGAATCGTCACGTCCTGCACATGCCTGCTTAACCTCACAACCATATTAGGCCTCCCGCTCGACAAGGGCTGCGCCCTCCGGACACATCCTGTCCTGAAAGCTGAGGTATTTTGGATATGCTAAATGTGATAGTGGCCAGAAGTGAACGGTGATGGAGTGTATGGTTTCCAGGAAATGAGGCAGAGGCAGACCTCCACAAAGGTGTGTACAAGACTTTAAAGATGCACTGGCTATGTAAGTGCACACGGCTGAAGAAGTGGCTAGAGAAAGACTTTCAGGCGTGCTATGACGAAAGCGATGTCCTGTAAATGATTGATGATGATTAACAGCTAAGATTCTTGAATCTATTAGCTGACCAATGAAGAACTCACCTGCTATGACTCTGTGCAATACAGCAACTTCTTCTTTCAACTGTCTGGAGTCGTTTTCATCTGGACCAGATGCTGCTCCTCCGCTGTTTTCCAAACTTTGTAACTGGCAAATTGTAGCCAGGTATTCTTTAATAGGAAATGAAAACATGTGAATTTTGATGTGCACATGTGTATATATTTATATTATATACATATATTTACTTACACACACACACCGCATTTTTCCACAAAATGATATGTTGTCTCAAATGCTGAAGCTCAAAATTTAGCTTCGTCTTACACACATTACTTGCAATTAAATGTATAAATAAATGCATATTCTTCCCCTCGTTATTGGCCTTATGAAAAACCCTATATGTGAGTGTGTGTGTGAGTATATATATATATATATATATATATATATATATATATATATATATATATATATATATATATATATATATATATATATATATATATATATATATATATATATATATATATATATTTATATATATATATATATATATATATATATATATATATATATATATATATATATATATATATATATATGTGTATATATTTATATATAGAGAGAGAGGTCGAGTGAGAGACAGATAGAGATAGAGAAAGAGAGAGAGACAGACAGAGAGAAAGAGAGACAGACAGACAGACAGACAGACAGACAGACAGACAGACAGACAGACAGACAGACAGACAGACAGACAGACAGACAGACAGACAGACAGACAGACAGACAGACAGACAGACAGACAGACAGACAGACAGACAGACAGACAGACAGACAGACAGACAGACACAGAGCAGTATAGTGAATAGTGATCCAGCTTCAATTCTCAGCAGAAAAAGAATATTTTTCCCCACCAGCAGTTCGCACACAATGGCTATCAGGAATCTTTGAAATATTTCGGGAAATTTCCTGGAATGAAACACAATGAGGTGGCCACCATTTCTCAAACTATGTGGCCTAGAATATGGAAGGCTTTACTGTTCACATTCAGTATCTGCAATTGTAATCTCTCTCTCTCTCTCTCTCTCTCTCTCTCTCTCTCTCTCTCTCTCTCTCTTCTCTCTCTCTCTTTCTCTCACTCTCTTCTCTCTCTGTGATGTGTGTGTGTGTGTCTGTGTGTATGTGTGCATGCATGTGTGTGTGTGTGTGAAAACATTTAAAAAATATTCATGATGTTTCTTTAAATGACTGACCTTGAATTCGAGTATTCATTTCTCTATTTTCCGTCTCTAATCCTTTGATTTTCCGTTCAAATATTTCATTCTGTATGGCTTCAGGCTTCTTGTCACCACTGTCACCACTGTCTGGCATCAAGACACCCAAGTCTGAGAGTTTACTATAGAAAATATAAAAAATTTAATGTATGCATGATGTACAGTTATCTTATCAGCTAGCCCCACTGTTCAGCCGCCCAAATGTCTCCTTTCCAGTAATAACAACAAACAAATAGTAGATCTTCATCCCAACATAGTGCTGTCAGTGCCAAATATGTAGTTCGCAGAAACATTAAATAACAACCTGTGAAATGTGCAATCTCCGAAAGGTCATTAATAACACAAGAAGAACAAGGTTACAAACATTAAAGAGAAAGTGTGAACACGACTATCCCTGAATTACACTGAAAGACATAATGAAGTGGTTTGGCCATCTAGTAAGTATGCAGCCAGACCAAATTGTGAATAAGACCTTCTACAACTGTACATCTGGGCTGATGGTAGAGATGGATGGACGACGTAGTTTAATTCAGCAAAGAAGATGAAAAAACACTCACCCCAAAACCACAAGACATACACGGAAGCTGATATTTATGAGGTGAGAAGCTTAAAATCATTGTGAAATCCATGACAAACTTTCCTTTTTATATCCATGTATGACTATACAAGAGAGGCAGAGAAAGACAGGAAAGAATGTAAGTGACAAGCTTAAACAGCCAAACTATATAAAAAATAATATAAGTAACAATAGGTTATCAACACTGGAACTTTACAATTAACTAATCCTTGTTTTATAACTGTTCAGAAATTAGCTAAAGCAGAAAAAGAAGCTTTGTATCTAAACTCTGTAAACTTTGCAGATACGACAAATGTGAAATAAAGACTGATCAGAATTTTTATTCTTCTGGAAATTGTGCAAAAACTGGAGCATAAATAGTAGTGTTCACAGACGGAATCAACTGACACTCCTTTCTTCAGAGAAGTAAGGAATCTCAGCATAATGAATATCAGAAAAGCTATGAATGATTTTGCTAAAATTTCTCAAATCAATGGATAGTTCCTTGCGACTCCAGCAGTAAAAAAAAAAAATTCTTTGATTAAGGGGTCAAGTACGCCTAAATAACAACTCCACATTTGAAAAAAAGTTTAATTACTTAATTCATATTAATTTTGTTGAATAAAATTATGTATTTTAAAAAACATTGCAAACAAACAAACCAACAAACCAACTCACCAATCTTTGGTAAAGGTAAACCCAACAAATGGAAGATGGTGGCCTTTGAATGTGGCATGAGAAGTGGGTGGGACTGTGTCCTGATGACAAAACATGCACAGTTATAACTTCATCACAGAAAAATTAATCAGAATGAAATAACTGATTATCTTTGCCTGTATTTATACCATACAAATTCTTTGAAAGTGAGAACAAGGGTCTTAGTTTGAACAGCAAAAAAACAGAGGTAACGGTGATTACACCGAAAGTTACCCTCCAAAATGCAACATCAAAGTAAAAAGGACAAACCTCAAGACAGTTAATATGTTTAAGTACTTAGGTACCCTAATAACATCAGATGGAAGATGTATTAAGGAAGTTAAATGTAGAAGAGCTCAAGAAAAGGCAACATTTTACAAAATGAAAAATATTTTAAGAAATCTTTCTCTGTCAATTGAGACAAGAAAAAGAATTCTTAGAGGTTATATAAATCCTTTTTTGATATATAGAAGTGAATCATTGGATAGTTGGTAGGTAAGTTAAAAATTATTTGGAAGCTGCGAAGATGTGGTCTTATAGTTGAAAATGAGAATACCCTGGACAGATAAAGAGAGTAATGAGGATGTATTGAAAGAAACTGACTCATGAATGCCCACATCAGAAAGAGACAATCTTCATTCTTTAGTCATGTGATGAGAAGGAGAAAACTGAAGTACACTGTGACAGTAAAAAAGTTGAAGGGGAGGGGAGGCAGAGGGAGACCAAGAGAGAAGATGCTGGACAGTCTGACACCATGGCATGGAGGATCATCCTTAAATGTCACAACTGGGTCGCAGTTAATTCATCCATTCTGCTCTGTCTTGTGCAGTCTTTCTGATATCAGTTAAGGCATCTAGTCAAGCACCTCTGGCAAATGTGAAGGTAATCTAAAGAGTAAGTGGTCAAAGTTTCATAAGGAGCGCTTCTAAAAAATGGGTAAAATATCTGCAATGCAATCAAGGACAGTTAGATAAAATTTTATGGTCTGGCGTAGTTATTAATGTGGAGATTTGGGAACGAATGAAACAAATTTTAAAAAATCAAGAGGTGAAGAATAGATGCTGGCTTTGGAAAGGACACACACTGATAAAATAGCAACATAACTAGAATGTTCTTGCATTAAAACCTACAGGATGAAAGACATTTTCTTCTTCTTATTCTTCTCGTTCACCAGCATTCACCAGTTGTAAACTGGAGAAAATTCTTATTCTTTGCCCACTTTTATTCCAGGACTTGGGTTTGTATGCTTATATGTTTTACAGATCTGGCTTATTTTTATGCAGACTGTTGGTTTCTCACCTCTCAGGCAGATACACTGCAACTTTTAAGGAAAAGTCCCTAATAACTCAACCCTACAATATGCTTACATGCAAGCTGCAAGCAATGGATGGAAAGACTCGGCAACAGTGCAATAGCTGACTGAGGGCCTGTGCTTCAATGGGGGATGAAGGACAGTAGAAGAAGATGCGAGATTTGCTTAAAATATATGTATGATATTTACCGTGTGTTTGAAATCCATGTCCTCAACGTCAAAATTTGATGTGTCTGTTGCACCTGTGACTTCAGGTCTATACGGTGGGTCCACTGTGAATTCCATAAAATGTGAATTCTTTAAAACATGAAATTACTGTAAGCTAGTATTAACCCTTTCGCTGCTACGTTCCCGGAAATAGTTGTCTGCCCTGTGCTAAGCAATGTGAAAAAAAAAGTCTCTGCTGTGCGCAATACTTTTCTATCCTTCAAACGCAAAAGATGCGTCGGCTGTGAGGGCTATATTTTGTACACCTAAAAATTTTTACCCTGGGGAGTTGTGTGGTTGGTCCGAGTGGTGACAAGTCAGAGGCACGATGGTGCCCCACAAACTTGACTAACGGAGCTATCACCCTTCTGTGGGGGGGGGGGGAGATTAATGGGAAGAACTGTTCCCAGTCCGTATCCCAAAATTTGACTGACGAACCTACCACAGCTGCCACTTTAATCATAGTTATTTGTAGTCACCATGTTATTACATACCAAAATAATAAGAAAATATTAATAATAATACTTGAGTCGTCCGTTGCTGAAAAGTAGCAGGAACTGAAAGGAAAATTTACAATTAATTAAAAAAAAAAAAAACTTCGGGGGTTGAACACACGACATTCGGATTCTATGGCGAACGTGATACCAACTACACTATGCTACCGCTTGACGCATTGCGCTGTGTGAATGATGATAATGAATGATGTGCGCAGACTATCAATAACGTGTCTAAGCTCGCCGCCTGCATGAGCACTGTTGTCTGAGAAATGTTTGAGATTCTCAACAATAATAAAAATATGTCCCTTGACATTATTTTACGGGAGTTTTTAGCAAACAGTCTTTGCTCAAGTACTCTATTTTGAGTTTCTTTGTTCTAAGCATAAGCAGACAGACAGCCAAAAAAAAAAAAAAAAGTTCGTCCGAATCTGTGTCTGTCCATCGGGAAAGAGAGAATTTTTAGTGACTTAACTGTTTGAATTTACAGTAGCAGAAATACAGATAGAACTGGAGTCATCAAAATTATGCACTACTGGTTTCAAATCATTGGTTCATCAAGATAACTGATCAATTTATTTCCGTTTTGATGGCGCTTCATTGTCGCTGCTCTCTGATTCCGACGATGGGGACGTCGGACAGGCAAACAGCTTTTTTTGGACACGCCGGTTTCAGCAGTCGATACTGATGGCCTAGTCAAATCTTCTTGTTCACTGTCAGAAGTACACATTTCAAAGTCATCTTCTCTATCACTTCTTGACAGAAACTCCATCAATTCTTCATCAACTTTAACAAGTTTTCTTGCCATTTTGTACTAAGTGTAGAATAATTCAAAAGTACAAATATATACCAGGGCACAAAATACACAGATCACCGACCACGCTGTCATGGTAAACAAAGCAACGGGATAATGCAGAATGCAGTAAACACACCTTAAACACACCTAAAAGCACGTGTCAGCGCTTTTAATCATATGTAAATGGGTCAGTTTAATCTAAATATAGCTAATGTATATTGCCCTTCAGCCAATAAAATACGAGGTAACAGAAATCTGTAAGAGGGTTGAGAAAAAAAATAACGTCCAAAGACGGGCGTAGCAGCGTACGGGAAATCGGGAAAAGACGTCCACAGCAGCGAAAGGGTTAATATGATTTCTTTAAAACATGAAATTACTGTGAGCTAGTATTAATGTGAATTTTTTAAAATATAAAATTACTGTGAGCTAGTATTAATGTCAATTCTTTAAAACATGAAATTATTGTGAGCTAAATTAAGTTTAAGAACCAGCAAAGCAGCAATCTGGACATTCCATAGGCAAACGGTTTTCAATACACACATGAATAATGAGCTGTTTTTGGCAGTAGCCATTATAAATAAAAAAGGGGGGTTTTTGTCAATAAAGGCCGCTGATAAAAATGCCTCATTGTTGGCCCGCATGTGTGTGTGCAAAGGCAAGGGGGTGTGAGTGTGTGCATGCGCAAGGGTGTGAGTGAGTTCGCTATGTGTGTCTGTGTGTGGTTTTTTTGTGTGTGTGACCTTGTTAGGCTTCTTAATCAGGTTTTTCCCACTTCATTAGTCTTCTTAATTACAGTTCAATGCGTTAATCTAGTGATACTAGTTTGACTGCAGTCACACATGTTTTCTATTACTTAGACAAATGCATTTTATGCGAGTGGCATATCAGGCACCTGAGGCTAGATTCAAATTTCTATAGATCAATTGACACTCTATGTCGGTCAACATCACAACTGGTTGCCTTTACTTCCCAGGATATTACCTGGTACCCATTTAAGGCTGTGTCAATCTGGGTGCCAAAGTCATTTTTTCTAAAAATCCACCTGGCGCAGATCTGAACCAAAGACCTTCAGGCTGGACGGCGAGCACCTAGTTCTACTTTCTGTTATAAGAAACAAACTCCACTTACTGTCACGAATGTTAGCCCAGTCAATAGATGAGAACCACGAATGGCCCTTGAAATCTTCTAAACCATTTTTGCCAAATCTGGTATTAGGTGGACAAATCAGTCTTCTTATCAAGTCCTGAGCTTCAGGTGATATATCATCTACATCAGTTGGAAACTCAAACCGTGTCTGAAACATGAGTATTTGTCACTAAGTATACTGAAAATATGCAACTCATTAAATGAATATACACAGAAGGAACATCATCATCATGAAGGATGATGTGGTGACAAACTTTTGCAGTTTGAGTGTCATGGCAAGGAACAGTCTGTTATCCATAGCTCGATGGCTAGCAATGACTATTGCATTCTGTGTGGACATAGAATGTCAACAAACCATCTTCTCTATGGATGCCCTCTTGCTTTCATATCAGACTATTTTTTTTAATGATCTGCATTGGTAGCTGCGGTTGGATTCGAGCAAGAAGACTGAAACATTTAATCTTCTGTTTTTCAAATAATTTGGTGCAAAGTGTTGCTCCCACAGTCAGTCAGACAGTATCATTTCTCAAACGGTGTTGGCGAGTTAAGTTGGCCTTTCCTCAGACATCTCATCTCACAGGTGTTAATATGTAGAGAAATGTGGTTAAAAAGACTTCCATAATAAAATACAAGATGAAATGTTCAGTACAACAACTGCATTATGATATTTGTTATCTGTATCTATATCCTAGCACATTGATCTACTCTGCTCTGCCCTCTGATGCAGCAGCCATCGCTGTGTCTCCATGCTTAACATATCCAACAGGAGTTGACTGACAAATCTCCTTTCTTTTCTCCGCAACTGGTTTCTGCATGCCTCATTTAATACTCAATTTCAACAGGTGGTTTATCGTTGCTCATCCCTTCGCTTATTCATCTCTGGAATGCAATGCATTTAGTATGTCTGTCCTGTCATTACTTCCTCCAACAACCACTGCAGAACAACAGACTATGTGATTTGTGCATTTGTAATAGAGAGGTTTCAGCTTTTGTGCTTCACTACATACTGATGTAAATTCTGTAGTAAGCATCTAATGAGTTAGTTAAATATGCCGGGCAATAGCCTAGTAAACAATGTAGTAAGTATCTGATGAGATAAAGTGAAACATGCCAGGCAATAGCCTAGTAAACTATGTAGTAAGTATCTGATGAGATAAAGTGAAACATGCCAGGCAATAGCCTAGTAAACTATGTAGTAAGTATCTGATGAGATACAATTAATTATGCCAGGCAATAGCCTAGTAAACTATGTAGTAAGTATCTAATGAGATAGTTAGATATGCCGGGCAATAGCCTAGTAAACAATGTAGTAAGTATCTGATGAGATAAAGTGAAACATGCCAGGCAATAGCCAGTAAACTATGTAGTAAGTATCTAATGAGATAGTTAAATATGCCAGGCAACTGCCTAGTAAACTATGTAGTAAGTATCTAATGAGATAGTTAAATATGCCAGGCAATAGCCTAGTAAACTCTGTAGTAAGTATCTAATGAGATAGTTAAATATGCCAGGCAATAGCCTAGTAAACTATGTAGTAAGTATCTAATGAGATAGTTAATTATGCCAGGCAATAGCCTAGTAAACTCTGTAGTAAGTATCTAATGAGATAGTTAAATATGCCAGGCAATAGCCTAGTAAACTATGTAGTAAGTATCTGATGAGATAAAGTTAAATATGCCAGGCAATAGCCTAGTAAACTATGTAGTAAGTATCTGATGAGATAAAGTTAAATATGCCAGGCAATAGCCTAGTAAACTCTGTAGTAAGTATCTGATGAAATAAGTGAAATATGCCAGGCAATAGCCAAAGTATTGTAATGGCTAAATATTTGCTTGCCAGATCTTGTGTTTCAATCTGCATAGATGCAGATTTTTTTTTTTTTACTGACCCTGGCCCCAAGGTTGACAAGGCCTAAAAGGGGTTCCAGATAACGTCTTTGAAAGTAAGGGTGGCCAGCATGATGTTAACCACATCACCCAATGAATATTGACTGATCAATAAAACTCTGGCATCATCTGCCCAATAAACTACTGAAGTAAAAAGGTAGTTTTTTTTTTTTTTTTTTTTAAATACCAGGAAATCTTTTTCTTTACGTTTAGTCGCTGTAAACCTTGGCAGACCAGTTTGGGTTGTTCATTCACCTCTTGACTTTAGTCTTGTTCCAAAACCTAAGTGTTGCATCTACATCCATTTTACAGATCTGACTTATTTGTATACAGACTGTTGGTTCCTTGCCTCTCAGGTGGGCTTTCAAAGGAAGCCCCAAATTAGTCGAAATGCGTGTTGAGGAGCCAGTGAGTCTATTCTTGTTTCCCCCACAATGGGGCTCCTGAACCCACACAGGGAATACCATAAAATAAACTGTACAATATATTATTCGCATCCTCATTATTTCAACTGTTCATTATGTTTACGTTTATTCAATAGATCAACATCAGATCACACAGGTGTAACCCATAAGTGCTCTGTTCTACTTCTAGCTCGAGCCTGAGTCTAAAGAATCTCAGCGCAGTGCATGAACTCGCAGCACCAGCGAGGATCCTGAAATACTTTGGGTAGATTGTTAACTTAAAATTTTGCCCGAGCACTACCGTTTGGCTACTCTTTTTAAATTTCCAACTGCCAAGGTATTACTTATGTGCACAACAATACACACGGACGTCCAGGCTCACTACCCACAGACCAGGGAAAATTACTAGAAGTTCATGTAAAAATCCAAGCCTTCCCTGAGGCTTGAACCCAGGCCTCCGGCACTCAAGGCGGATGCCATACCTCAAAACATTTCTTTATACACTGATCACCTTCAGACACTTATAATTAAAGTTATTAGTAGACAATAAAGTGTATTTGCCTACTGGATACAACAGACTCTGCTGCCACATGTGCAAGAAATTTTGGACTGGGGATCTAGAACTTTGCTCCTGTGGATAGGCACCACAGAATACTGAACATGTGCTATAGTAGCATACTCTCTACATGCAGCAGAGAAATTTCAGGTTTGGCTGGCTGGCGTTCCAATGGAAACCATGCTGTATGGAACAGTTGAAGACGTGTTACACCACAGAACTTCATACAGGCCTGGCACCTTCGCATCTGAAACCCACTGACGGGGAGAATGAAAAGAAGAAACTATAGTTAACAGGACTTACCTGGTGGTTCATAATCTTTCCGTAAGTTTCAACCAATGATTCTGCATAGAAGGGTGTTTCTCCATACAGCATCTCATACATACACACGCCCAATGACCACCAGTCACATTCTGGCCCATAGCGCCCATGCCCATCTTCCATAGCCTACACGATGTGTTTTAAACGAGCAAAGATAATCAGTAACAATATTTATATCATACAACTTATATTTCTTCTTCTGCTTCTTCTTCTTCTACTACTTCTTTTTCTATTTCTTCTTCTGTTTCTTCTTCAATTTCTTCTTCTACTACTTCTTCTTCTTGTTCCTCTTGTTCTTCTTATTCTTCTTTTTCTTTTTCATCTTCTTCTTTTTCTAACACTTCTTCTTCTTCTACTTCTTCTTCTATTTCTTCTTCTATTTCTTCTTCTACTACTAATTCTTCTTCTTGTTCCTCTTGTTCTTCTTATTCTTCTTTTTTTCATCTTTTGCTTTTTCATCTTCTTCTTTTTCTAACACTTCTTCTTCTACTTCTACTACTTCTTCTTCTTCTTCAGTGTACAATTTCTTCTTCTTCTTCTTCTACTACTCCTCCTCCTACTACTCCTCCTCCTGCTCCTTTTACTCTTTCTTCTAACACTTCTTCTTCTACTACTACTTATTCTTCTTCTTCATCATTTATCCTGAAGAAGGCAGTTTTATGGTTTACAGCTAGGCTGCAATATCTGTGCCTTTCAGAAAAACATATCCAATTTCAGCGAATGTCTAATTAATTTGTCCACTTTTAGAGCATGCTTGTTAAACAGAGCACTTGCCATTTGGATCTGTCCGGAGTGCTGTGATGATAATCCTTTCTAATCACTAATCACTTGTCCTTAACTAACTCAAGAAAAGATGTGATGTTATTGTAGAACCATTGGCACTGGCAGAAATTTGTTTTTTTTTTTCAACCCATGAAAGGTGAGACAAGATAAATGAGTATAATTGATTAGAATTTTGTAATTAACTAAATCCTAAACTCTTTGAGTCCCAACTAAAGCCATGTATGTGATGGTCTCTTATAAATCCCTACAATTGCATTAAGTGTTCATTTATGTCTGGTTACAGCATTCTTAAACATCTAACCACTTCCACTGCAAAGTTGATCTCTGTGAAATTCATGCACTTGTGGCTTTACAATGAGGTTTTGAGGTTTTAAACAACGGATCAACATCATGGCACAAGGGTAGTAACCCACAAGTGCTCCGTTCTTCTTCTAACTCAAGTCTGAGTCCGAAGAAGCTCAGCACAGTGCACAGGCTCTGTAGCATTGACGAGGATCCTGAAATACTTTGGGTAGATTTTTAACTCAAAATTTTGCCCGGTCAGTGCCGTTAGGATACTCTTTTTTATTTCCAGCTGCCAAGAAATTTTTTTACGTACGCAACAATGCACACATGCGTCCAATCTCAATACCCAGAGACCAGGGGGAATAACAAGAAGTCCAAGTCCACGTGAAAAAATCCCAGCTCTTGAACCTGAAACCTCTAGCACTAGAGGCGGACACCATGCCTCGAGACCACGCAGCTATAATGCTTATATCCCATCCCTCCCTGAGAATCTCCTGCCAAACCTTCTGTACTTACACAGTTAAAACACTGAATGTCACAAAGAGGAAATTAAGAACAAAACAGCTAAAGCAACTCACCCTAAGTATTTCTGGTGATATGTAATCAGGAGTCCCAACTGCAACAGAAGACTGAACAGTGCCATCTTCCATTAACTTCAGACAGGAACCGAAATCAGCCAGGACAATATGGCCACTGCGATCCAACAACACATTGTCTGGCTTGATATCCCTGTGCACATAATGGAGCTCATGAAGGGAATTAATTGCTAGCACCATTTCAGCAACATAAAATTTACACATGTCCTCTGGCAGACGATCCTCGAATTTACTTAGCAGAGTCAATAAGTCACCTCCACAGTAGTAATCCATCACTAGATACTGCAGACAAATAAATAAGAAAGTATAAGCCTTCATACTGTTTACGTCACCACATTATCAAATACAACTTATCATTATCAAATACAACTTATCATTATCAAATACAACTTATCATTATCAAATACAACATATCATTACAAAATTATAATTTACCATTATCAAATACATCTTATCATTATCTTCTTTCTTCATTTGTCCTACTGCTTATGCCCTAAAGTATCACAGAGATGAGTTATAGTTTCCTGTCTTTTGCTGTTGTGTAGCTTAATATCCTACTTCATTTCTGTATTGTCTCTTTCATTCTCTTCCCCAACAACTTCTTGGTCTGCTTCTTGACGTGTAGCCTGCTGTTCTTATGCTGTATGCTCCTGCTGCTGACTTATTTTGTTTCATTCTGACCAAATGACAAAACCATTTGATTCTATGATGTTCTATACAACCACTTACTGGTACTGTGCCTATCATTGTTCTTAGTTCTTCACTGGCGCCTTGACTGTCTCTTCTTCTTTTTTCCCCGCCGCATTTCTTACACATCTCATCTCACATGTTGCGCATTTGTTTTTTTTTTTTTTAAGACTGTCCATGTCTAGCATTGACAGACATGAATTGAACATCATTATCGTCAAGCTCAATGTCTACTGTTTATCCATAATTGTAATCATCATCACGCTCTATGCAGAGAAGTGTAGGCCATCATGGTTCGCCATCTATCAGAATTACTTTCTTATCAAAATAATAGTTTCTAGATGTCTATTTACTAATGCATCCCAGTCATTCATTCAAAGTTGCAACATGTGTGGATGACCTCTGAAAAATCACTGGCCCTCCAATTATTAACCCTCTTTTCTGGCAAAGTAAGCCATCTGATCCACTGCTAGCAGTAGCATAACATCAACAATTTGTTCTGAAACTTAAGTAGCCTTCAGCCATATTCTAACCAGGAACTTGTAAAGATCAGGAAAACATCTTATCTCTCAAACTGAGATTGTAAATTATAATACTGAATAAGGCCTTCATTATTTTCAGTTATTTTCAATTCACTTTCAAACAATATTTATTAGCCGGGGCCCCATTGTGGGGAAAACAAGAATAGACCCACTGCCTCCCCAAAAGCATGTCGTAAGAGACGACTAATTGGGGAGCTTTCTTTGAAGTCGGAGTGCATCTGCAGAGAGGCAAGGAACCAACTGTCTGTATTCAAGAGAATGAGATCTGTAAAACTTATGCACATGCAACACTCAGCTTCTGGAGCAGGACTGCAGTTCAGTAGTGGACGAGCAACCAGAACCTTCCGCCAGAGTTTACAGCTGGTGAACGCGAAGAAGAAGAAGAAGTCATTTGAGATTGTAAATCTCATGCTTAGTCAGAGAATACTAAATAAATCTGGCAACACAACAGCTTCTTCCCAGCTATCTATACTTGGCTCCTGTGAGAGTAACACACCTGTGTTTTTTTTTCTCATTATTATTTCCCCTAATAACTAGGTGCTGTCATCTTCTCGAATACCTTCTTCATTTTCCCAGCATTCACCAGTTGTAAGCTCCAGTGGAAAGTTCTGGTAGTTCATCCACTTCAGGACTCTGGTGTTATTCCAGAACTTGAGTTTTGTGTGCATATCCATTTTACAGATCTGTCTTATTTGTATGCAGACTGTTGGTTCCTCACTTGCACCTCATCGGGCAAAGGATGAGTAATTAATAAATATAAGAAACCAATTAAAAAAAGGTTGAAACCAACAGAAAAGAAAGAAAAACCTTCAACAAGGTTTAGAAGAAGTATCCTTAAGTTTGAAAGTATTACTAACCAAATAGTTATCATCTTGAAAGGCAAAATGAAGATTGGTTATCCATCTTCTGTCTCCATAAACCAAAACATCCCGTTCTTCCTTGAAGCACGCCGTCTAAAAACAGAATAATTAAAATATTTTAAGGAATGTCATACTAAATGAAAGTAAAATGAAATTAGGTAGGATAACAAAGTAAAACTTGAATGCCCTAACCCATTTTTTCCCCGTTAATTAAAAAAAAATAATACTGGAAATAAAAATAGTGACTAGAGAAATACAACATTAGAAACATATAAAAAAAATCATTCAAAATTGATAATAAAGTAAAAAGTACCAATTGTTCTTTTGCATGACAGCTGTTTTGCACTCCTGTTATATTCAGGGATCAGTTAAGTATATTTTTTTTCCATATTTTATTCACATATATAAAGATATATTCAATTCACTTCTAAAAAAAAAGCTATATTAATTAATAATAAGTACAATATAACATTACAGCTAAACCAGACTAAACTGATCTGGAAAGTAAAACCATTCTGCCCTGTAGTGACCACATTGCCAATCAAATACTGTCTTGTCTAACAATTATGGAGGGAGTGGTCAAGTGGCTAGATGCTAGCCTGTTGATCTAAAGGTCCTGGGTTCAAATCCAAATAGAGCCTCACTTTTTTCTTTTTAAGAATAACCTTGGCTCCAAGGTCGACCGAGAGTTGAGTGGGTGACAGGTGTAGTCCTGGAAAGTAAAGGCAGCCGGCATGATACTGACCATATCACACACCAAGTGTTGACTGGTCTAGAAAATACAGGTCTAGCCCAATATGCCCAATAAGCCTGAAGGCGTAGAAATGTTCATGAGATTATTGATTTTTACTTGGCCTTTCACTTGAATCCAAACTGCAGTAGAACTCCAATAGGCATCTTTTAAATTTCCTCCTGTGTTTTTTTCTGAACATTTACCCAAAAAGGCAATATTCATCCCTCTTCTGGCGTGGCCGGCAAGTCATCAGAAGAGACAAAGATGATGATGAGCCAGTTCCAAGTGCTGAAATTAAAGATTGGCTGGCCATTTAGGCAAAAATGCAGGTTTTTATTGAGAAATGGCACCCAAACATCTTCTTCTTCTTCAGCATTCCGAGCCCTTGAGGTTCATTGCTGCAGATATCACCCGCCTCCACTTTAGTTTATTAATTGTATCAATTTTTTTTTTATGACCTCGCTTCCAAATAACAGCCTCTGTTTTTTTTTTTTTTTTTTTTAAACCAAAAGGTACATTTCTTTTTAAAATATATATTTCTGTAGGCCTACAGTACACTTAGGTCACCAGGAAGAATAAATCTCTGTCATAATCATAAAGCAACAATAAGTACAGTCATTAAAATGTAATTAAAATGCATTTACAATAATTTCCAAGATCAGTTTTCAAATGAAATTTTTCTATTTGTTAAAGGATAGATAATGCTGGGAATGGATAGAACCATTTTTAGTTAATTCCTATTGGAAGGATTAGTCTGACATTCGTGCTTTTTAATATTCATCCTCCCCTTAGGAACAGATTAATTATGAATATTGGAGTTCCACTGTATATATGATCTTGTAAATTTAACTACGTGAAATAAATTAATGGCTTTACCTCTGCCCTTTTCAACATTTCCCACTTGTTCAAGATTTTCATAGCATACACATTTTCTGTTGACTTCTCTTTAACAACAGCCACCTGAAAATGAACATTCAAGTAAAGACAGCTTAACAAAAGTAACAATAACTGGCTACGTTAGTAATTACATAAAAAAATTGTTTAACTTACATAAAGTAACAGGTGAAAGGAAGATTACAGTTTGTTGGTTTCTTATTCTTCTTCTTCTTTGTCTTGACATTTACCAGCTGCAAACTCTGGCGGAAGCTCTAGTTATTCATCCACTTCTGAACTTTAGTCTTGACCAGAACCTTCCAGAACCTGAGTTTTGTATTCACAAATTTTACAGATTTGGCTTATTTGTATGCAGACTGTTTATTCCTCCCATCTCAGGCAGATGCATTCTGACTTTGAAGGAAACATTCCTAATTAATCTACTCTTTACAACAATATACTTATTGGGAGCAATGGGTCTATTCTTTTTTCCTCAAAATGGGAGTCCTGAGTCCACACGGAAAAACATTTTTTTTTTCCAAAGGCAAAAATATATTGCTAGTTTATGTATTATTATCTTCTTCTGTAATCACCCTTAAAAAGGCAGCTGGCATGTTGTGTTGTTTTATAGCTAGGCTGTAATATTTGCGTGTTTCAGCCCAACATATCCAACATTAGCTAATCCTCACTTGGTCCCTTTTCATGACATGGATGTTCAAGAGCTGAGGATCTATTCTTTTCCTAATAACAAAATATAGCCCCAGAACCCACACAGGGATGCATACCATCAATATGCTGAGGATGGAAGAGATCAGAGGTTACAGCATCTGCTTCTGGTTCAAGCAGATCCAGTTCCTCTTATGATTTGACTGCATTTTTTACCACACACACACAAAAATGTCTCTAAATCAGCCTCATTCCAATAAATGCAAGCCCTTTTCGGGGCTTCTACAACCGCAGGCCACTATACAGAGTTACGAATTAAAACTCAGCCTTCTAAAGCCTTATTCTTCCAACTTTGGTTCTCAGATCAGTGCGGTCCATCAAAAATGTTCCATCAAATCATGTAGTGGCTTATGGGGAAACCAAACAGAGAAACAATCTGGATGTTACTGCTGGGCTGTGACTCTTAGAAACAACACTCCAGCCAAGTATATCAGATTTTTCAACTCTGTAACAAGCAGATGCTGCATAAGCTAACAGTGCCAGTGGGGCTTCAGGCATGCGATACAAGACTCATAGTTTTACAGACCAATTAGCACTCGATGATTGATGTGGTCAGTTGAATTGAGCCTAGACTTGACATAACAGCACTCGGGGCATTCCCATGTGTGCTCCGTCCTCATCTTCAGCAGCCACCGCAAAGTCCCAGTACTGATGGTACCGGTCACAATCTGGTTATAGGTCATTTCTTGCCTTTCCTCTGAGTATAGTGAGTCGGCCAGACCCTCTGGTTACACCCAGGTGCCTCATTCTCTCCAGGCCATAATAAACTTCTTTCTCTACTAATTCCATTGCTTGTTCCCACAGGGCCTTGACCACATCTGCCTTGTCATCTATCAATTCCCCATGATGTGGTCAACATTCCGCCAACCACGTTTACTTCTCAGGACCTTATGATATTATATATCATCAAATTGTAACATGGAGAATAAACAAAGCAAACAAAGCATTTGCCATGCTTAATCACATACAGAAGTTCAGGGAACTTAGTCTGAAGACAAAACTCGGATTATACATGAGTAACATTTTAGGAATACTATTATACCACAGTGTTTGAAAATGACAGCAGGAAATACACTCAAACTATAAACTTTTCTAAATCAAATGTTTGAGGAGAATCATGGAAATATTTTGGCCAAACAAGTTCAAAAATGACAAACTAAGGAGGAAAACAAAATGTTCATCATTGGCAAATGTTATCAAAAGAAGAAGATAAAGGTGGCTCGGACATGTCTACAGAATGCTTTGTGACACCTTGGCAAAGACAGCTCTCTGATGGATGACAGATGAAAAAGGAGACGCAGATGACCTAAGGAAACCTGCAGAAGGACAGCAGAAAATGAAACAAGGGAATGTGAAAGGACATTGGATACCACAAGCAGAAAAGCAGCAGACCAGCAGCTATGAGATCACTTGTGAATGTCTTATGTGTCAAAAGCAACATGAAGAGACTGTGTGTGTGTGTGTATATATATATATATATATATATATATATATATATATATATATATATATATAGAGAGAGAGAGAGAGAGAGAGAGAGAGAGAGAGAGAGAGAGAGAGAGAGAGAGAGAGAGAGAGAGAGAGAGAGGGAGAGAGAGATAATCAAATTACATTCATTTACTTTTCAAATAACTTCTATTACAATATCCAAACCAAATAGTACATCGTCTTATTTTTTTTTTTTTTTAAATTATAACTTACTTCTCCAAAAGCCCCACGGCCAATTATTTTCAATGTTTCAAAGTCATCTCTCTGCAATCTATGCTGGCGGACAAATGTTGACACAGGGCGAGCTGAAAGTGCAATACTGTATTTAGATACAATTTCATTCACCAGTGTACGGAAGATAACAACAAAGAAATAATTGTTGATGCAACCAATCACAAAAGCAGGCATTGTAATCTGCTACCCACCATTTTCAGTGCAGTTCACAATACAGATATAACTAAATAAACACCCATTATTAGCAAGCCTGCCTGCAGAACCTGAAGGCTGAGATTCACATTCTCAAGATTGATTTTTAAAGATGACTCGAGTTTCCAGACCAACCCTGCCTAAATATAGTACCAGAGAAACATGCAGGGAAAGCAAAGGCAGCCAGCATGATACTGACTACATTATTCACTGAGTGTCAATTCTTTTCTTCTTTTATCGTCTCACTGATATCAAGTGGATACTGTTTTCTGTATTAAAGTAAAGATGGTTTTCATACTTGACTATTTTGCAGAATTGTATAGAGTTTAATGCTCAGTAATAACAAGATTACCTAAACTAAACCACTAAAGACATAGAACGAAAGTTAAATGCACCTGAAAACAAATGTCCGAGGAGAATAACATAAAATGGGGTGAATTCAAAAGGAGTTCCTCTTTCTTCTTCGTGTTCACCGGCTGTAACTCTGGTGGAAAGTTCTGGTTGTTCATCCACCTCTGGACTTTAGTCTTCTTCCAGAACCTGAGTGTTGCATGCACATCCATTTTACATATCTGACATAGGTATGCAGATTTTTAGTTCCTTGTCTTTCAGGCAAATGCACTCTGACTTCAGAGGAAGCCCCCAATTAATCAACACTTATGACATGCTTGTTGGGGAGGCAGTGGATCTATTCTTGTTCTCCCGACAATGGAGCCCCAGAATCCACACAGGGATTCAAAAGGAGTGGAGAAAAATTTTTTTTACTAAGTTAGATCTTGCAGTTCTACTAATTCTTTAAAACCAGGTCCGTCTAGCTGCAGTCATTGTTTTCCTTTGTCCTTATTCTTCTCCTGATCTTTCACCCGCCATGCAACATAATCCACGGCATCCATTTTTTAAATCCCAGGATTCATCTTAATTCCTGTATTATCCATATCCTGTTAGCATATATTGTTATGATAGCCATGGTAACACAGTGGCTTGATGCTTGTCTGCTAACCTGAGGGTCGGGTATTGGATCAAATGAGCTTCTGTGGAATTTTTTATTTTTTTTAATGACCTGGACTACTGGACCACTCTAAAATGGGTACAAGGAAATATATTAGGAAGTATATTTCCAGGAAATATACTAGGAAGTGAGCATCTGCTTGAGACTTCAGGCCAAAATGGCCTAAAGCCAGCTGATGCTATGAATTTATTGTTATTTGTTCCCAGCTAGGCTTTGCTTATGCAAATTTCCCATTTATGAATTGGGAGTGCCCAAAGGTTCCATCAACAAGCTACTGAGCTGAGTGCTTGGTGACACTGTGAGCTGTAGGTTTCACAGGTTTTTTTTTTGTTTAATGTTGTGCCAGTGGTGTATTGTTGACTGCGCTAAAATGACGGGTGGCCAATTACATTCAGAATGGTGTATACTTTTGTGGGTGCAATGCCGGCTTTCATGACTGACCACCTGCACCAACAGTGAGCTGCAATTCTGGTATGGGACCATTAGTGTTAGCAAATTTGACAGCTGCCTAATGAATTTTTCTAGCTTTAAGATCCTGCTAAGACTTGGCAAGATTTTCACTAGTTTTTAAATGGGACAGTAAAAGACATTTTGTGTGATTTCCACTGGCACAGCAATGGAGCAGTTATGGGATGACCGGTCAGCAGCGATATTGGAACCTCAACTAACGACTATTTGGATATAACACGGAGTGTAGGATGCGCCAGTGGCATAAGTAGAGTCCTCTTTTTCCCCCACATCTTTACCATGATCGAAAGCAATGACATTTCTTTTTATATATTTCCCTCTCTTCCCACTCTTTCTTTTTGTTTCATTCTGCAACAGCTCTTCAAGACTATATTTTTCCCTATAACATATTTTATGTTCTATTTTGACCCTGTTGCTTGTTTAATTAGCCTGTTGTTTTGCCTACTGATAAATCCTCTGGCTGAATCGGCTGGTTGTATTTGCCACATCGTTTCCATTCTGGCCTACTGAGCTTTCAAGTCACAGTTTGTTGTTTTGTGTTTAGTTACACAATGCTACAAGGAGTCTTTTTCTCCGAAAAGTGATCTGCAACAATATGATAAACAAACCCAAGAATGGTGGCTTGGGTCCTGCACAGATGAATGAGCCAACTGACATACAAGATCATGTTTCAGTTGACATAACTTGAAATAAGCCCAATGACTCATCAAAAAGGAATTAGGACACATATGAACATAAACTTTCTGAGACGTGAAAAAAAAAATCAATAATGAAATATGTGTTTTTATTCAACTGTTCAGTGTCAGTAAGTCTATGATTCTTTTGTATATATGGAATTGTTTCTGTATGTGTTACTTTTAATTCTTTTCTTTCTTTACTTTTATTATACAAGTTGGCTATTATCCAATTAGTTACGCATGTCACATTGTATAAACTAACTAATTGACCTCAATGTTATTAGGTCTGTATTAAAATAATGAATGCATGTTACAAAGTGCTTTTTTTAATGTAGCAACATACATCATGCAATTCCTTCATCATCATCATCATCCTGCTGTGCCATTATACATCACACATTCCATTCTATCCTTTGCAACTGTCTGAATATAACTGATGGAATCCAGCCTAGCATCTTTGACCCCTTTTATCAATTTTCATTTTAGGGTTTCTTTCAGATGGCTGATCCATTAATTATGTATGTTGCAACATGATATAAACAGTTTACCTCTACATACCAAGTGTCCTAAAAAAAAAAACATTTATGCATATTACAAAATCGTTTTTTATTTTATTAATATAGTGTTGCTTTTGTTGTGCCTTCTCTGCTTTCTGCAGCAGACAGTCAGAATCATAACTTGCCAAACCTCTGTGGTTTTTTTTTTGGTTTTTTTGTTATTTCAAGCTGATGTTGCACATATTTATTATTTGCTACCCAGTTGTTGGAGCTTTCCAATTACATCTTTCACTGTCTTCCTGTACTTTGCTTGCCTATTATTTTCCTTCATAAACATTTCCACTTCTCAGGTTGATGTACCAATTTGTCATTTCTTTACTGTTTTTATGTGTGATTTAAACTTTTTGTCCTGCCCTTTATCCCCTAAATCAAGCAACGGCCCTCAACCAACTGAAGCCAAGCTGTCCTATGCTATCACATGCAGCTCACCTCATGAGCTTTCCATCTTTTTAACTTTACTCGCTGGCTCCCTTCTCCATGTAGGTTTTTTTTTTATGGAAAGGGGGTGGGGTGTCTGCTTTAATTTCTGTGTCTGTACAGGTTTTAACGTAAAGACATTCTAGTTATAATGTTGTCAGGTTTTCTGTGATCTTGTAACACCCTCCAAACCTCAGTGTTTGTTTCCTTCTCTATCGATATCATTCATTTTAAGCAATTGTACTCATTACATTAAAAAGATTTTAAATGTCAGTATGACAAAATTATGTTCCTTTCATTAGTGTGTGTGTGTGTGTGCGTGCGTGATGGTTTCAATCATCTTGCGGTGTGCTGAATGAAAGATTTATCTAAAAGTAATAATTACGTGATCACTTCTGTGCACTGAGGTTATTCTTCTTCTTCTTCTTCTTAGCGTTCACATACTGTAAACTCTAGCAGAAAGTTCTGGTTGTTCGTCCACTCCTGGACTTTGGTCTTAACCCAGAACTTGAGTTTTGTGTGAACATCTGTTTAACAGATCTGCTTATTTGTACGCAGGCTGCTAGTTCCTTGCCTCTCAGGTAGATGCACTCCAACATTGATGTTAATATCCCTAATTAATTGCCTCCTACAATGTTTATTAGGGGGGCTGCGGGTCTATTACTATGTTCTCCAAAATGAAGCCCCAGAACTGACAAGTGTTTGTGACGGTGTTTCTAAATCCTGGATGTATCAGGGTTTAATTTCAGTTTAGAAAAAAGACAGTTCGCGTAGCCCTCAACAGTGGTATGACGAGAGTCGCACTGTGGCAGAGACTGAGGCCTGACCAAAGTCAGCAACTAGATGCATATTTCCACTGCAGCCAACCATCATTTTGGAGATCGTACAAGTAAAGAAAATTACAAAACTTGATCCATGTATAAGAAGAAAGTTAACCCCTTTATTCCCCCAAAATTAGGTCACAAATATTTTAAACATATTCTGTGTATAAGATGACGCCCAATTTTAAACTTGGAAAAAGTGGGAACACGTATATCATCTTATTTTTAAAAAAATAAAGGACCCTTTACCACGCTTTTAGGCATATAGGGGATACAGGGCTAGACCTATATTTTTATAGACCAATCAGCACAAGATGGGTGATGTGGTCAGCACCCAACCGGCCGCCTCTACTTCCCGGGACTGCACCCGGTACCCATTCAAGGTTGGATCGACCTGGGAGCCAAGGTCATTTTTGAAAAAAGTCTGGCTCCGCCAGGGAGCGAACCCACGACCTTCCCATCCGCGATATCATTGTATACATGGAAATAAATACAGTATGTGCAGCATATTGTTTAACATATAAGCAATACTGTGAATGACTTACTGGATTCCACAAACTCGCTGATATTTTTCTCTCTGCGCAATCCTGCACTGTTGCACTCATCATACAAAACGAGAAAGGAATCCAGAAGGGACTCCACACTCAGAGCCAGCCCATTACTCTTTGCTGCTCCCTTGAGAAAAACTTCTTCAAGGCGTTTCAGTCTTTGCTCTGCTGACATCTTGATTGATTTTTGTGCTTTCTGCCCTACCCAGTGTAGAACCCTGACATGTTATACCCTCGGTGCCTAAACAGAGAAAGGTAGAATGACAAAATCTGAAGAAATAATGTCAAAACTGAACCTTGTTAAATGTAGTGTAAACGTAAAGGTTTGAGGTTCTGAGGTTTTGAACAACATATCAACATCATGGCACACAGATAGTAACCCATAAGTGCTCCGTTCTTCTTCTAACTCAAGTTTGAGTCCGAAGAAGCTCAGCACAGTGCACAGGCTCTGTAGCACCGGCGAGGATTCTGAAATACGTCGAGTAGATTTTAAACTCCAAATTTTGCCCAGGCAGCGCCGTTAAGCTACTTTTTTAGATTTCCAACTGCCTAGGGATTTTTTACATGTTCAACAATACACACTGGCATCTGATCTCAATACCCATAGACCTGGGGGAATTACTAGAAAAAAACCAAGGAACTGTGCCGGTGGTTTGGAAAAGTGTCTGCTATGACTGTAAAAGACCTATGCAGGAATGGCAATCTCTGCCACACACAAAATGTCAACACTGCATCTACAATAATTTTCTTCTTCTTCTTCTGTCTTTCTATTCCCCAATGGAGCATAGGCCCTCTTTCAACTCACGCCAAGTCGTTCTATCTTTCGCCATTACATGGAGCTCTCCCTGTGTCCTCTCCATCTTTTTAACTTCATTCTCCAGTTCTCTTCTCCATGTGTTTTTTGGCCTTCCTTTATTCATATGCCCTTGTGGGTTCCAATGCAAAGACATTCTAGTTATGCTGTTCTCCTGTTTTCTCAGTGTGTTTCCTTTCCAATGATAATTTTATGGAAGCTTAAACGAGTCCATTCTGAAATTATATTAAATAGCAACTGACTGATCACAACTAACAGTTGCAGCCTAAAATGTATGCCTGGAAATGTCCTAGGAAGTAAAGGTGGCTGGTGAGATGTTGAGTGCCTTCTGGTCTATAAAAAAAATGTGAGCGGCACCAGATGATTATTGCACTATAAACAGGGTCTATTATTACTTTGTACAATGGAAAGCTGTAATTTGTTATTAATGTTATACTTTTTTCATGATGTAAACATAAATTGGAACTTTAGCATGCATGTATTCATTAAGTTATTGTTAGATGTTAGTCGTGTGTAAAGACTGCATTTGGCAGATTGTGCAGATGAAATTCTTATGGTTCAACACACAAAAAGGTGATTACCAACACATTCCATGGACAGCTCTGAGCAAGGGAGGTTCTTAAGATGCCTTGGTCGTCCATTGCACCTAGGTACATTTCCAGTCATCTCGACTGTCCTATATTTGTTGGGTGTTCATGGTTTTAATAGGTAATTTTATGTTCAGTAGTTTACCAATATTATTTGAACAGACATATCATATATGTTGTAATTAATTAACTTTACCTTCTTTGTATAACTGTAGCAAAAAGTAACATACATGTTTAGTGTCTAAACTAAAAATATTTATCCAATTAACTTATCAAGGGGATGACGGCATGCAGCCTCTGCAGGACTGACTAAAAAGAGCTGTTGGCCACACATTCTTTGCCACTGTTTCAATTGTGAAGTACACAACCACTTTCATCCTAACCCTACCTATTGAAGAGCTAGTATCTCTGTATAGCAAATCCTTTTGTATTTATCAATTTACATGTGAGTCCTAGTTGACTTACACTTGTCGAACAAACAGGCAGCTTGAAACTACAGTGGCAGAACATACACCAAAATGGCTACGTGCACAGTTGAGTGATTACACAAGGGTGTCGAGACTAATCAAGAGGAAGGATCCAAACTTTTCTATAGGACATCATTTGCTCGATTCTGGACATGTAACTGAAAAGGACTGCTTTCCGTGTGATTTATCATACACCCAACAGGTGAATGCTGAGACTAGCGGAAGCTCAGACAACAACAAATATGAGTAACCCACTCTTATGTAAGCAGAAGGAATTCATTATCAATTTGAAGTTACCCTGGTAAGTCAAGTGATGATCAGGAATTTCTAATGATTATACAATTACAGCAACCAAAACATAGAACAAGATAGGAAAAGGAGGAGAAGCAGAGGCATCTGGAGGGCCTACCTGGGCATTGCTTCCCAAAGCACAGGGATTCGTTGAGAAATAAATCAGTTATGGTCACAAAACATTTAGTCATTTCAACCCTTCATTTTACTAGGATGCAGCTTGGAATCCATCTTTTGTCAGAATCCACTATGAATAATATAGTACAATTTGTCTGTGGTGGTATCCTCCACTAAAATTAAAATGTTAATATCTCCACTTAGAATTGATCTTCAGGTTTCACTGAGGTATCCTTGGATTGGATATTTTAATCTCTATCCCGTTGTGATAGTTTTGCAAGTAAGAAACCAATTTATAAAACGTCAATAGTATCCCTAAAGATAAAGCCTGAAAGTCGTCATATAATTTATTACTATTGCTATTTATTATTACTTATTAATAATCTATATAAGATAGGTAATTTAAAATATTTCCCATTTCATTCGTGTAGCACTGTCCAAATAATGTATAAAACACTAATATTATAAAGATAACACAAGAAGTAACAGGGAATGTAATTCAATTAATAATATTATAAGTAGTAATACATACTGAAAATGGTCCCTGTATGAATGTAACGACTTGCAGCAGTCGAAGTTTAGAGTTTAGTTCTAAAGTCGGATGCACAACACAGAATTAAATTACACACATAATCACGAACTTATATCCAAGAGAAAATCACCGGGTCAGCTCGTTCAGGGAACAACGAAACATCATTGAAGTATCACTTGCTTGTTAACCATGTACGCTGTTTATTCAACCAAAAGGACGAAACCAAAGGCGTCAAAGTTACATGGGCAGTAAAGTTTATGTGTGGATAGTTCCGCAGAGAGACTGAAAGATGAATCATACTGGCGAACCACTTCCTGCCCTGATGTTTCAGTCCAGTGGGTTGTTAGGGGACGTTCTCTTGTCTCATGAATGTGGGCGCCTGAAAATTTATATTCTTACTTTACCAAGATCTAGTTGCATCGTTTTCAAAGTAGTGAAATTATGAAGTTCTTCTGTAGAGCTATAAATCCATCGTTTCGTTTCAATGTCTTTCCTGGTTACATACTGTATCATAGGCAATTATCATGGCGTCCATAGCTAACAGTTATGGGGATTGTGGGATTGTAGGGTGTGTTGTGTGTCAGATTTGAGTATTTTGGATTTTTCTACATTTAATGCAATAAGCTTTTGTTTCATCCTCATAAAATTTAAACACAGTCAAGCTCTAAGCATATAAATATTGCAGTGTTGACATGTCAGCAGTATTTCAACACTCTTATTTAGGCTTCTCCTTGAAAGGCAGTCATCTTAGTATCTGGTCGTCTGTCTGACTGCTAGACGTTTAGGACACACTTGGCTGGAGAGATCAACAACAACTAAACATTAAAATCGTCAAATCTTACATATGCTCAGTCCTGCTATATGGTGCAGAAACCTGGATAATGAACACACGACTAGAAAATCGAACTGAGTCTCTGAAGATCTGGGTTTACACAAGAAAATGTATTTCATAAAAACAAACAGTTCAACACAGAGGTCCTGGAAAGGCTATAAAAAAAAAAAGAGAGAACTATTGAAAGAAATATAAAAAAGAGACAACTGAAATACTTTATCCACATCAAAAGACTTAACACACTTTTAAAACTATGCTGGAGGGGGGGAGGTCGAAGGCAAGAGAGCAAGAGGTAGGCAACGATACAAGTGAAAGGACAAGGTCAAGAGACAGAGCGTGTTGAAAATCCATTGCAGGCAACCTTTAATGTGGAGACGGCACCTGATTGATTGGAGGATGGAGTTCCTAAGGACATCTAGTCGCTGTCAACTAGAGCTGTGATTCCCAGGCCTCCCTGTTGTTGTTGTTCTCACTGGTACCTTTCCGTCTTTCCAGACGATTGTGTTTTAATGATTTGGGGAGACATGGAGATCACAGCTTCTACCACCAGCAGCATTGACAATGGCGGTCATGGCTGTGACGAAGGCCCTAGAATAGCTGGAAACTCAGAAATTCATAAGTTGCATGTGCTATCCTCCTACGAACGGTCGGTAAAGATGGCGGTCGCAAAATATCCTTTCGAGCCACAGTCGCGTGACTTAATTTGCGGTTTTCAGTCGAATATCGCCACCGCCACGTGTCCCCCGCGCCGCTCATGCGGCGTGAAATGGGGCTAAAATAGATGGCTAGGACCCACGAGCTGCAGCCGCGGTGTGCTCGTGACCGCTAGTGCGCAATTGACACGCGACTGTGGCTCGAAAGGATATTTTGCGGCCGCCATCTTTGGCATTGCATGCTTTCTCAGCAACTCAATGAGCATTCTACAGAAGACCAAGACAGGGCTTATATGAAAACAGTGGCTCCATCTGATACAGCACGCAGCGTTTCGCAAAAATCACATTCACCGTTGTTCTCGGCATGCTAGTGTGAAAGGCAATTACAGAGCATACATCATGGCTGGCAGTGTTACTATCAGGACTAGGACATCTATGAAGAGGACAAACATCATCAATGCCAAACGAGAGACTAAACGCCGTGAGGCTTTCAGTTTCGTGGAAAATTGTTTTTCACTGAATAGACTACATAATCTAGGTGTACCAATAGGAACAGAGAGACAGGAAAACCTTGCGGGGGTCACCCGTCGTTACATCAACCATAACAGGATTGGAGAAGAAGACAGAAACAATAGAATGCACAATTTATTGCCTGGGATATTTCACTGTATTTCCCTAGATGTATACTACAGTGACAATTACATAAATGAAGCAGATGACTGAATCCTTTATAACTGAAGTACAAATTCAACAACGATCAGACACAAATGGGTGTTAGCTTAAAAACACTTGGAGGTATACCGAGGAGGAGATCGGAGCACGTATGGTCATGCGATGAAGATTATCTTTAAACGAACAATTAATAGAAATCACAGCCCATGG